ACTCATTAAATGATTTTTCAATTTATTTATGAATTGTGCATTTATAATGACGGCAATGATTGCACATTAAAGTTGTTTATTAAATCATATTTGGTCATTCATTCAATGTTCTCTCGTGCTTCCGCTGGGGATTACTCCTCATGCAAATCGTATTACTTAAATGTGTTAAACAATTTTTTATGGTTGGTTATGGTCTTTTAATTGCTTCTAGGGCTACAATAGAAATTGAAAGCCAAATAATATTGTCATAAATGGTTCGGTTTCATCCTCGATCGTGTCCAATTAGATAACCACATACAATACGCGCTACAGAAAAAAATTTAATCTGTTGGTACATGAAAATCATGCTGACGACGTCGCGACTCATGACATTCCAATTGGGATTCACTTTTAATGCGTTTCCGTTTAATCGTCTTCCGTATTTTTATGATCGTATCAGAAAAAAATCTATCAGAATTTGTAGAAAAAAGTCTTCTTCTCTCAGGATACGGAACCAAGTTTATTTTCTAAAGGTTTAAATCCAAAAGTATACTTTCCACGCATGGAAAAAAACTAACGAGAAAAATCAAATAAAATTTATTGCTGTAAATTTAAGCGATTGCAATGAAACGTCTTCGGACGTAGAAGGAATTTAAAAAAAAAGTTATCTTAAAAAATGTTGATTTCAAGAAATTCAACATACAATTTTTTTTCGTCATTTTTTGACCCGCCATATCGACTTGACAGTCAACAGAAAAAAAATCTATAGCCGCAAAATGGAAACAATGCACAGAAATGGTATAAAATGAATGTTGACACTTTGATACACAATCTGAACTCAATTCCAAACAGGTATATATTGATTTTGTCGTGGCTATTGTTCTCTTCGTTTTAAAATCCACACAAATCGGATCATGATAAGAATTTGCGCACACTACCTGATAATAATAACGATTCTCTCATGTCGAAGAAATGATAAATACGAACGTTATTATTGAAAAGTCATTGGAAGATAGCAATTGCTACTGATTCACAAAATAAAAATAAGCAATTAAATGACAGAGATACGCCATGTCTTTTCAGTTGCAAAGAATATCAAACAATATTTATTGGAATTGAAAATATTTATTTATGACATGTACCACGTATCCATGTTCCATGTGTGGAATACCATTTTTTTTAAATACATTCAACTAGAAATAATAACAAATTACGTATAAAAAATAGTTGTTCTCTAAATTCTTTTGATTTTTCTTAACAACACATTAGCCCGTGTACGTTTCACAAAATCATTAGAGAAGTAAACCGATAGAATACAAATGACGGCCTAAGAAGAAAACAATAACATACAGAATATTCTGCAAAAAGACGAATACAAATTTATGTGAGCAAAAACCAAATATACAAACAGACAGCGCAAAGGTAAAACAGCCTACTTACATAAGAAACACATGTAAGTAGGCTGTTTTACTTTTGCGCTGTCTGTTTGTATATTTGGTTTTTGCTCACATAAATTTGTATTCGTCTTTTTGCAGAATATTCTGTATGTTATTGTTTTCTTCTTAGGCCGTCAAATGTATGTTATATTCTTTTACTGTGGAATGAAAGATGGCGAAGAAGACAGGTAAAGCAGAAGAAGAGGTTGCATCCGAAATTGCAAGAAATAGTGATGAAACAGTAGACAGACTGTCGCCTTCAATAAACAAAAAAGAAGAAAAATGGAGTGGCATTGTTACAATTCGCAGTCGCTGTGCTTAAAACATCTAATTGTAGTATGCATTTTTTTTGTTTGATAATACGTTCAACATAGAAATTCGAACACAGGCTAACACTACAATGCCCATGTTAAATCACTTACGTACTACTGAGCCATCAACATAAAAACTACTAGATTCATCTTGTCTCGTTTGTTGTGTCTTTTGTTTGTACAGAGGAAAGACAAAAATGAGAACCGGAACGGAAACACCCGATACGGACATTGATGATTGCACAAGAATGTAACAATAGCAGCCAAACATAAAATGTAAACGGAACTATGAGATCATTGCGACTTGCACAGCTTTTGATCTATTCAGTTTCTCCGGCTCATCGGTATTTGAGATTTGCCGAATGACACGAAGAATTTATTGATAATATTACGCTTCTGTAGTACAAAACCAATAATAACAAACACCAAACACCATATGGACAATCGTTTCAAAGGCAATTCCTCACATTCATAGAATTTCAACTATTTTCAATTCAATTTTTTTCCCTTCAATAAATAGCAGCAGTAAAAAACTTTAAAGAAAAGTTTATTTCACTCTTATTGTAGCGTGTCACTCACTGGTAATAAATTGATATTTAATTGAACGGACCGAATTTATTGTTCAATGTGTAAACTCATATTAGCGTTTTGATTGTGCCATTGGCTACACTAAACGGTTCATTTTTTCCATTCTTTGCCCACAACAGGACATATAAATGACGAATAATCGAAATTGAATGTGTGCGCACAGTACATACGATTTATTGGGAGGAACAATTGACTTTGAACATTGAATGCGCCCTTGTTTGTGACGGAAAGCGGAATTTTTTTTTAATTTTATTTTCTTTTATTTGCCATTGAACCAATGGCAATAATGGTGATCGATTGTGAATTTGAAAGTAACTGTTTTGTTCGACAATATGTACGCAATTTCACGTTATTAATCCAGGTGTTTGCTTCACTTTGTTTGATTTATGAACTCGAAAGTGTATTTATATTTAAGTTAGTAAATGGTTTGTCGCTAGGTTTGTATTTTTTTTAAATTGACATACAATAAGGAACGTGATGTTCTATTTGTATGCTTTTTGAAAATTGTACTTCATTCGATTTTGCAAAATGGCGCGAATTTTCTATTCGTTGAAATCTATACTGAATTCCTTTTTCACTTAAAAAAAATGTGCTGCAAACCGAAAATATAATCGAGTCTTATTAAAGATAGGAAAAGTAAACATTATTACGGATTAGAACCTTAGCAATTAACTCTTTTTCTCTGCGGAATAAAGAAAATCACGATGTTATGTGGCTTTTTGTGTTTATACAAAACCATCGAACTTAATAAAGTGCGAACATTTGTTTCGCAGTTTGTAAAGTAAATCATAAAATCCAATGCAGTGTTTCGTCCTTGTTTATTAAAAATCCCAACATATCAATATCATGGCTATTTAAGAAAGCAGAATATGCGAACATGTAATCGTCTTTATGCGATGGCTTGCAATAACATGTTACCCTCCGCATAGCAATGGTAATTATATTAACCTTTTCGGTTGCATAATGAAAAAAAAGTGCGAAGCATCTAAAAGTAAAAGTACATAATAGCAATAATAACAATAATAACAATAATAACACGTAACGGTGACGATGGCTATCATAGCACATCTCGTTGGAATATGCGCGCCGAGGCTTCATAATGAAATCAGTGTTATGTTATCTCTCTGCGTGATAGTCGTTTCTGTGTGTTTTCCTTCGTTGTCGCTATCGAATTTGTTCATTGTAATTCATTGCCTCGTTGTAGGTATTATCATCGTCGCAGTATATGCTATACATTTGGAATGGATAGAGTACCCAGAGCTGAAAAGCGCATGTATTTATCACAAATAACATTAAGGACGCATAGAAGTTTGTTATATTAAAAGCAGGACAAAAAGCAAACATCAATTGTAGTAAAAATAATGTTACACAACGACAAGAATATAAGTATTACAACGTCGCATTATTAGTATTATTGAAACCTTCATTCAATTTTCTCGTTTATAAACTACTCGGATAAGCTGTTCGTATATGCATAGCGAATATAAATGTTATTTGTGTATTCACGACGATCCTTTTTTGTCGTCACACGAGATTTATTCAAGCGATAGTTCAGTCCTACTTTTTCCATATTGATCCATTTTCTCATTCGTTTCGTTTAATTTAAAGAGAATTGAGAGTCCTTTGTAATGTACCTTTGGCGAATGTATAACGTATATACACTGCCGATTTTTTGGACGTAGGGCTTGATGTGAAACGTAAGATTATTCTACTAAAATCTAAAACAAACCAGTGGGAAAATCGATTTTTTGTGAATCAATATCTTGTTATACACGTCCAGAGCTGTCATCTGGCAAATTTTGATCAAAATCATGAGCCTCAAAAGTCAACTGTCCCCATTTTATTTCCGGGCAACCGTCCAGTGTAAAATACCACCGAACAGACCAATTATTTATGAGGTAAAATGTTTTGTTTTACCTTTCGTCCACTTTATATTTAATATATGGAATCAAAATTTGTTCAAATGTGTAAAAAGGCAACTGTTGATCCCCAAAAAATAAGTTCACTGAATTGAAAATTTAACAGGAAAGCACTTACAGAGAAAATACGACTCTTATGCTTAAGGAAAATCAACAACGTTTCACATTAAGCAATAGTAAACGAAATCCAAATGAAAAACAAGCTGGAGTGTATGCGTGTGTCATTGAAAACAAGAAGCGCTACTTAATGTTACTAGGCCACTTAGCACAGACGGCGAGTGAGTTGTGCGCATATCAAAAAACATATGTATGCACTAACACAAACACTCTGTCGTCCAATCGTTCTGTGCAACATCAAGGATATTAACTCAACGCCACAAACATGTATATGCGTTAATCCTGTTTGAGGGGCGGTGCGATAAATTCCAAAGATGTCTGTGTATGTGTGTCTATGAGCAGTGACTCAACCCATCAGGATTTTGTTTTCTGTTTTTGTTCGTTGCTTTTGGTCTCATGCTCATTCTTTTGTATCTCTCCATTCGTGTTGGATTCTTCATTTTACATTCTTTTCGGCATTTTCTTCACATTGTTGACTTTCCTCCGTCGTTGCTTATCATACTGTTTTCTAAAGTATGCACACAGCCTAAGAGACCAAGTGTACGATGAAGGGAAAAATTTATTTTTGAAAAGTTGATTGGTTGGAGTGTCATCAATACAAGTACGATGATCGCGCACACTACTGCAAATCAAAGCGTTCAACATTTTTGTTACAACCCTCTGTCGACTGCTATTTGGCCAGATTTTTATGTTTGTATTGAAGCCGAACAATAGAAAAACTTTACGGCATTTGCCGTTCTCTGTGTATTTTTATAACACACTTTAACACAACAAGCATAAGGATAAGGGATCTGGTATAGTTTTCAACAGCACCAACAAAAAACGATACGAAAATCGTATCGAGTGCGGAGTGCCACTTATGTTTAGTGTTTGACTACTTTAGGTGCTACAGTCAAGAATTTAGTATCGTCTGGAGCGGGTGTTTTTATTTTCGAGAGCGATTATTTTATGCTTTTGATATGTCACATTCATTCGAATAGTTCGTTATCGTGTAATTAAAATAGAGTGAATCGTTGCAATTGTGAATCAAAATAAATTGAAATGCTTTCATGTGATTTTATCGAGTTTTAAAACGTGAAGAAAAATTTATTGACTTTTTTTCGAAAATAAATATCAATTGATTGGCCAAAAAGTCAAATACAATAGTGATCAATAATTGATATACATCGAAGTAGAAGTAACCGTATTGAAACGGACCAATAAATAGAAACAGTCATAGAGTACAAAAAGTGTATTCAATTGTGCAATCCAAGTTAAGATCAAAGTTTTAAAACTGGCAATCGTGGCGACTGAGAATAAAAAACGACGGTGTTCACCGTCCCCATCGCCAACTCGACGAACGTCGGTTGAGGATCGGATATCAGAACCAAGATCAATTCCTCCAGTATCGTCACATTTTAACGGCATAATGCCACCATCGGCTCCATTTTTAACATGGTCACCAATCTTATTACCACCATGGGGACCAGCTCTTTTCCCAGCTGCGTTATACCCAGCCGCTTTGCGATCACTACCAGGGTTCGTAAACATATCCATTTGGCTAATAGTTAGAAAAATTAATTCTGATATTATTTAGAAAGTGTAAAAAACAACACGATTGAAGTCTACCACTGACCAAAGAAAAATCATACGATTTGATCATTTATTTAAATTAATATTATAGTTCAAAGCAAAAATTGCACCGATTAACAAAGTATAGGCATGGCGATTTAAATATAAATAGAAAACACATGGAATCGAATGAAAAATATGTGGCAAAAATCTTAGTGAAAAATTCCCACAAGTAGCTGTTAAGCCGTTTTGAAAGTGCTTAAGTTGTACTATGGTCGATTTATATCCACTTGAAAATCTGTTTCTTAAGTTTCCTTTTACAACTGAATTCTGTTGTCCAAATCCTCTCCATTAGATCATTTCCATTACAATCGAAGCATTAAAACAATTGATGGTCACTCCTTCTTCATTTTTACTTTGCTTATGAATATAAATAATAACTACAAGAATAACAATACACCGAAGAGAATGAAGTAGTATTCTTCGGTACACATTTTTTCCTTTAGTCTTTTTACCTTGAACAAAAAAGAAACCTGCAAACGTTGGGGAATTTCCCGCATAAATTAGCTTTCTGAACTTCGCTTCTTTATCATTCTACAATTTTGTATGGTTTTGTTGGCATTTTGTGTGTTCGGAGAACTGCACTTATGGCATAACAATGATTTTATATGCCTTGATAAAAAAAAAGAGACGACTTCTCTTTCATTCAGATCAATAAATATTTGACGCATTACTTTCGAGTATAAATGAATTTGTAAAAGCCATACAGTCCACGTCTTAACACGCATCCCAAAATAAAGGAAAAGTTGCAAAATCTCTTCAATGCCAGCATTGAATGTCTTTTGGTTTATTCACAAATGTATTCAAATCGAAAACGATATTATCTCAATTTGTAGTTTTGAATAGCTGATTTATTTCAATCAGTTCGAAAGTCATCATCATTTCGGATTAGAATTAAGTTTATGATCCGATTGTTTTTTTTCTCGGGGTTCCCCGATTTTCTTCCAAAGTATTATATTTACAAATAAATAATCAAAATGCACGCGATCAACAATAGTTCAAAAACAGATGCATCGGATCGTTCAAAGTTTCAATTTTCATGTGGATTTTCACATAGATGGTTTGAAGCATATATACTTCAGAAAAAACCATAAAAACAACGAATCAGAATCAAAAAGCATTGGCAATGACGAACAATGACAATAACAATAACACAAACAAAATCAGTATTAGCCATAACAAGGATAATTTGCGCACACAAATCTATTACACCTTTTCAAGTTCGTTTTTCTTCTGGCCTTAATTTATTCGGGAATTTCCGTTTTTTTCTCTTTTTTCACATGGTCCTTTTCGTAAGGAATTGCCATTGTTCGTACATTCAACTAACCATTTTATTTTGACTTTTTCTCGAACTTTTGTCAGTTCTACTTCGTCTAAACGTTTGTACAATTCTTTTGACGGCTAAGCATCTCTGACCGACTACGGAAGAATGAAAGAGATGGAATGCAGCATGATTGTAGTTTATTTTTAGTCAGAGCATAAAGGCAACAAAGAATTTATTGCTTTTGTTCGAGATGAGTCCGAGCATCTCTTTGCACATTGCACCGTAAACGTGTGAATTCGTCTGCCAGACAACTTGGCGACGGTACCGAATTGTTGCACATTTGATGCAATCGAGTAAGGTAGAGAAAGAAACAAATACAACTGTTTCGATGAACATTGGACACTTTTCAACTAGAAAGTCGGTGTGTGTGCTGTGAAGGTGTAGAAAGAAGGAAAAAACATAAAACAAAAATAAACGGTCATATTTAAGTATTTCCAGATGTTGAAAATGTGTGATTGTTCTGTGGAACAGCAACAACTTGTGCGATAGAGTTTTTGTGATTTTGGAAATTCTCTTTGCATATTTTTGACTAAAGTGGTTGAAAACCATTCCAAGTACAAACATACCCGCACAGACTGTTGTCGATTTAATACAAGTTGTGCAGTGAGACTATTTTTTTTTTCACTTTGAACAAAGAGTAAAAGGTTCATGTAAAAATGATTTTATTTTTTTATTGTTTAGAAAATAATCTGCGAATAATTACATTGAATTCAATAAAATGTAATTGATTGATTTGATTTTTCTCTATAGATTATTGGACAGTATGAAAGTACCCGGACAACGAAGTAGTTTTCATATTTGTGATATTTTGGATTTGAACAATGCTTCGGACAACAAATCAAGTCAAAACAACAATAACAACACTACTAGCCATAATAACAATAGCACAAACACATCCTTTCCACCACAAACAAGCCCGCCGGTATCCCGAGATGGAGATTCAATTACAAATCTAAATGACTCTATTGCGTCAACCGGATCATCGGTTGGACATGTGCCACTTGTACCGCCACCACCACCATATCAACTCACACCAAACTTAAGCAGTGCAATTTATTCCGAATTAGGCCACCACTATCAGTCAATGTTCCCATCGGCCGCCACCAAATCATGGCTCAAAGAACACGAACAATACGGTAAGTTTACTTAAATTTTGGGTTTTCTTCAAATGAATCGTATGAATCGTTAAAGCGAAAATTTAGCTCATATTTTCTCCAAGTTAAACTATTATTCAAAACGATATTTTATGTTTTTTCCTGGAAAAACTTTCCGATTTTTGCCAGTTTTTTTCATAGTTCCCCATTAAAAATTCAATTTTTTTTGCGAAATAGTTTCGAATTGACAATTTAATTGATGTGGGAGATGATTCAGTTCAGAAAAACCACATAAATTGATCATTTCTGGTGGCAAATATTACATCTGCCTTCGTACAAAAGTCGAAAGTAAATATAATGTAATGAACTTTGACCCAGGTCGCATAGAAATTTTCAATAGAAACGGCAGCACTTCAATGTTAATTCACTGCGACATCTTGGTCAATAAAATCACAAAAGTAAAAACGTCGAAACGCATGATACGGTGTGAAAATGTTCAATATTTTACACACCAAACATCAAAAGTGAATTTCCGTTTTTTTTCACTCAATTTTCCGCATATAAAGTATGTGAAGAGCTCAGTATTTGAAGAAGATACATATGCAATAAAAATTATACGCACATCTGCCGATTACAAATTCGATGTTTCGGATTCATGGCAGTTTCGAGGGAAACGGAAAAACATTTCATTCAATATGACTTTAATAGGTGTAATTCATACACAACAAATCAGAGAATACCGTTTTGCTATCAAACATACAGTCGACGATCGACAATTGAATTTTGTGCAGCCAGTTTAACGTTACGCTGTAGAGATTATCGTATGATTCATGCACAACCGTCTTTCATTTGGTATTTTATAAATGGGCGCGTTGCAATGAGAGTGTGAACTTCAATTAGAGGGAGATAATTTCCACCACGAAAACGACAACTAACTGACATCAATTGAGAATGCCACAATGGTAGTGAGTGATATTACAACAATGCAGTCAGCTTCAAAGAGGGTTTGGCATGTTGGAAACTGCAACGCACAATATAAATGGAAATGTACATGTAACCGAATGACAAATTGTTGTGGATTAAATTTAAAGCTTCAACAAAATTATCTGTAAAATGTTGAATGGAGAAAAATCTATTGAAATTTAAGAACCCTTTTCATTTCGTATTTTTTGCTTTGTAGTTGTGTGATTTACATACTAGATGATGAAATGAGTGGAGCTCTTGAACTAAAACAGTCATCGACACTTTTGTAATTGTTTTTCAAATAACGCTTCGTGAAAATGCTCAAAAGCATATGTAAATCATTTTTGGTCAGCCACATAGTTTCTTAAGTTATTATGCAATTTGATTGATTTCCCCAAACAATAACACAAATGAAAAACATCGAGTAATAGCATGTGCCTGATAGATCGAGTGCATCTTCGAAAAAGGCAAATTCTTGTGAAATTCGTCAGACAAAGCTGTGACCGCATCACTGTTATAGAGGTGTGGCATAGGCGTGATTTCAATCAATTGCACTTTTGTTTGCTTTTATTCTTGATAATAAATCCCTGCATGATGCGTGCATCTGGCTTGCACTTTGTTTCGCCAATAATATTTCAAAACGTTTATTGAATGAATGACATTTTCACATTTTCTTCTTTTTTTTATCGTTGTAAATCGAACAAACAATACCTTTTTGGCAATGAGTTGAATATTGTGTTTCGACAAAACGGAAAAGCGAAATAGCAAACAATGGGAATAGTGCAATTTATTTCCGACTTTAACCGAAAACACCCCATGATGCATCATGCACTTAAAACCATTATACTACACTATATATGATACTTTGTGTGTGGTTTTTCGAGTCTTTTTTTCGAGCTCACAAATATTTGAAATGAATTATTTCTGTTGAAAATTGTGTAATTTATTTATTTTTTTCATTTTTTTTTTGTTAAAAATATGCAGCAAGTCAACAACAAGCCAGTCCAGACAGTACTTCACCAGTTACATCTGAGGTATCATATACAGCCATTGGAAATTACACATCATCACATATGGTTAATTCTACTAATAAATTGCCGCCAATTTCACAAGATGTTTCACCGCTCGTTATGTATGATCGTCAATCACAAAGTGATCATGATCGAAATGAGAGTGAAAATATGGATGACATCGATGATATCGATGGCGAAGATGATCTCGGTGACGATATGTGTGATGCTGGCCAACAAAATGGAAATGGTACGGGCAATGGAATGCAAAAGAAACGTAAGCGTCGTGTTCTGTTCTCAAAACATCAAACCTTTGAATTGGAAAGACGTTTCCGTCAACAACGGTATCTATCAGCTCCCGAACGAGAGCATTTAGCAAGTCAGATTCATTTAACGCCGACTCAAGTGAAGATTTGGTTTCAAAATCACCGTTACAAAACGAAACGTGCCCAAACTGAGAAAGGTGTCTACGATCCACAACATCATCAATCCGGCTCGCTGTCGTCGCCACGCCGTGTTGCTGTTCCCGTACTTGTTCGAGATGGTAAACCATGTTTGAATGGTACAAAACAAGACCTTGCTATGGCCGTCGCCAATAATGCTCACATGGTTTTGCCACCAAATCCATATCAACATCCGTCATTATTGCATAGCGTTCATCAACGTGCATGGTGGTAAATCATTTGATAGATCCCAATTTCATTCATTTAAGATGACCTTTGCGTAAAAGGTAAAATCGTGGTGAATACAAACGTAAATAAATGAAGGAAATTGTATATTGTAAATCTATTCTAGCAATAATAATTTTATGCATAAAAAAATATGAAACAAAAATAAATAATTAGAATGTTTTCCACATTGAATATAGTGTTTGGTTTATGAAGCGTAGAGCAAAGCTAAGATTAGTTAATTATTATTATTTTTTTGGATCAATACCTTAAACCATTCATTCAACTTTATTTGATAGAGTTTTGTATGGATGGCATTGGTGTTGATTCAAATGTCCAATTATTTAAAATGTATTTTAAAACAATTGATTTATTTGCAAGTAAATCACATCCGTAACAATTGGCGATTTTCTTTTTAATTTCAATTTGTTTATTTAAATAGAATTATAATTTAAATAAAATATGTGAGGTACAAATTGTTTGTTTGTTTGTTTTTTCTCTCTCATCCCATGGGAAATGTTTCAGTGCGCGTCAGTTCTTTTTTTTCTATTCAAAATCTTTCTATTGCGGGTGTAATATAAATTTCGGAAGAAATCATCTTTATAATCATCATAAAGTACCTAAAATGAATTCCTATTAAATTCGTTGATATTTGTTTTTCAAAGATTTCTGCATTTGGTCGATGTAAACTCTTTGAATTTCCAATATCGTTAGAGAATTTGTATAATATATATTATGACATAGTCTTCACTTAATCAAAAACAATTCCTTATGTCTAGTTGGTAAAGTAGTTCAAAAACAAAGCATAGAAAATATTTCATGAAAAATAATGCATGAAAGAAAAAATATTACAAATTGATATTTATTAATGTACAATTCAGAATAAAAGTTTTAAAATATAATTCAATTGTCGGAATCATTGAAATTTCGTGTGACTTTCATTTCAGACACTTATACGCTTCATTTATAATAAGATTTAAAGTAATACTTCCTTCTTTCCTTCCAAATCATTTTCATCTATTCCCGAAGACTATGGATTTTATATAAAATGTAAGTTATAGCTGAGCAAGGGAAGGCTTTTATTTTCAATAAACACTTTTTAACAACAGTTAAATTCTACCATCCAAATTCGATAAAGAAGCATCTATATCTGTTTGTGTTATTCAACATTTGCTGGATTTTCATCAAATTCATTTTCGTCTTTCGGTGCGAAAGTCTGAAATTTCAAGCATCATAGCATAAACCTATGCTCAGTTTGAATAGTTCGAGAAGTGCGTGAATCTTTTTTTCATCAATAAGGCCCTTTCTTTGGAACATCCTGATTATAGATTTTCTCCGGATCTTAATTTCGGATGCGTAAAATACACGTAATGAAAATAAATGTGACATAAATACTCGATTGTGAAAATAACATTGATATTGATGAATGAATAAAAAAAGGAATAGAAAGAATTCACGATGAGAATAGAGGGCAAAATAACAAGCGATTCAACTTGACTCTCTTTTGTTAAATGAAAAGGACAGTACAAATCAAACGAAAAACTACTTCGCACCGCCAACGATAAAAAAAAACGATTGCATCAACTACCCTTCGGATGAACATTCTAGTGCTGACAATAGTCTTAGTCATTCATTGACTGACCTTTTACGTTTTCACACAAAGCACCGATACTTACGTGCAGAACAAAAGTCCGAATAGAAGTCAGAGAAACGAAGTAGTAGGAAGACATATTGGTGCCGAATATTTTTTTATTATTTAGATTCGATTCTTCTTCTTCTTATTTTTCTTTAATTTCCAAAGCATTTCCGATTCCATTCAGTCTGGAATGACTCTCTTGATATATTTCACATTCAACATCGAATTAGTTAACTAGTTACTAATAGTTTTTTTTTTTCGGATATGTTCGTGAACTATTTCGGCATTGATTTGAAAAGGACATCGATACAAGTCTATTGTGTTGTGTGTATGTGTGTGAGCATTCATTCATGTCATTGACCAAAGAAAAGGAGAAAAGAGACAAAAAATGTGGTACGAGTGTTTGAAATGCTTTGCAAACAATGGAACGAGTATAAATCAAAATACGTACACAGTACAATGAACAGAATCGGAAATGAAAAGAGCAGTCAACAAGCAGAGACGAAAAATGTGCACACAAATTGTTAGAGTTGTAATGAAATTACATGCATATAACATAGAGTCTGGTCGATGTTAGAGACAACCAGCGAAAATTTGACTGTTTCTATTTTTTTTGCTTGGTGTTTGTAGTGCTTCAGTAAAGTTTTTTTTTTTGTGTCATGCATTCCCGTTGTTGTTGTTGTGTTTTGTATTGTCGGCTGTTATTATGTATTTTATTGTTTGACTTTTCGCTTGTTTGTTGGTTTCTCGTGTGCTTGGAAAATCAAGATGATTCCTGTTCTAGTGCTACGAAAGGGATTGTCGTCTGTTCATTTATTTCTTTGGTCAAATCTTTTTTTTATTATTCTTCTGTTCCGACGTGAACGTATGCATCGAAAGAGAGCAAGAAAAAAACTCACCGGAAACAGTAAATTTTGAATGGATTGCGTCCAGTCGTTGTACTTTATTATCCCTCTACAAAAATCAAATAGAATTGGTCACACTGAGAAAACAATAACTTTTATATATAGGTACTTATTGAATGTAAAAAATGGCTTTGGAAAATTTGAAATAAGTTCATAATGCAATCAAGAATGAGTGTGAAAGAAGACACACTGTATGAAATTCAGGTGAAGTGTATATTGTACAAAAGTGACCGCATTGCATAGTCATCAAGAGTATCGACAGGGTGAAAGGATTTTTTTTTTCTTCGAAAATGTTTCGATTGATTAGTGCGGTTGCCAGAAAAATATTTTCATATTTTAAATATATTTGCATGAAAATTAGTTTTTACTTTCACACTAAATTTGTTTGTTGCGTGTCGATTGCTGAGGTTGATTGACTGAAATTTCCATTAAATGGAACGTGCGCCGTCATGATGTTTACTTTGCAGTGGTTGATTTATTCCCAGGATTCTATCTGATTATCATCACTGGGTGCCGTGCATAAAACAGCACCGGATATGACTTCATATTTGCTCAATAACAGAGTTGCCTAATGATGATATATTATCACTTGAAATCATTCGAACGCACCTTTTTTCCATACATTTTTGATTTGCATAGTCAAATCATTTTTTTTTTTCATAGTCAAAACAGTATTGAATCGTTATCCATCGAATAGCGAATTTATGTTCGCCACTTCTGTAAAAATGAAGAATCATTGTTTAAACAGAGCTCGGAGTTAATGAATGGATGATGTTACAAAATTAAGCCATTTATGTACGAACGCATTCCTGCCAAAGTGAAGGCTCCAACAGTATAATGAGGGCACAGTTTCTTGGCTATCTATCTTGATTCAATGGAATAAATCCTCCTGATATTAGTACCAACGATTTACGGACGTGATTGTTTTTATTCCAAAGATACTCAAACAAGGAAAAGAACAATTTATATTGAAAGTGGTGTATTTTAAATGACTTTCGCATGTAATCAACATTCAAAACATCTACGATAAATGTTTGATCAACAACAGAGATAGACGCGATAACATCGCCTTTTGAGTTTGTAAAGTACAGCATTGAAACAACGGATGAATCACATTGTCATGAATCGATTATACGGTTGTACTTCGTAACACCAGCCAATGGTAATTTATTTTGCAAAATCCGAAGGCGTCGAAGCGTTATTCACACGGTTACCGACGGTAGTAAATAAACCACCAATAAAGTGTACAACAGGGATTGAGTTTATTGTTTGCGTTTTCCGTTAGGAGTATGACACGTGACCACCAACCAAACCCCAACAAATATGTGCTCGCTTGCTTTTAGCGGTGACTTCTCAATTTCAATTAGGCGATTGCTAATGATGTACCATTCCATTTGCTTTTTACATTTAACAAACTAATTGATTCAGATTGAAATTCAGATTTCATTATTTGCCTTTTTAAAAATCAAATTCCAATTTGGGTTAATGGAGCAATTGTGGGTGAATCGTATTTCATGCGTTTATGCTTTAATTTATGCACCGCGGTGATATAGACACTAAGCGTGTGAAAATGTTTTTGGTGCATAAAAACCATCCCATCCAAATTCCCAGGACTAACTTGTATTTATATGGTGGATGTGTGTTCTTTTGAAAGGAATAAAACTTTTACTGTCAAGTCCGTGTCGAAAACAGTTGTCCAAACTAAAACTTTACAGGTGAATGAAAACAAAGGCGACTGAAAAATTTTCCGACGAAAAGCAAATGAGAAAACTTTCGTCTTGCTTGTAAATTGTATTCGTTTTAATTTTAGCAATTGTTTTTATTTGGCAAGCGTGGAATCTGAGTACGTGGTCCATATGTGTGTTTGACATTTCATTTACTAAAAAGGAAAGGTTTCGTACAAGCACTCAGTTATATTAAATTTGAACAGGACGAATGGACTTAAAGACATTTTCCAAATGAAGATTAAATAGTTTTATTGCATGCCAAAGCTAGCATTTTATATAGAAACCCAAACTTAACAGTGAAAACCATATAAAAAACAGTGGACATATAATTCAGACATCGTTCATTGAAACCGAATAAGAACGGAAATCAATCTGTTCCATTATTTTCGAGGTTGATTTTTTTCGGGTGTGTGTGTGAGCAGTCTTGAAAAAAAGAGAACATTAATGATCAGCATCGGCGGTGTTACAAAAGAAGAATGGAATGTGTCATCAAGTGAAATGGCTCGAGCAAAATAAATGTTGTGCATCCACTTGCGATTACGAATGCTTTGGTCTACATCCCGCCAACAATGTTCGGATTTTCATCCTTTTGTAGAATGTAAGCAATAGAAAAACTTATCCAGTGCGTATAGTATTAACCCCTTTTTTGCAAATTGTCGTTGTCTGTTTTTTTTTCCTTCTGAATGCGCAAAATTGTAAATCATGAAGGCAACAAAAAAAGTTTATGGTTTGCGAAATTACATTATGGCAAATCATCCCAAACAACTGACGACAACGATAACCGAAAAGCACTAAACAAACAAATTACGCAAAACGATTTATATGTTTTGCGCAATGAACAACGAACCAACATTTCACTTCGACCGGAATTAGCAATACAAACGATTTTTCGATTGTTGTTAACAATATTGAAAATTGCCATCTACATTAAATTTAAATTTAAAATGAATTTACAATTTGTATCTTTTTGTAGTTTTTTGGTTATTGCAGTGTATTCGTTTGCCATTTTGGATAGATCTTGAAGGAAACCTTTTTCCGGAATTTAATGGAGTAAAACATAATTCAAAGTACATTAAATATTGGCTCGATAGAATTTTTATACAAAGTATCAACTGAATTGGAGTGAACGATGAAAGAACCGAACATATTCGGTATACATATTCGGCTATTATATTAAATTATGAAAAGCCGTCATGAAAACCAAAATGATGGAAAGTAGCGGGAATCTCTTATGATCTTATCAATTTATGAATTATGACCTTTTTCGGTATTCAATAAATGTGATCAATTCTGTATACAGAACATATATTCTGAGCAAGTCGATAAAATATATCTTTATTATCTATAGTTTCCACTCAAGTGACCGTTTGGACCATCTTCTTTTTATTGTATTATACCCATGTTTTCATTGGTTCATTTGATTGAATCAATGCCTTTTTAAAAATGAAATGTTCTATGATGAAATAGCCAATGACATGCAAATAATTTCAATCAAGATAATAACTACATGATACGTGCACATCTATAGAGTTTCAAACACACACACGAAAAGGTCGACAAGCTCATTCATTATCTGCAGGCGATGTTTTTTTTTATTCGAAAATGCAAATTTGCTGAATTTCAATTAGATTTATTCCGAAAATCTCGAATTCTGGTCACTTTTCACAATTTATGTGTTCGACTGAAATGACGTTGTTTCTGAAATAAAATCAGATTGCATACAAGCTTCTAGAAATATTACTTGAACTTCGATTGCTTTCATAAATGCGAAAAAGAACTGAAGATATTTTTCGATGAGTTTTTAATGTTTTCTCGAGAAAACTACTTACGAATGTATTCAATAATAAAAGTTCTTTTGGAAAATGTATTCGAAACTTTTTTTGCATTTGTGAATTGTATGTATCTATCGATAAGTGGAATATTTCGTGACTTGAGCGTTTTGAAAGCGCTCACTTATTTGTAATTTAATTGTTGGTAAAACATACCAGTACGAATAACGATACGTGATTTACATGCGCCCAACATAAATGAAGAGTACGAAAAATGTCGGTAGTAAAGCTGGCAAATGAAAGTTATCAAACGTTCGTTCGCTTCAGTTTCTAAGAACTTTTACCGATTCTATTCATAGTAGCAACATTCGAATGATTGAATGTTATTTTTATTTCGATATAACATGACAAATGAGTAGAAATATTTTTTTTTATGTTTATTTTTGTTTCAGAACATTGTGATAGTTATTGCGTTCGTCTTAATTTCGTCAACCATTCTTTTGCTTCGATATGCATTTTTTTCAATTATCATTGTTGTTTCTATCTATATGGCTACTTCAATCAATAATGGATATTAACAAATGGAAATAAACACGAACGCAAAGCAGGGCTTGCCAATAAAAGAGTGTTTTTTATTTTGATTGCATTTGTCTTTTGTTCATTCATTTTTTTGTTTCATTTCCGAAAAGAGGCAAATCGATGTTCAGTTTTATTTGATTGTGTTTTTTTATATAGTTTTTTTGTGTGTTCTTTTACAATCGGCCAACAATTATCGTATGAGAATCAATTCAGCACAATTTAACTTCCGGCCTCGAAGAAGAAGGGTCTTTTGCCTCTTCACGCACTAACAAAATCAACACATGCAACGAAACAATCGTAAACAAACTCCGTCGATAGCGAAAAAAATCGAATGAAAAAAGAATGTTTCGAATACTTGATGTGTCTGGACGTAGTTTGAGTCGGAAAAGTGATTGTTGTAAATTGATGTGCGTGCATTTGTAAGTGACAAGGATGAACTAGTCAATTGAAGAGCGCATTTGTTGTCAATGACAATGTTTGCGTCGGAGTATTTTTTTTTTTTTTTGGCAAAACTTTGAAAAACTTCTTTTTGTCGAGCACGAACATTGAAGTTCGATCGATCAAATGACAAGTGTTCCGGAAGTTTTTCAAAATAAATTTTTCCGCATCTTAATGGCATATCGAATGTAAAATGAACAATGTTATGCGCATTGTAAATGTGACGATTACCAAATGAATGTCTCGTAACCTTTTAGAAAACTTCAAGTGACTGCAATCAAATCAAATGAACAGCTGCAACTTCTCACGCAATAATGATATGAATGTATAATGTTATAGCAAATCAAATTAAACAACTAAATTTGGATTTAAATGAAAATCATCGGTTAAATACCGCATCGAAAATTACTTTAAGTCACTCACTCACCACAATTTGTGAGCGTGAAAAAAATAACAAAAACAATCAACGATCTACTTTGGTATGTTGTGTTTACTTGGACATTATCGACTTAGCCATTCGTGTAAATGAGTCAAATGTATACAAACAATTTATCTGCAATATTGTATCTTCCTTTTCTTATAGTCTATTATATGTTTACACACATTTAATGTGCATTATCATTTCGGTGTCTCCCCCTCGATACGCACTGAACCACATTCAAAAAACAATATGTTTTATTACAGTCAGAAGAAGCATTGGTTTGAGAGGGAGCGTGGCGTACCAGAGCGAAATAACAATCGAATGAAGGGTGTCAATATGCTTGTTTGCATTGGCAGTAGGTGGTTGTGCATGATTTGCCCGAAACATTTTCGTTGCCAGAGTCAATTAATGTTTCGTTTCTTCATATAGCTATAGTGACAAAGATTCACTCATATCGCTCGTGTAGAGAAAATTTTATCGAGCAAACAATAAGCGGCACGACCGTCACCCTCGATTTCAGGCTATTAGATCATGTTATTTTGTTATTCGACCGTTCTATTGAGAAAATCCCAAATGAACGCGAAATATAACACATCGTTGATCACTATCGAATCAATGAAATGTCTTTATTTCCTATAATAGTTTGATTGCTATTTTTACGAAATCAAATATATAAACCAGACGAATGACCAAAAGTCGCTTCGTACGCGGATTTAATAACCATTTTAACGATATAAATTTGCTAATTTTGCACACCTTATTTAAATGTAATTTTCTGGGGTTTGAATTTTCAAGGCAAATTCCATCGATATTTATAGTTACGCATAAAGGGGTTTCACGTTGAATCACAATTTATTCATGTTTCGGTTGATTTTAAACACATCGATAAAGTGACGAATTAAGAATGTAAGTTCAAAACGTTTTCGAAAAAAGAAAAACAAATAAAATGTAATAAAGCAGAAAATTAAATAGATACCGTGTACCAAATCTCAGATTAAACATCCATTCTAAAATCAATTGTAGAAAGATTCATACCAATGAATAAATAGTTTGAAGTTTCCGATTTAATGCGATTATCGCACAAGGAATTTACGAAATCGCTGGGGTTTCAATCAACATCTACATGACATGGTTGCTATTCAGGCGATTCGAAAGGAATCCATTTGGTTTTTATGCGTGTTACGATAAGATTCAAACTGAAAAGATGATGGCAATTTGTTTTGATGCTAATATTAAAGGGATTTAAAGCGAACGTTCAGGCATTTACGACGATGACTTTATTAAATTTTTGACTCTCACTTTCCCCAAATCGTCGTTGGCTCAAACCTTCGAAATCTCTCACAGCCAATAAGACTTGTAAACATAATGCTGAATGGCTCCTGTCAGTGAAGATCATGCAATATATAGCAGTGAACACTGCCATACGAGTTATGTAATAACAATGTTGTTCCGGTACGTTACTAAAACCGTCGATTAATATTAGCACATCATTGTTTTCGATGGCTTTGGCATCGTGTGTTTTCTCTAACGTAAGCTTCATTGCAAAAGGAAAAACATAAAACAGCAAACATAAACAAATGGAGGAGGGTGTTTTGCGTTTGCCTAAAACATTTATTATTACCACATTTTTATAAAGTGAACGAAGACTGACGTGCATTTTAATATCCATGAATGAATAAATCATTGAGTTACTGTGCTTTTGTGGGATGAAACGTGTGGTCGCGTGTTTTCGTTTTTTGACATCATTGTCGATTCTGTCTTATTCGCGCGAATATTTAATGAAATTAAATACAAACCCAACTTCAAACATTAAAATGGGATTATTTAATTTAATAAAAACTGACACATTCGACATTTATTACTTCTCAACACCTCCTTGACGACCGTTTTATTAAAATTATATGCACCCACAACTCATACCGCTAGCGGTTTAACGAATTTGAATAGAAAAGAAATGCTTACCGTTTTCAAACCACCGAATAATGAAGTGTGAAATAATATTTGATGTTGGACTGGCATTGGGCGGATATTATGCAAAAAGGCTTTACACAATTTATGTAAATTTAGTTTTTTTTTAGTTTTTGACAATGACATGAGAAAATCCCGAGAACAATTACAAGCATAGTGTATTCTTTACAAGGGTAGTCCAACTTTCATCGCGTAGTCCAAATGAAACACAATTTTTTTCCATCGACATTTTATTAATTTTTTAAAACATTTTTTCTTGGTTAATAACGAAATGATATAAAAATGAGATTGTTCTTTTTTTTGCAGAAGAAATGACAGGTAAATTTTGTATTTATTTTTGTATCAATTTTTCTTTTTCGAAGTGGTCGACGTGCAGTATAATTTTTCGGCATTTTAAAGATGGCCATGGTAATCGTTTGATGTCTCAATCAATCTATCGGGTGTGAGCTGAAAATATAAAGGCAAGTTAATTGAAAATGTGTTTTTGAAGTAGATGTATGCCTTGAACTAATATTTTATCGGATTTGGATATGGGTTCGAAAGGACGAATCACAGCCGAGAGTAATGCATGCTAATTTTGGAATATAATATAATGGATAGTCGTGTCAAAACGACTTTAACCCGAGACCTGAGGGGCCATGCAAAATCAAGACACAATTTTATCATAAAAGTTATAAACAACGGCATATGAGATCGAGCTGAAATTATGAGAATATTTTAGTGAAAAAAAACTTTATGACAATATTTTTTTGTCAGGAAATGGTAATACAGAAAAAATTACACATCATATTGTACTTAATTTGTTTTTCATTGCAAAGTAGCTTTAAGAAAGTTTGGTTTGAATTTGATCGTTAGATGGTTCTAAAGTGTTACTCGAGTGTCACACCTCACGTATTACATATTTGTGCATTATTAAAATGTTAAATAATTAATATCGCCAGATTCGAATGAATTTTTTTTTTGAAGAAATTGCTTGCATGAGTCTGTAGCATAAATGATGTATAAGTTTTTCTAAAGACAGGTCCCGGGCTAGTTACAAGGATTGTTCAATGCTATTTAAATGGAATTCATGAACATTATGTTCTAATTGTTGGGTGTATTTTTCAGGAAAATGGAATCTATTGATAAACAGACCACAGAAAGGACACAAAACTATTTACAAATCTTACCATTGAGACTTTGTTTCGAATATAAAAATGAAAGATTAAATAGGTAAATGTATCTTGATTGTGGTCAAAGTCAAAACAATTTGAAACAATTAACATAGAAACATATGAAATAGCAAAGGTGTGCACATTTTTAACTTCAAGGGATGTCGAAGAGCTCGTCCTCTGAACAAATAAATCGTTTCATTTGTTCAAAACCATTTGAAAAGGAAAGAGATAACAATTAGAGAAAAGATTTTTCACATCGATTATTTTACAAACGATTTTTTCTATATTACATAACATGAGCATAATGAAATCTTACCGAATGGACGCTGGAAAAAAAGGAAAGATAGAAACATGTTATTTATTTTTGAAAACTATCAATCAATGTAAATGAAAAGAAGAAATTCTAATAATAACAATAATTACCATTGGGTGTGATGTCCACAAATATCTTCGTCGGATTGGTGACAAGTACGAGTCACGTAAATGTGCTGGACACTCGGAAGTGGCACGGAAGGGACGGAGTCCTATGTCTCCCAAATCATACCAAAATGGATCACGTGTAAAGGCAGTTGGTGGTAATGATGCACGTGGGTTCATGAGGTTGTCTAAGCTATTGTAGCGAGGAAATCCTCCACGGAAAATTGGCAATCCTAAATAGTAAATGAAACGTATGAATTTGCTTGACCTGTAAATAATGTGCACCGATGTAGTTTTAAAACAAAAAAATGGGAGACTGAAATAACGTCTTCTCTAGCTTTGCAGCAACATTAAAAAAATGTTGAATTTATGAATGGGATGCTTGTGTGACATTGTATTGTATCGATTCACAGCTTCAAACGCAAACGAAAAATGTATGACGGTATTTCAAAAAATAATTACCGTCACTGTCAAAAGCAATTTCAGAGCTGCGTGGAGCCCATCGGCCACATTTAACTGGTGTTGGGGATAAACCTCTTTCAAATGGTTGACGTTCATACTCACTTAGCAAATCGAGTGGAGACAATGGCGACGAAGGCATTGGTGGAATCGATGTAGCACGTAGATCGCGAGGTTGAACACTCAATGAACGCAATGGTGGTGGAGCAATTGGTGGTGGAACACTGAAGGCCCGTGATGGTGAACGTCCAGAACGACCTGCAAAGAAAATGAATTGCATATTCGCAAAAAGATATTGTTTTGTCATCATTTCGGATATGACTGCTACCACTGCTGGTAAACTGGAAAGCATTAAGCAAGACATATTTTATGCAGAAAATGTCATTTGAATATACCAAATATTCCGAGAAGCCATTTGCAAGCAGAAGCGATTTTCAAATGGGAACTGATGTGGATACTTTCCGGACTGAGTGTTCATTAGAATGAAAACAGATAATCAAAATAAAAAAAAGAATAAGTATGAAACAGGGAAGAAGAAAAGAAGTGCTTTGAAATGAAGGGCGAATCAAAAATTATGTTTTTTGGCGGTGGCTTTCGCAATCACTTTATTTTTGCTTTTCGTCATGGTTCCATCATTACTAAGTAATTTAGAATAATAAAATATTTAAAGTTTTTATCATCTAAAAATATTTAAAATTATTAATAAACAATTTTGTTTTCATTTCGGGATAATTTTCAAGTCGTTCGGAAAAGAATTTGTTTTTTACATATTGCATTAAACGAAAAATATACTGGAAATGTCCAGTGTATTTAAATGCTGATAAAAAAGTAAACAAAAAACAAAATAATTGAGCTTATTGCTCTTGCTAAATACTCTTTTCTCCGGAATAAACATTTTAATCCAAAAAAGAGCTTCCGCAGCTTTTACCAAATTAAAAAATAAAATAAAATGATTGGGCAATAAACAAAACGTGGGAGAAAGAGAATAATAGTTACGTAAAATAAGATTTAGTTCGTATTAAATTAAGTTATTGCGTGGCTGGGCCTGCATTTTGCGCTTATTCCAAATATCTACGATAAATAAACAACTCAATAATTAATTGCTGTTAGAATCGAAGCAAACATGAGATTAATTGGAATTTTCACCGATTTTCTTTAGACATCGAATGCCGATTTCAACCCTTGACTTGTGTTCGCACACACATATTTAAAACACATTTCACACGTTATTTCTTCCTTTGAAATGATGTTGGGGAAATTAAACTAGAGAGAAAGAGACAGACAGATGTAAAACGAAAGAAAAAAGAGACAAAACATCAAAGGAAGAAATTATGTAGTCTCGAGTCGCAACGACAATAGGTTGTGTAAAGAAAATGGTCATATCACGTCAGTAAGAAGCGCAAAATGAAAGCTCAACAACGTAAAAACCATTTACATATTTTCAATATTTTTTTTTTTTGAATATTTTATGATTTTTCGTATTTTTTCGTAGTTTTTCCATGTATCTTGGTTAGTGTTATCTTATTCGATGACCTGCGTCGTGTAAATGTTGTGCTGTTTTTATGTATTTTTTCGTGTTCTTGTTTCATTTTTTTTTATTTCATCAAAAGTATTTTATTCATTTTTATGTTTGTATATGTTTGATGTTGCTTTTTGTATGGGCGATTCTGTTAGCGAGAATGGAGGAAGTGAGTTTGACCGTTTATTCCTTACCGGACTTGAGCAGTTTATCCTCTGGTTCATATTCTTGTGGCACTTTTGGTGTTTTTTTATGTGAAAAAAATGGACAATTTGGAAATTAGAATGCAATTTAATGACCAACAATTTTAATGATTTTTAACTCACCTACAACTGTGTTTGGCTTGTCTATATGAGTGACAGAAATAAATAAATAAATTAGAATTAGTATTGATGAAAAAAATGTGTACATCAAAAATTATTTGAAAAAATTCAAGTTTTTAAATCCTAATGAAATAGAATAATAACCTTTTAAGTAAAGCCCGTAACGTGATGGGTACCTGTAAATAACGAATGTCAGTGAAAAAGTGTCTCTATCGTAATTAAATTTTAATGATCAAAAATCTAACGTTAATTTTTGTAAGAAGGCCAACCAAGACTTACCGACGTTCAATGTCCTTCATTCTTTGCAAGTGGTCAAACCAAGCACGTTCTGCATCGTACACGTGAGCATATTCACTAGCTGAAAAGACCGTTCGATTGATGAAATTATGATTTGAAACATGAACATTTAGAAAAAAAATTCAACATGACTTGGCAAATGATGCAAAAAAAAGTATTACATTTCTGGCCATGGACTCATTAAAAGCGGTTGCATTCCTCGTTTCAAAAGCGATTTCTTACCATTTCGTGCGCATACAAAAACAAGCTTCAACTGTTTGCAATTTAAATAATCAATATAACTCATTGTTTAGTGGCTATATCATTTTCAATATTTCATCGATTCCTTTTATTGCAAATTCTCATTTAAAATAAATAAATTGCATTTGTAAAAATATTTAAAAAGCATTAATCAAAATCGTTCGTTATATCTTTTTTTAAACAATTAAACTGATGAAATATCTGCAAATTATAATAAAATCTCTTTCATTTATTTATTTATCATTTGGCAAGTAGTTAGTATAATGCGTATATATTGCAGATGTTGTGTGTAGTTTTTGTTTGGTTGTTGTAGCTCGTAGCAAATTGTTGTGTTGCAAAAATAAAATAAAACTGAAGCTTCATCAAGGAGAGTGCGTTTTTATAAAGCTGTCGATAGCGTTGCTTGACTTGGGCATGTGTCTTTTCAAAATTGGTGTGCAATGAATTTTCATCTGAATTCGGCCAAATTAAATGCCAGAAACGTTCATAATAGCTCATAACAAAAAAAAAAAAAATAATAATTTGGAATTTAGCGGCAAATTCTAACATTTATTCCGAAGTAAATTTACTTTATAGGCGTGCGAAAGTTGTGCACATTTATTTATGCTGCAAGAAAAAAGTGAAGAAAAATCATTTGAGAGAAACATTTAAACGTGTTTTGCAATTTAGTGCCATTAATTTTGGTGTGTTCACAGTCCAACATTCAATGCGTGTATGTGTGTATGTAATAAACAGAAAGCAAGTTTGATAAATGACACATTAAATTGTAATCGGAACAAATACAAATTAGAATGAAGTTCGAAAGGATATTTTGGCAAACGATTCATTGTTATCGTCGTATACGTGAAAGGAAGTATGCTACTCTATCGCACCCGCTCATTATATCAAATACGAGTTATTTTTAAAACAAAAGCTTTTCATTTGAAATGAAGGAGCGAACGAACTAATTACAAAAACAATCATCAACCGCATTCCTTTTTACTGAGTTCAAAAGAAACTATCAACGCCCTCTTGCCCCCCTCATTCTCTTTCGCTCTTTAAATTATTCACGGAAAACATATGAGCAAATAATAAATATCCTGCTATACTTGAGTTATAAATGAAAATTTTCACTTTTTCGCATTGTATTTATAGATTTTGCAATTTTCTTGGCTGGTGATAACAAAGCTGTTGAATTTTATAGTAGTTGCAACGCTTTAAACAACTGAAACAATGATGAATAATTTCTTATTAAATCCCGCGAATGAAAAAAAAATAAGTGTAACGTGACAGAAGTGTTAATTTCAAGTTGAAATTTTCAACTTCCCACTATGATGAGAGTTTATAAAGATAAGGTCACATATTCTTTCAAAATCAAAAACATAATCGTAAAGTTATGTAATTTACACAATATAAAAATAAATCGAACGATAAATCCAGGCAGTTTTGTTAATTTAAATGATGTTTAGACTGAAGTAGAGATAGAGTGAGTGAAATAAAATAGTAGTAAAGCACATACACACGCAATAAGTTGGTGCATTTTGTTTTTGTGATGAACAACCAAAATGAAGGTGTTTGTTTTCATGAAGCAAATGAATGCAAATTGAATTGAATGAATGAATAGAAAACGATGATGTCATTTATACATACTGGGTCTTCCATAGTGGTGCGAATAGATTGGTCGTGGTGAATAACCGTATGTTTCGCGATGGACTGGCAAGTAACGGTAACCAGCACCAACGATTCTTTCGGATGCTGTGCTCGGTTCATCATAGATGCTACGCAATGGTGGCAAGTCAGCGCTCAATGGTCTCCAGGAGTTTATTTTTGGTGAATCGTGGGCACGGATATCATCCGAACCTAAATTCGAACAAGCGATTTTTTTTTTGTTTTGACACCATTCCAATTTTCCAAACTGAAATTTTAACATTTAAATACCTTTAAGCGATCTGACATAGGATTGCCAGAATTTGGCTTTTTTGCTCGGCGTCTCATTACGACCGATCATTTCCAAATGTTGCTTGAATGACATGATTGCGATTTATGTATTCTCGTTCGCTAGAAATAAAGGCGAAAAAAAGGGAAAAAGATTTTTTACAATTATGTGATTTTTTATAACTTGAAACAGGTGCATGTATGATTTAAATTTATAAAACTGTGCTAGCTCACATTATTATAAATTCACAAAATTTACGATTAGACAATATGTTTTCCGTTTAATGATCTCGTGACAACAATAGTTTTTTACGTAAGTTTTGGTGAGCAAAAAGAAATCGCTATTGTGTAACCTGTGTTGAAATCAGTGTAAAGTCATCGCCGAATGTGCGTACGTATACGAGCATTATGAATATAAGCAAATGTCGGTATGTTCTTTTGACGAAAGTATTGAGCGACATTTTTGAGCTCATGCTGCGTATAGGAGAGCCTCAGCTCGTCGAAATCGAGATATTTTAAGCAGCATTTTATTAGGTCTGAATGACGAATACATTGAAAGGTCGTTTTAAATTTTGATGACGATGCGAGTGTTCCATTCTATAGAGCGATCTATTTTTGGATTTGCTCTCATATTTGAAATAATTTGTTGCTCTGAGCATGCTCAAAACAACAAACATTCGAAAATCAGAATAAGGTTTTCCTTTCGAATCGGACGTATTTTTTTTAAACATAAAACTGGCCAACGAAATTAATATGCAAATTCCACGGCCGAAATGTGTTGTGGCTCGAGCTGTGGCTCGCAATGGAACCGTTATAAATAGAACCACATCAATTTTTTTCTCTGTATTCAATTTGATTTGTTTGAATAATTCAAACAACTTGGAATTGAAATCGGTTTTTCCCGATTGAATCCATTACCAAGGCCAATACTATTTACATAGAGTCTTTTCACCAAGGTCTCTATTCGCTGTGGTATTTCGTCTATTTTTTTGTCTTTATCCTTTTTTTATAGTGAGTCATTTGATGAAATTTTTATATGAATTTTATGAAATCTGCTTGCCCGTTTGCTTGATTGACATGTGAGCTAATTTCAATTTTAAAAATATTCACGAGAAAGGTGTATTTGCACTGCTCATAAATGCACCTCGTTTTTGAGCTGGTTCTTATCACTTTTTTCAACGTATTTAGAATGAAAGGAAGCTATTGATGCATTAAAAGAAGTGTTGCTTATATATTCATTTACGATTTTCTTTACAGTGGAAATGAAATCATTAAATAAGGTGTCGAATAAATATTAAAGAGATAATTAAAGATGGACTGAATCAATTGCACTGCATGTCTCGACACAAGGCGATTGAAAGAGTTATCACAGTTCATTAAATGAATATACACAGAAATTCGTTCAAATGAAAATTGGCGTTTCATTTTTTTTCTTTGAAAATTTAATTTCTTTCAACATTTATTGTAACGTTAAGTCATCGTCAGTGGTTTCATTGAATCCGAGCGTGTCTCTATTTGCAGTGAATTTGGATGGGATCCAAATTAGGTGGGCGCACATTTTTCTTTTTTTTCTTCGTCTCTGTATTGTATTATATAAGAGAACATTTTGTGGGAGTCTTCTATGACTTTGATACACAATTGAATAAAATGTCTTATTTTTTAGGGTCTCAATTCTATTTTTTTAATCTCTCTGACACAAAAACACCATTATTTTTGTCAACATTTTCTTGCATTATAGCTAATGGTCTAATTCCACGTTGCTGAAATCTTCTGTTGCAATTTGTTTTCTTTTTTACTCGCATTTAGAAATTAGGACACATGACATTATATCAATCTTTTCTATCGAAAAAAATCCTTCATGGAATTTGTATAATTGAACATCACATTGCACGCTCAAATCAAATTGGAGTACGGCATTATACTGAATTTTCATCTCAGTAACGGTAAAATTTATTAATCGTATTATTATTTAACTTTTTTGAACACAAAATTCACTCGAATAAATTCACACACTTCTTGAGAAAATTGATTTCGTAAAAGAAAATTCTTGGTCCCAATTAATTTTTTTTTAATAATCAGAACTGTAATTTGGTATGATATGTTGTTTTTTTTTGTGTAGTTTCTTACCAGAAATTGAGAGAAAAATTTATGAATTATCGAAATTAATTCGAAATCGAGACTAATGAAAATGAAGATATAAAAATTATCTGTGATTTTCAATTTATTAAGTTTTTGATCTATGATGTTTACCGAACCAACCGAAAAAATCTACTAAACGAAAAACGGTGTGAATGTTTACTTTTCACACTCAAAAATTCGATTTGGCAAACGAATTTAGTCAAAAAAAAAAGTGGTTTCGTCGATCCTACGTAGAAACGATCGCGTTCATTCGGCAAATCGTTTTAATGTTGACAGTGATGACGATGACGGACGGTTGTGTAAAGAAAATAAATTCATATACACAAACAAAAATAGACGATCAAATCGACTCATATTAAAATATAAATAACAGCAACCGAGCCAATACATTTGAATGGGATATTTTGTGGTGTGCAAGTAAAACCATTTGATACGCAAGCATCATTTAGGTACGTAAACATCGCCAACGCACCACAAACTTATTACGTTGCGCTCAATAACTGACCATTTTTAAGCTTCTCAAGAGAAAGTTTGATTTTTCTTTCTCTCACCAAGTCCTCCAGTCATCCAGCTCTACTCATTTCACTTCAATACAAAGATAATTCAGATACATACTTAAATTACATCCTATTGTTATATGTGAAATAAATAAATAATTTTCGGTGAACACAAGTTGAAAATGAGGAATTTTTCTAAAATATGAAATGACGCAATCACTTTTGATCCCCAATTTGCACGAATTTGAAATATGTTTATGAAGATTTGTTTTTTTGTCTAGAAAATCTATAAACAGTTTTGTTGTTCTTTTCGGTATTAAAATTGGGTAGTAAAATCAAGTGATGATATCAAAAACATATTTATCTTTAAAACACAAAATTAGATTCATTGCAGACCGAAATTTTATTCTCCAATATACTAAAAATCACATTCTACTAATGGCATTTTGTCTCAAATATGGACGTATATGTATGTGCAAAATTTTTATAATCCATTATTTTGAAATTAGAAACCAGAGACTGTTTTTCAGAGACATATGAGAAGCAGCGTTCTGGGAAGCCTTAGGAGCACTAAAGATCAAAGCTCCTTCTCAGTAAGTAGCAAAATATTAAAAGTTGAAAAAAATAACTAAAATCATAATATTATTAATTTAATTTAAACTTTTAATATTTTGCTCCTTACTGAAGAGGAGGACTGCTTCTCCAATACCTCAGAGTGCTTCCCCTCACATTTATTGTTATGAAAAACGATGAATTGAAAATTTGAATACTAACTGAATATGGCATATCGTTGTTTAGTTACAATTTGCTGGTTTACTACGGTAGCAATGAAGCGTCTTTCATATTTTTCATTCATTCAATTTTTCACTTGGAAAAGAAAACGTGAATGCACAGTCAATCGCAATGAACTCATTGGACGTATATTTTTATCCCGGATTTAAATGATCAAACACAAGTTTGGTTGAGGGATAATAAACAGATTAACGTTAAAAAAATCGAATGCGTATCATCAGATTTGCGTCATCTATTCGGTTTTGGCCTTTGAATTGTGCATCTTGTTGTGATTTATACAAACACGCGCCGCTATCAGATATTATTCCGAACAAAAATGATGTGCACACTTTATTTTTCCATACAACCTGACGATTGCAAAGCAATGATGTAAAGGAAAAAATTGTCAAATAACATGAATGTAGGCGTTCGATTACGTCTATTTAAAATAGAAATCGCACAAGCAAGCTCTTAACTTAAGGCTTTGACGATCATTTTGTTTATCCTTCTATCGTTTGAGCGCGCATTTATAATGAAAAGAATGAAAATGAAATCGACTAACTTATTTATATCGTGAAATTGTTTTACATTCGATGAAAAAGAAAAGAGTCGCGAATCACGCCATAAATCGACAATACACAAAATTTGTTTTGCAAAATTCATTTCTGCCCCCTTACTTGAAACAATGTGCCAGAGCTTGATAGATTGTATTTTCGAATGTTTGATTTTTCGAATTCAAGAGCTGATTTATCACAACTTTCTTTAGCCAATGACGTTCGATGATCTTAGCTAGACCTTGACGCAAGAGCATGTTCGACACAACTGATCGTGTGGTTATTGTTTTTTTTTTCTTCAAATGATGTTAATGACAAATTTTCAATATTTTTTCTTCACTTCCTTTGTGCCGAAATTAAAACCAAAACTATTGCGATGCTGACTCTAAATTTGAGTTATGTGTTTATTGCTCACGAAAAAGTCAAGTCAAAATACTTTTATATTCTGCCAAATGCCTGCAGCTCATCACAAGAATAAACATGCCACCGTTGCAAATCAAAAATGAACAGAAGAAATACCAAACGTTTTGAATATTCGTTTTCATATCTATTTGAAGAATTTTTTCAAAGTTTTCATTCGTCGCATTTGAAAAATGTTGATTAGAATTTCAGGTAATATAAATTTGAAATGAACATTTTCATGCATTATTCCAATGGACTTGTCAAACCATTTGACTCACTGATCTTGACCCAATTGATTTATTTATTGCAGTTGTTTGAGTTTTGAAGTGATGCATCGGTCACGCTACTTTATTTGTCTTCAAAGTTGTTTTACATGCAGCGCGACTGGCTAAATTTGTAGTCATGTCAAAGCGTAGTATTTTCTCAATCCATCTCCGTCTTTCAATAGCGTGTTTTTTTTTTAATTAAACGAGAAAATTGAAAAATATATAAGAAAAGATTTTTCGTGGCACGAACCACGTATTACGAAAACCAATGGCCTTATGTAAAGCCCACAACTTGTCTCGACTAAATTTTAACAGAAAAAAATAGTGTTGTAAATAAAATATCGTTTTTCTTCCATAGCGCGCACACAGTGAAAATGATCACGTTCATTTGGTATGTTGCCAAAATGTATATACTTTGCTGGTTTCAATTTCATCGTAAAGCGAGAACTGTCGCCAAAAATTTCATAATTGCCATGGAATATTCAAAAACACTCAAAATATTGTTCGTGAAATTAAAAAAGAAAAAAATATATTTGATATTGTACATTTTTATGCTTTATGTGTCTATTCTTACAAGTGCAAAAACTTTACGATTTTACTTCAACAATTCATCGCATCAGTTCTTCGCTGATTTATATATATAAAAAATACTATCTTTTCGTTATAAATATATTCTCTCTTTTTTTTAAAACATTTTCAACCTTTCAAATATATTTATAGTTTTATTCGAATGAATTCGGGGTGAAGAAAACTGAACTCACTATCTAAACCAAAATCTACGTGTTTCGGTGTAGTTTAAACGAAAAGTAAAATTTGATGCATGCATTCACTCATAAATTGAGATGTTTTGGTTAGTTTAAAAGAACTTTACAACGAATGAATGAGAATTAAGAACCAAAAATGTTGATGTACATAACTTAAACAAAGTGTGTGTTTTGTGCGTCTAGAGATCGAATTCGTATTTTAATCGGGCAAATCGATGCTGATAATCGGAACCACTGGTTTCATTTGATCGCACTTTTTGTTCAATATATCTTTCGATTTACTACGAGTGCCTGCTTCAGCGTCCGTTGTCGAGTCCAACGGTACACTTTGATTTCTTGTATTGTGGTAACCAATATTTCCGTATTCCTGAAGACATGGCAATGCACTCAATAGAAACTGGCTGAACGTCTTTCGTATACCGAACCACCCTGAAAATCAATGTGAAAAATTCGAAAAATTAAACAAAATAAAGATAAAAATGAAGAATGTATACGTACATTTATTGCCACCCTTTGAATTGAAACTGAGCAATATCAAGGCGAACAATCCCATAAAAAGTGGTATAGATATAACTGTATATGGCAGTGATGTCAAATCACCATCCAATTTGTCGGCGAGTAAAACTTGATAAACTAAAATTGGAATGACCGTTAAAGAGTTTCCGATTGCCGAATTAATCGCTGTACGTCGTTGCGTTTGTGATACCTCCGGTGTTCGCAGCAAAATTCCACAGAATATTACACTGTATAGTACACCTTTGATGATTTATAAAAAGAAGATTATGATATTTTGAATAAACAACGTTAAGATATAAATGAACCATTATATTTACCAACTAAACTTAAACACAAAACGATCCAAAGTGGAACAAAAACCACTTCCCATGTCCAAGAAACCAATTCGTCTAATTTCAAAGGAAGGAATACAAACTGCAAAGAGAATTAATCAAAATGAAATGTTTGGTAAACAAAGTTGTAGAAAACTGACTACCATTCATGAGTGCTTATACGAGTAGTTTGATGGAATGCGTAAAGCACACTAACACAGATATTCTCAGCCATGAATGCATACAATTATTACACTTTGGTAGACAATTTCTTTTTTTTAAAAGGAAATGATATAGTACCTGCAGTGCATTAACAGCCATGAATAGTTCCAATTCAAATGAACGATCATGTTTAACGGACCACACACACGCCCCAACACTTGCCACACTCCCGAATATTAGCGGAACAAATACAATAACCCACAATGGATGCGGATTTGTCGTCATATTTGACGTCAAACGATCACATGCCAAGAGCTCGAACATCAGCAAAATGAGATGCAGTGAGAATGAAATGAGCATTGCTTTAAAATGGACGTATGAATCACCTTCAAGTCTGCAAAATATAATATTTATATGTAAGTCTTGATGTCTATATAAATTCTCATCTGTTGTATTACCGATAATGGGGATTCCGACACCAAACGAATGTTCCACACAGAGCTCCAAGACCAACGATCGCGTTCCATATCCAAATTGGCATGAAAACGGCCCAGTAGCTCCAATCTATCGGAAATAAACAAAAGTTTAGAATTATTCCACCAAAGTAACATCAGAATAGCTGTCAAATACAGTAACCATCGTAATGATGTGTTTTTTTCATTAAGAAATTATGCCAAACTACGATGCATTGAAAATTTTCTCACTTATTATGTTATCCATTCGTAGTGTGAATAATATTGCAAATACAAATAGGCAGCTATGCACAACGAACTTGCTGTAAGTAAAGAAAATGACAAATATCAAAAATAAATAACACTCTTTAGAATGAAAAATGACTTGAGATAAATTGAATCTCACATTACCTTGGATTAAAATCCATCAAAAGCGTTTGTAAATCCATATTAAATGGACTTTTATGTAATTCTTGCTATTGCTTCTATTTAATTCAGTGACGTTTAATTAAAAATGAAACATGTTCGCCGGATTTTCAGAGTAAAATATATTGTGGTAAATGTTTTGAAATTCGATTGGATTCGGAACGAGTGAATGAATTTATTTCAATTTAAATAACTTGATAATGTTTTGGCTATCTTTCAAATACTATGATTACTAGTGTTATATTCAAATGGAATCGTACATAATGTGCGCATTTGTTTGTTTAGAAAGTATTGAACATTTGACAGTTCATTTGTCAACGGAATGGAAAACGAAATTTGGAAAGTGGGTATAGTTAATTTAAAATAAAATACCAAGACGTCTCATATCATGCACTGACGAATAAAGCTAATATTTTCAAAATTTTACAATGAATTTTCAACAAAATAGTGAAATTACTAGCGAAACATTGTAATTTTTATATTTAATATAATCCGTCGTTAAGTCGTCAACTCGTAGTGTCATCTGTTGGAGAGTCGATGAATTAACATTTAAACGTCGGCTGGAAATGAAAACATCAGGAATGTCAATGAATACATACTTTCTAATGAAACGATACAGCGTTCTTGGAATTAGAATCATTTTCGATCGTTAAAACAAAGAAATGATGACAAAATGGGTGATACTTTGACGGAGGAAGAGTGTTGCAACTCCGGCTGTAATAACTGTGTATTTGATCAACCTCAACGGCAACTCAATAGCAAATTAAAGAGTGTTAAAGATGCAAAAGTCAATTTATTTGATGGAACTTATCGACAATTCAATTTGCTATTGACCAAAAAAGTACGAAAAATGTAAAAATGTTTCGATTTCAAGTCCCACTAAGACTACAAAGTGGAATGGATGTTACGGTGAATTTGTTTGGTCACCATATCTATCCAAACACAAATATCTCGTATGCATTTGTCAAGGTGTTGTGATTGCACCAATGTTTCCATTAATTTTATCGACTGTGTCGAATGAAGATGATGAAACGCTTGTTTATTTAATTGTTTGTTTTAAAAATCTTGATCATTTTTTATTACGAACCGACCTAGCTGAACTTAGAAAATATTGGAACATTCAATCAATTGTTTATTTATCTGAATTTGAACATATTGTGCAGTATTGTGATAAAAGTTTTAAAAATTGTTTATTTATTCAGCCACGCTTACTTTATGATGAAACAGTATATTCTAGCCGTTTAGATGAACACGAACTACTGAAATTTTATGAGGAACGAGGCAATAATTCCATTAACACTCTATTTTGTGGTACACCTAAGTTTGAATTTGAATCATGTAATATAAACTATTTTTGTCTCAAATAAAAATTTAAAAAAATTTATATCGTGACATGTCAAGAATTATTTTAAAAAATCATCTCAAAAGATGCATATGTCTTATGAATTAGATACTGCGACATTGAGTACGGAAAGTTTATTTGGAGAAGAGCGTTTTTCATCAGAAGTAAATAATAAACCAGATCACCTGGATTTTCATAACAAACTTCGTCTAAATAGGCGCTCGTTTGGATATCCAGATAATACGAAAAAAGCCTTGGATGATATTTGTAGATTCAGATTTTTACTTAAATTTAAAAGATAGTTGAATTTTACCCAGCTCTAATACCAATTTTTTACAATTTTATGAATTCATTTCAATAAAATATGAGGCTGAAAGTTCCATGAGGCTCAAATCAATCCAAAAAGTCATGAATCAAATCATCTTGTCATCATCCCATATCTGTTGATCAGGTCAGCGGAATGCATCAATTCTGGAACTGTGGCGACATCGACCTTCTGACGCTGATCGTTTTGCCTTTTCCAAAGCACCTCGCGTCAATTGATTGAAATCAATGATCGATAGGCTTGGTTTTGGCGGAACATTAACTAGTAGTTCGTCTGTTGTTCCAACGTTACTAAAACCACATTTGTCTTCAATTAGTTTCTTGCTTTTTGCGCTTTTTGAATCGCTGAAATCCAAATTCTTAAACTTTGACGCATGAATTGATAACAATGAATATTGATCGGGTTTGTGATGGTCTGGTAATGCATTTATATTGAGGTAGATATTTTTCGTTAAACGTGAGCCAAATCCACTTCTGGTCGGTGAGCACTCATTCGATGTAGAACTGTAGTCGCGCAATAACTCTAAATCATTATAACTTATTGGAGCATATGCTCGAGTCGTGTTTGGTCTTGGTTTTATAACATGACTCTGACGAATTCTCGATCGTGAGCGATGTGTTTTTGGTCGATGTTTTTTTGATTTTAGCTCATTCACCATTGGAATAGTCAGTATATTTGTGAATCGATAATACTGAAGCAATGTTCTGACAATATTTCGACCATATCGCATATCTATAAAGATTTTTGGCAATATCAGTTAGTTATTTGTTGTTGATAATACAATATTAATACTCACAGTCATCTTCCGTATACTGAGCGATAATTTGAGTTCCTTTAAGTTGATATCCGCACATCGATATTTCCAATGTGTAAGCGTTCACCGAATCGCTTAGTTTTTCACAACAAAAACGTCTGGCTGATCCACTTTTCCTCTCATCCGCATTAAACATCATATTGGAAAAATCGGCCGCTTTTGATGATAAAAGTTTTGGAAAAACTAAATGCCGTTCGTATCGGTACACATCTTCATACGTATTTCCATAAATAAAAGAACCAATTGATGTGGTATGGGCGTGCAAATCTAATACGAAATCAATCTGATAGCTCTAAAATGAATAAATTGTAAAAGGTTTTGGTGCTGGCGTGGAACGAATTTATCTGGCACAACAATACCTCAGACGAATCTAGTTCCTTCAGCATATTCTTTATGGCTACAATAGTGGGATGAGAAAATTCCGTTGCAATGTTCCAAGCACGATTCAAATCTTGGCCAATCAAATTGCATCGATTATTACCAAGAAAAACACCATCCGGGTTAACCATCGGAATAACTTTAAACACGAAATTTTCTCGTAAGATAGTGGCAATCGGATGTGATCCGAGAAGAAACTCCAAAAAACCTTGACAAACAAACGACGTTACCTAGAATATAAATGTTTAAAATAAATAAATACTCGTAATTATAATGAGAATATGTCTTGAACATACAGACTCCCCTGGATGCGATCTTGCCAGTACGACAATGACGCGAATGGCATTTTTCGAATCAATTTTCATAGGTTTTGGCACATGATCAATGGTTATCAATTCAAGCTTGCGTTGTTGCTGAACGCAAAGTGGAGAAGAATTATTTACATTCATGGTCTGTTGTGATATAATTTGATGAATACATTTTGCACATATACTTACCAGACTTTGGGTGAGCGTTGTGCGTTCAAATTTATCATGAAATCGTCCATCCAGCGCAGAAATATATGCTTGAAGACGTGAGTAGCTAAAGGGCGGAGCAACTGCAAACTGAAATTAGTGAAGTGGAGAAATTATAATTTTGCATACATTGTATAATTTTTTATTCATTTTTTTGCATATTTACCTGATATATTTCATCCTCTTTTTCAAATGCAAATGCAAAACTTAGAACATAGTGATTTTGGTGCACCGGTGATCGGTAGTAAAATACATGATGTTTCGGTATTCGTTGCCTAAAAACATAGATATTTAAGTTATTCCCAATTGATGACAAGAGTTTATTTAACTGTTACCATTTTGGTCGTCCTGATGATTTTACGATTGGTGTCAAACCAAATTTAAACAGATTTCTATTCTTGCTTATATTCACAATATTGAAGATAACACGCTGCAACAAATATTAAGCTCTTTAATCAAATATAAAACACTCGAGGTATATCATTTACCTGATCTTGTTTAGTATTGTCAACCGTAAAATTAAACCAAAATCTATATCGAGGATTACATGTATCTGGACGCAGAAAAAGATCGTATTCAAATTCGCCCACGAGATCGGCTCTGCCTAAATTTCCGGTTTCGAATGCTGCATCAAAGCATAAATGACCACGTTTCGCTTTTCCACTATGGCCCGGTGGTCGGATTATCACTCGGCTCACATTACCTAGGCCGCCCTCACCATCACTATCTTCTGAATCTAAAAATAGAAAAAAATATTATAAAAATTACCGCTTAATAGGTCAGCAATGGTTATCACTAGGGAATTTATTTGATCTTTCGACCTTCATCCCTGCGATACATCGAGCGTAGCTCTAATGGATCGCAAGCTGGTACAAGCATCATTTTGAATGCTCTTCTCGGTGTAACTTGTTTTCTACTGAGAAACTCATGACGATATGAACAATTTCTTATAGTTTCTTAGTTTTTTGCATCGTATTATTTGTAATTTGTGCATGCACACATGTTTGTGAGTAATGCATTGCATATACGTGTGGGATTGCGTTTTAACGGAGATGTTATCGCATAGTTTCCGATATGGATTTATAAATGCAATAAAGTTGAATGATTTTTGACACCAACTTATGCTTTTTCCCATGCTTTATATTGAAAGAGGCATCGACCACAAGAAACTCACCTGACATGCTACAAAATCCTCAACACATTATCAAGTTAGCATATTGCAATATCATACGTTTCACAAAAGCCTATGTTAACGAGCTCGCAATTGAATCGGGCTTAGAATCAATTTAAAATGGGTTTCGATTAAATGCACTATGAAATGATTGCATGCTACTCGATTTCCTTAAAGTTTGTTGAATATTCACTTAAGACTTTTTACATGTTAACACGACACGAATTTCTAGTTTTTTTTTCTATCAATTTCAGCAGTTGATTAACATTAATAGGATTTTTTTCAGTTAATCTAACGCAACTTGCACCAACGCCTCTTCTAAATCACACAATTCAATGTAATATCATAGCGTGAAGTCATATGTGGCGCAATGCAATAAATGTTTGGTCGATAATTGTATATTGTAAAGTTGTTGTTAGTGCCTAGGAAATGTTGAACTCAATATTGCATCTATTAAATAAGAAATATATTAATAAATACCCCGTTATACCCCGGTGCGAATATCGCAATTACAACGCATTCATTTGGAGCGCATGACCCAATCTATTTATAAAAACTATGCCATTCTTGTTTGTTTGACAATTTATTGTTTTTCAGTTGCAATTTCAAAATGATAGAAACTTATAAAATATGAAGCTCTATGCAAATCTTACTATGTCCAAATTGGACAGTTGAATCGGCGCAAATTCCCAAACATCTCAAATATTCATTCATCAATAATGATAATAATGGAATGCAAATGTTGATAATTAATTTAATATGAATTTGTTGCTAAGTGATCAAAGTCACGTGTGTCTATTTACCTATACAAAATTTATACAAACATTCAAAGTTGATAAAGTGCACAATGCTACTTGCACAAAGATGTCGCTGTATCGACGATTTTACGATTAACACACTCAAACATTGACAGAAAATCCGATAGTACTACGATATCGTACGACAATGACGTTGACGTGTTAATTTAGATGTATTGCACGAGACATTAAGAAAAACACCAGAAAAAAAACATTTTTTGACAGACAGTCCAGGTATTTTTCGATAACTTTTGGTTTAATAAATAGTTAAAGAATCATTATCACTCGGTTTATGAAAAATAGCTCGTTAATTGTACATTTGTAAGGTGAAATATTCGTTTAAATTTATAAATTTGTTGTTTTATTTTACATATAGATGTAAGTGGTTGCATTGGACAATGAGTAAATGACTAAATAAGAAAAAAAAAATATTACTTAAAAAAATACATACGTACTGTCTAAGCTTTGAACAATTATTTAAATATTCATTACATGCCAAGGTAAAGTGGTAGCTGAGCTATTTTGTTTGCATGTATTTGTATTTTTATAAGAAATCAAATCGAGTTTTGCGTCAATTGCTACCTTTAATTACATTAAATGTAAGTAATTTTTCGTTTCAGTAATTTGATTCATAGGCGAAAATTGCGAAAAAAAAAAGTTTAACACGTCAATATGGAAAGTAATCGTGACGAAGCTGAAAGATGCATACAAATTGCAGCGCAATCATTGCGGGAATTTAAATTGGAAAAAGCGGAAAAATTTCTAAAAAAAGCTGAAAAACTTTATCCATCACAAAAGGCAAAAGGTACAGAAAGATTCATTATTGTTTTTTTATTGACTATGCACTAATATGCCAAATATTTATTTTGCCACATCAGATTTGTTGGAAAAGGTGTTAGCATCAGCTCAAAATAATACAAATGAAACTGACTCAATACCAAAGGACGGCGATTCAACACGACGACGAAAATCAGCTGCCTCACCCTCCCGAAAACCGCAATCGTCGGAGCCTGACTATACGCCCGAGCAATTACAGCATGTTAAACGAATTCAGAGGTACAATAGTTTAACGATTTCATCAATGTTTTGAATCATTTTAAGGTGTATGTCTGCGTCTTTTCAGTTGTAAGGATTATTATGAGGTACTAAAAGTTTCGAAAGATGCGACAGACACCGATATTAAAAAGTCATACAAAAAACTTGCGTTGGTATTGCATCCAGGTAATCTTTGTTTAAATATCATGTATAAATGGCATGTCTTAAAAGTCTTTGAATTTTTTATTAACTTTTTGTCATCTTCCGTCAATAATTTCAGATAAAAATAGAGCGCCTGGTTCAGCCGAGGCTTTCAAAGCTGTTGGAAATGCTGTTGCAATCTTAACAGATGCGGAGAAACGAAAGTCCTACGATTTGTATGGTTCCGATGATCAACAGAACATAAGCCGAGGTGGTGGCGGTGGCGGCGGTTATAATCATCACAGAACGTACCAATATGGATACACTCGCGGATTTGAAGCTGATGTTACAGCAGAAGAATTATTTAATATTTTCTTTGGTGGTGGAGCGTTTCCCACACAAAACGTTTATTCTAATCGTCAACGTCGCTTTCACCGTCAAAACCACGAAGAGCGTGAGGTAATATTTTGTGGAAATATGCCTCTTTCACACAAAATCACAAGAAAACATATTTTTAAATTTATTTTTTTTTACTTTTCTACAGCCTGGTTACACAGCTCTGTTCAATTTAATACCAATTTTACTGTTGATTTTACTATCGGGAATGTCATCGTTCTTTATTTCGGATCCAATTTACAGTTTAACACCTAGTTCGTAAGTATTAAACAGATTGCCGTGTTGTGTTTAATCTCATAAAGTAATCAAGTGGTTTTTGGTTATTTTAAATAGAAAATACACGATTGAAAGACGAACAGTTAGTACCAATATTCCCTATTTTGTAACCGAGAATTTCCATGAGTATCAAGGATCGCTGGGAAGGTTAGAGGCAGCCGTTGAAGATGAATATAAAACAAATTTGAGATATGCATGCAATAGAGAACGAAATTATAAGGAGTCAATGATGTCGAAGGCGAGAAATTTTGGTAGCAAAGATTTATATAGAAAAGCACAACTAATTGAAACGCCTTCGTGCAAGAAATTTGAAGATTTTAAGCTAAATGGACGTTTTTAGATTGTTTTTTGATCAATCTAAATTATTTATTGAGTTTTCTTTGTTGTTTAGTTATTATGCTTATCAAATTATGGAATTTGTTCAGTATTTTGATGTATAAAAAAAAAAATTTGGACTTTTCATATTCTCAAGAATTTTTTTCCCTCGAACCAAAAACAGTGTTGAACTCGAAAACGTTCTTGCTTTTCACCTTGATTCGTTAAAAATCAGTAATAAAAAAAGAAGAAGATCAATCGAGCAACAAAATGTGTAAAGTGTTTCATTTCAAATACAATTGATACCTATTTTTATTTACAAAAAATTGATATTTTGATGTTACAGGGGTACTAAAAAAATTACTATTTAAAGCTTGAATCGTCGTATTCACCATCAACGTAGCCTTTAACAAATGGTACGCCAGTTGGTGTCGTTCGCTGATATTCGACGTATTTATCCAAAAAGAAGTTGACCAATGTCACTTCCTCAACTAGAATGCGCTCGTGAAAGAATTTCCAACTAACAATGGCATAAAGCACCAAGCAAATTGGATTCGCCAATATGATTTGTGTACCTATGCTCCACCAAAACCATCCAGCGTACGATGGATGCCGCATCAGTCTATAAACGCCATGTGTCACCAGTACATGATCTTCGGATTTGTGATATTGAACAATGTGATTGAAGCTTGTATTTGCTGTAATGATTGCCAGTTTTCGAAAAATTTCACCACCCACACAAACTATAATTCCGATCAAAAGAATTGCCAAATTTTCTTTTAATTGCGGCCAAAAATAAACTTCGAGAATGAATTCTAGCCAACTACTTGATGCAGCGATTATGTATGCCATAGAATGGTTCAACATAAAAGTATCTGTGCCCAGTGTTTGCGGATTGGCAAATGAGATTGTTAAGTATTCGCTATAGTGGAAGGTTGACATAAATAAAAAATATACACCCAATCGTTTCCATGCGATTGGTGAATAAATAATTGAAATCGTTGATAGTCCGAAACAAACGCCAAGAGCGGTTGCCCTTTTTATTACCTAAAAATAAACGAATAACAATAGTTCATCAGTTGAGAAAGATATTTTTAATTCAATAGAAAGAATGAAAAAACTACCGCAAAATCACTGCTGCTTGTCACGAAATAGGCAAATACGCAGAAAAATGCGTATGTACCAATTGGTCCAATGAAACAAAGTGCCACATTTTGAGGTGAATTCAATTCCAAAGAGAATAAACTCAGTATCAAAATCGAAGTAAAAACAGTCGTAATGATCCCACTAATGAAGCTTGCCAAGCTAATTTTTCCATCATGGCACCACATTTTCAATGATTTCTTGATATAAAATAAAAATCTTTTGTTTGCACCATTTAGTGCAATGTTTTTGATTAATTTCTCAGCCAAAATGAATGCACATCAAATGATTTTACAAATATTGTGCAAAATCAATCAACAATTGTTCTCTCGAAAGAACATTTGTTGTTTTTTATTTTTCAGTTGTCCGTGAACTACGTTTTTTAGAGGAACTGCGACTTGTGAAATGTCAAACAATGTGCGTGACATTTTGACAAGCAGACATAGACACCACACATACACACACACACATACACCAGAGACCATGTGTACATTCCGACTGCTATCAGTTTGCCACTCATGTGTGTGTATGTATGTAAAAGAAGTTTCTTGAAACTTTTAGATCGTTTCGGACTGAATTCTATAGTGGAACGCGTGCCGGTCAACACTCATTGATATCATTTGCTTCGCAATATTCTTCAAAAGAATTTTATTTCGCTGAGTTCATATTTCTTATTTCGGATATTCAAAAACTACATAAAATAAACGAAATGGTAAGCTTTTTTGGAATTTAAACTATATTTCTTCTCCATGAAGTACTTTCATTCATCTTTTTATAAGAATTTCACAATTGTTCCTATTGATTTCTCATATAAAAAAAATAATCAAAGATAAAAAAATAAGCCAAACTTTTTTAAGATATCGTTTGCAAATAGATTGAGAAAAAAGTCGCAACAAAATCGATTCAAATCATTTTTCCACAATTTTTAACATAAATCCAAGGCTTTGTCTTGTGAAATTTTATTTTAAGGTTATGTTTTACTGATGTGTGACCTTCCAATTTTAACATTAATTCCATTATTATTTGTTAGATTAAAACTAATCAAATTGTCATTTTTTTCGCTTTTGATTCGTAAGGCTGGTGTTATCAAACGAGTTGTTCCATTGTTGGATCGCATTTTGATTCAACGTGCTGAAGCATTGACCCAATCCAAAGGAGGTATTGTTATTCCTGAAACTGCACAATCAAAAGTCTCACAAGGAACAGTCGTGGCTGTTGGTCCCGGAGGCCGCAACAAGAATGGAGATCTCATTCCAATTTCATTGAATGTTGGCGACAAAGTTCTTTTGCCCGAATTCGGTGGCACCAAAGTCAAATTGGACGATGAAAAAGAGTATCACCTATTCCGCGAAAACGATATCCTTGCCAAATTGGAGAATTAAACACTCGCTTCATTGTACAACATTACAGAGTAGACATTTTTCGCTGGAAAAAGGGAAAATTTAACACAAAGAATACTGCATGTTTGCCATGTAGAATGTAGTTTATAATTAGTTGTTGCAGAGAAGATGCAGCGTGAACAATAATGATTATTTGTTAAACAAACATACAACTTGAAAATATACTTTCATTGATTCCAAAAAGAACACAACAACTCTTTCGTTTTCATTTCATTTTTTTATATCAAGAATGACATCTTTTATTTATTATATTTTGAAACAATCACGATTGTATTGTGTAACATAATATGATTTTGAGAATTAGATTTTGATCACAAAAATGTGGTTTGAACTAGTGTCGCTCGGTTGGTTTGGCCGAGAACATCACTAATCGATGAGTCGTTGAGAGAACTCGAACAATGCCTGTTTTGCGCCATTTGGGGCGTGTGCATTACGGCTTCGGATGAAATCTTTTATCTGTGGCACAGTGACTGCTTCAATCTGTATTAATTAAAACGATTCTACTTTAAATCAACGCAACTAATATAGTTTTAACAAAAAAAAAATCAAATTACCCGTCCATTTCGAATTGCCTCTTCAATCTGCGATTCAGACAAATCCTTCTTTGAGGTCTTTGCTCGTGTACCATCGCCTTGTCCACCCGCTCCACGTTTTCCACTTGTGACAACATCTTCCTATAATTGTACCATGTACATTAGACCATTTCTAGATATAAAAATTTTTTGATTGTAATTTACCGTTCCAAATTCCATAAAAAAACGTTCGAGAATGTTATATTTGACAAGTTGTTCGTCTTGACGGCCAAGATCTGGTAATGTTGCATCAATTACATCCTCCATTTCTTCATCATCGTAAACGGTTTCTTCAAGACGTTTGTAGAATAAATTCAGTGCTGGATTTGGGAAGTTTTCCGGTGAATACTTGAAACGCAATTTTTTGCACAACAATTCGGACAAAGATTGTTGTTCCGGGGTAACATCTGGCAATGGCTTTACCAGGGCATCAATTACACCGATATTCGCTAAAAATATTTTATTCCATGAATATAAGTCCGGAATATATTGACAAAATAACACTTACTTTCGACTGGCAAGAAAACTATGCAAAACCCGTCGTTGCCACCACTGGCGATTGTTTGTGGCACCAAAGCAACATATCTAAAGAAAAAGAATTAACGTATTATATTTCAAAAATGTCAACATATTCAGCATTTGGAAGCTTACTTTGGTGATGTCAGACGTCGCATTGTCAAGGTGCAGAGAGCATATTTTTCCTTTTCCAAGCATTTTTCCCACAGAGCACGAAACACTTTTGTCGAGCCATTAATTTTCTTTTCGCTTGGATACAAAAACAAACAATGCTTGATCATCCATCTCGGTTTCAGTGCAGCAAGTGGTTTGAAGCCCAACAATCGAAGCCCAACGTCTTGAATCTCTTTCATTTTTTTCATTTCATCTGAACTGAATAAAATTTCCTTTCCGCAAATCATTTGACCTTTGAACATTTGACCAGGGAGCACCTCGCGTTGAACGACCTCTTCTGGATCCTCCGCACTCTGTTGCTCGACAACATACGATCGCTTTGCGAGAACGATTTCCTTATTTTCACGTAACATATTAATGGCGTTTGGCTTGCGTGCTTTTCGAGTGAGACTGTAAATGTTGCACGACAGTGACACAGAATCGGCCAGTTCAAAGTTGATGTGTCGCAAACAAGATTTTCGATTATTTCTTCGTGGATGGCGATGCAGCATATGCTCACGTTGTGTCTGTGAAAATATGAAAAAATTAATCAAATACTGTATGCAAACAAATACGAGACGAGAACAAATACCGCTGGACTGTCCAAACGTAGTTCATCTGGTGGGATTCCCGATGCTGCGCTCAAAAATTCCATGTAAAACGCGTCCATATTGAATTCGTCGACTAACGGTACCAAATCGACATCGATCTTATTGTCCAACAAATCTTTTGCTCGAATGAGTGCATCGTTTTGTTCTTTTGTACCTAAGGGGATAATCACAAAAGAAAAGAATACAATTAATTTAAAATAATCGAAAAAGAATCAATAAGAATTAATAAATAATATAATAGAAAGGTTCTTTTGTACCATTCATGTATGGTAGTTCATTGTTTGTGAACAAAATGATTCTTGAACGATGCAATCGATAGTTGCACCGGATAATCAAACGGGAACACAACCACAGAGCTTCACTGAACGAACTTCCATTCGAGATGCCATGAGTTTCGTTGAAATTGAAAAAGTTGCTCGATTGACGAAAGTTCTTGAAGTACTGAATCAAATTTTTGCTTAACGGTTTCAGCGGAATGAAAGTGGCGCAATTTTCAGCGCTGATTATGTTTGTATCTTCGTTGTCGGTCAATTGAGCACTTGGCGGTGGACTGTTTTTCGTGTTATAAAATACAACCGAAACCATATCTCTGGAATTGGCAAGGATGCCCTTCAACAGATCCTCTTCGATGCAGCTCAAACACATGAAAAAGTGTTCTTCATTTTTGGAAATGTCAGCATCAATCAAATAAATCGTTCCATCACGTCCAGTGAAAGATACTTTTTCTTCGTCGTCTACATCTTCGATGCCATCATTCAAATTCCATTCGCTAAATAATAAATTGTTTTGTTAAAATGGCGAATAAAGTTTCAATACTAAATTAATTCGTAAAGTGAACTAAATACAAGCAGCCGGGTTTTGATAGTTTAAATTAATAATAATAATTTGATTTAATTTACCTCATTTTTGTGATTTTTTTTCGCGCACTCAGAAGTTATTATTATTTCAAAACCAGCAAGAAACGTAAATGTTCAAGCCGAACGCTATGGTTACTTGATGTTGTGAAATTATTTCAACCGCAGAAACAAGACAGTGCACGCTTTGTCAAAGCTTGATGTTGTTTGATTTAATTGCGCGCTATGTTCAACCTATACAACACAAATACTGCATCTCTGTTTGACATTTCGTTGTGTGTGAGTTTAATGACAGTTCTGCTTGTTCGTCTGTCAAAACAAACATTTTCATCACTTATGTTCAATCAAAAATTAATATATTTTTTTACGAAGTGAAGTACGTGGAAAATGATGAATAATCAGAAACTTATCATAATTAGATGATAAGCACGCTCATTAGAAACTATATTCATTTTAAAATTGGAAAAAATGGAAGAGTGAAAATTAGTTATCGAGACGTCTTTAAATTTATGTGAACATAGATTTCAAATAAAAGATGGAATCTACCGCAAAAAAACCGAAGAAAGAATTACAAGATGAAGAAATTCAATTGAGGTAGGAATGGGAGATGAAAAAAACATATTAAATAAAAGTCCAACGTATTCGAATGCATTAAATACACTCACAATCAAACCCGTTTCAAATAAACCAACTTTGATTAACTTATTTTATGATTGTAATGTACAATGTTTAAACAGATGAATGATCAAATTTTGTTTCCTTTTCAGGCCATTGGCAAGTAATGGATGGTGGTTGAGTTATCTCTTGTCGGCTGCATACCTTGTAAATCGTTGGAAATATGAGCGTTCCGCAACATTTGAGTACAAATTTTCAACGGTCATTGCATTCGGAATGGCATTGCAATCTATGGTCTTTCACTTTGCTTCACAGTTTCGCAGTAAAATATTTCTTTGGATCTTGCGAATAGTTCCATGCGCTGCTGTGTCACTGCTGCTTATCTTTTTTCTTTACCAAGGTATACTATATGGCGGTTTTTTCAAAGATCTTTTATTAGCATTGATGATTCAATGGAATGATTTTGTTTTGTTTTTTAGATGTGGTATTCAGTTTATTCAGTGGATTCACAATTGTAATCACATATCAAGCGCTGTTTTCTTTCATTTTGCGGAGAATGCCTAGAAGTTTCACTTATGGCGAATTAACAATTGTTACACAGGGTTTTATGATTTTTCTGATGAATCTGTATTTCAAATTACTTACTATTGCGGAAAAAGCAACCGAATGCATAAAAGATGCCAATGATACCGTAGTGTATTCAAATCATTTTTGGATCCAAAATCACCGACACTTGTCTGACATGGAGCAGTTAACTACAATTCTGCAGGTAGAATAGTAATTTTTACTTTACAATTTACAATTGCGTTATATGAACTTTAATGGTGTGATATTTTGATAATAGATTGGTTTGCTTGGCATTGCATTTCTGGTGGGCTGCTGCTATTTTGTGAAAATGTTCCAAGGACTAGCATTTTACATTCTTCTTGCAGCGATTTGTATTATAGTTGTATTATTCCCGGTCGATGATCAAATGGCAATTTTGGTATTGTTCAGATTTCTTACTGAAGACTTACAAAAGGTGTGAAATTAATGAATTTGAAAAAAAATCCAAATGAATTTAATGGAATGTATACTTTTTCCTTGTAGCTATGTATGATGATTTTATACATCGGTTTAATCGGAATGACTGTGGCCACGGTGATTTGGCAAATGAAACGCGATGAGCAAAGCAATACACGTACCCGCAAAATTTTCCATTTATTAATTGTGCTGGTGTTCTTACCGGGTCTCATTTATCAATGTGCATTTTTATTTGTTGCATCTGGAATCGCACTTGCCTTACTGATTGTACTAGAAACGATGAGAATCATTCAACTACCACCTGTTCATAGTATTTTGGAGCACTCAGTTCAATGCTTCATTGATGAAAAAGATTCAGGTGTTGTGGCTCTAACACCCATCTATTTACTTGGTAACTTTTTTAATCTGAGTGCATGATGCGAACTATTTTATATTCTACATTCAATTTCTCTTTTTAAATTAGTTGGTTGTTCGATTCCACTTTGGCTGCATCCATGTCCATGCGATTTGACCGATTCAGCTGGTTTCGATTTGCTTCCACTAATGGCCGGCGTTATTTCAGTTGGAATTGGTGACACAGCAGCCAGTATTGTTGGATCGAAATTCGGTAAAATCAAATGGTCAAGTAAGTAGAAACGAATCGAGACTGTAAGCACAAACTCCATTTTAATCATTTTTGATTTCATTTTTTTTTTTTCAGCAAATTGTCAAAAGACCGTTGAAGGCACAGTTGCCGGTATTCTTGCTCAAGCCCTAGTGCTTCCATTACTCATTTACTTTGGATTAGTTCGATACAGTGCCTTTTTAATAATAAAATTTGTTATTTCTATTACGATAAGCTCTTTCGTCGAAACGTTTACCGACCAAGTCGATAATTTAGTCTTACCTTTAGTGACATTTACATTGTTATCTGTTTGAATAGTTCAAATTGCAAAATTAAAAATTATTTATATTTATTTTTTCCACAAAATTTTGTTTAATTTTATTTCCTTATCATTAAGTTTTCTTGAATTCCAACCAAAAATTTGGTTTACAAATATTTGGATTGACTTAATTTATTGGGCTCTAATAAAATAAAGTTAATCATCGTCACTCATTTCAACGTCCTCTTCGTCGCCCGCATTGCCGCTGTCGGTTGAAACTTCTTCGGCCACATACGATCTGTATCCACTATCTTTTGACCAGCTGCATTTAATTTCCAAGGTGAATGTTGCCATTGGTTTGGCAAATAATTTCAAAATTCGAGCTTGTTCTGGTGTAAGAACTTTTCCTTCGGTGCATACAGTGAATTCTTTATAAAGCGCGACAATTCCTCTGTCCAATTTCGTTGGCATTCCCAGTGAACGTAAATGTGGTTCGATTGCGTGTGAAAAATCATCAAGTGGACCCTCTGGCAAAACAACCGTTTCCGTTGCAATGAAACCACTGCGCGCGTATTCCAAAGCCGAATATTGTTTTGACCAATCCAGTACATCCGTCTCATCTCGAACCGTAAACAGCAAACCGCATTGACCTTTCAATCGTTTTGACAATTTATGCAAATCTGAATCAACTTCGTCCTCTTCTGATCTGCCCAACGCCAATTGCATGACCCGATTTTTACCGAAAATAAAACGGGCATCTTTCTTCCATTCTGATCGCAAATCTTTCAATAAATTGTTTCGCATATTTTGCACCGAAAACAAATAAATGTTCGGATATTTCTGTACACAACTTCTGATATCTTCAACAATTTGCTGTTTCCATTGCAATCCCTTGCGATCTGTTTTCGTAAGCGAAATCTTCTTATCCCTTTTTGCTCTTGGCATTTTTGCACACTTTTTTCTACTTTACTTTATATTTAAAAGAAATATTCAACAACTATTTTCTCGAACGAAAACAGTTACTTCTCACAGAAATGCTTGCAAATGATTCAAAGCACGTGTATACAAAATTGGTTTACTTGCTGCATTCGCCGTCGGTCTACTGTCATTGAGTGTCAAATCATTTATCTGACGACTATTTTAGGCGAATGGGTGCGTTCAATGCTTCGTTTTTGAGCAAATTCGTTCTAATTTAATTTTTTTCAATTTATGGTTTACTGTAAAAAAAATGTGAATAAAATATCAGACGATTTTGATGAAAATGCACATTTTAAATTTATTTTGCTCTTTAGTCATGAAATAAAGTCAACTGATGTGAATTTCAAATGTTTTATAAATTAAAACGGGTGCTCAGATGCAGATGTATTGATTGTTTTTTTCGGCCACCAATTTCTTTTCAAGCGAGATGCACAAATTTAACATTTGCGATTCAACCATATTCCGCTTCTCAATACCGAATCGCATTGCAATGTCGGCCAATTTAAAACTTAGAAGATCACCATCGTTGCGTCCAAAATGGTTAAATAGCATTCTGTTGTTTGCCTCATCATCGACAGCTGCGGGAATATCGTCTTTGTGTTCGAAAAATGTATCAAAGTCCACTCCGTTCTCAATCGAAAATTCATCGAGGTCATTCTGCTTATGATTATTATTGAATTAAAATTTGATTCACATGGATCAATTGATTTCAACGTAAACTTACCAATGAATTTGAATTTGAAGGATTTGATTCGGTGTTGTTATCAATGGACATTGTAATTGACATTTCTTTGAAGAATCGCCAGCGTTGTTGTTTCAATTCACTACCATGCGTAATCAATTTATTGTAATATGCGCACAAAGTCTTCCATTTCCGGGCAATTTCTTTGATTGGACACCCCAGAATACTTTCCAATTGAGCTCTTTCAATGGCTCCCCCTTTTGTGTTTTGTTTTCCAAACGATGATCGCAATATTGGAAATGATCGCATTGCTTTTATCAATTTGAATGCTTTTTCATCGGCCCATACTTTTGGAAGGCCAACCGCAAATTGAGAATACATTTTTCTGAATGTTCGCTTCTTCATCGCTACAATCGTGTCTTTTAAATTCAATTCACGTCAATTCAATCAAAGAATTTCTGTCTATTTATTAGATGAATATTCGAACAAAATTGTATGTGTTTTTCAACAGAGTGATTTGAGTCGATTGAAATGTGATTCGATTCCATGTGCTTACATAACTGTTCTAGTAGCACAACTAAACGTCATTCTTTGTTATTCGTACTCTTTCTATCTTAATGGTGTACTACAATATTTAGACTCACAAAGCGACCGAAAAAATCTACATGAATAAGCACTACCAGTTCAATTCACATGGTTTGAATTGATTTTTACGAAAGAAGAATTAAGATTTTCTTTTTAAATAACAACCCTTCTCGCAGTTATGAGTACATTAAATTATCACTCAAAGTTGGCCATCCAATTTAGAATTTACAGAAAAGATTTTGTTACATTTTTCAAAGCAACGGCTCCTACATAGTTGGGTTATGCAACGATTTTGACACAATATTCATTTGAATGTGCATTTTGTATTTGTCATATAGTTGAACCGTTTGCAATAAAAAAAAATATTTTGTTGTACCGCCAATCAAATCATCCGTTAAAAGTTCATAGTTGAAAACGTTTATATTATTGCTACAAATTGTTTAAAACATGTTTTGGAAGAAGGAATCACCTATTGGGGCATATATTGATTTATTGGCGCTCAATAAACAAAGGAAAGATTTTATAGAATCTAGCTTCAACTTACTTGAGGTCGGTGTCCATGGAAAGAATGATGAAACTTCGACAAATTTTCGGCTTTTGGGTAATGAAGCGTTTCAAGAAAATCGCTGGTGTGATGCAATGAAAATGTTCAACAAAATTTTGCGGTATGCTACCAAAGGATCCGAAAATATAAGTTTGGCCTATGCAAACGTCTGCGTGTTTTTATAAACTGAAAACCAGACAATATATTTAGCTGCCGTCATCTGGATATTTCAGCTCATCTGGATGCCGTCAGCAGATGATGCGAAGTGAAAACAATAGAAGTGATTGTTATAGTAATACCAGTATATAACAAGCTTATATACCTATAACAATCACTTCTATTGTTTTCACTTCGTATCATCTGCTGACGATATCCAGATGAGCTGTAATATCCAGATGGTGACAGCTAAATATATTGTCTGCTGAAAACATATCACACATGTTTCGCTGACATCGAATTGGCCAAAAAAGCAAACTATCCACAGCGTCTAATGTCTAAATTGGAAAAACGTGAAGCGGAATGCAGAAAACATATGAAGGAATCAACGCAGATCGAACAGGTTGCTACACCCGTGCTGAGTTTTCCACCGAACAAAAACTTTCCGTGTATGGCCAATGTTTTGGATGTGCAAAGCAATGAGGAATACGGTAAATATATTGTGACAAAGCGTGATATTGAAATAGGTGAAATTGTTATGGTGGAAGAAGGATATGTCTTTGACATAAGTTCAAGCGAAGAAACTAGCTGCATAACCTGTCTTCAATCGCAGAAAAATTTAATTCCCTGCGACAACTGCACCGACGTTATGTTTTGCGATCATCAATGTATGGAAACCAATGAGAATCATAAGATTGGTTGTGGTGCTTCCTATAACCGTCTTCATGTATGTAGAATGGTCATAGATTCGATTTTGAAAGCTGTCAATGCGTTTGCAAACGCGAATGATTTGAATAAATTCGTTGAGTGTGCATTAGCTACACGTGAATTTGATTCACCAACATGCAATTCAAGAGAACAAAAGGAATATCGATCATTTTTAAAATTGTTGGCAATAACAGAAACATTGGATTCAGTGATGGCAATGAACATGGTTGCAACCCAATACCATATTTTATCGCGATTGTCAGCAGTTAAGAAATTGTTTGATTCGGAAGAAAAACAACGGTTTTTGATGCATTTGATTTTGCAACACTATTCGATTATAAAGCGCAATAGTTTAGGAATTCATAGTGAATCTAATATCGAAAATCAATCAAATGTCATTGAAATTATGCCTATTCATTTTTCTCTCTTCAATCATTCCTGCTCGCCGAATATAAAATACGTGAAAATTGGTAATAAATTGGTTGCCTTCACAGTTCTTCCGGTAAAAAAAGGCGACCAGCTATTCATACAGTATATAAAGGAACTTGATAATCTTGAAACTAAAGAACGACGAGACATTCTACGGGAAACATTTCAATTTGAATGTAAATGTAGTAAATGCCTGCCATGTGTTAAGGTGCAAGATTCTCTAAGAATGCAACTGGATCCAGATTTTCTATTTATACATGCCTCTAGACAAACACACTTCTTGGACCCCGAAAAACGTTTAATTTTAAAAGATAAAGCCAAAAGATTTTTAAAAAGATATAATCAATTTAAATGGTCAGATGAAATTGAATGGGTTTCAGACGGTTTCTCCAACTGCGTGAAAAAGGATTTGGGATCTAATTAACAGATTAGTAATTAATGCTAAACCGTTTTCAAACAAAAGCGATTTTAATAAAATATTTTTAATTTTTAGAAAAGTTCAAATGTGGTTTCATTCATTGACTTATAATATGAATTTTAAGTTATAATATTTCAGAAACAATTAGCTTCAGCAAATTCTTCAACATTTGATTACTCATCATGCTTTTGGCATTCATATTCAGCACAACAAAAACTCATACAACAACAGAAATATCAGTTACGGATAAAACGGATATGCGATAACAATTTACAAAAAATCAGCAACTTTTAAACAGCGATACAAACTGAAAACAAACAATTTTTTTGGTTTCACTTGAAACCAAACCGGAGCATTCGGAACGTTTCAAAAATGGTTTGACCGCAGTATGCGATGCGCTGTACTGTGTGCACTGTGCATAGCATCAACGTTGTACACTCATACATTCAAAGCATCGATATTCACGTATACACAGCGTGAATGTATGTTCGCCATACGAACCATTTTCGGAACGTCCCGCTTGCTCAGTTTCGTTCAATACACATTTTAATGCAAAAACACATTTAATTTCAGTCGAACCGTCGATCAGTACGCAGTATAGCAGTATATACCGTATACAAAAGTCAAATCATATAAACTGAAGTAAAAAAAATAATCACTGATTTAACTAAAATTAAATTTGATATTGCTCAAAAATGGTTTTGTGGAAAAGAGAATCAAGTGGTGGTTCATATATCGACTTATGGGCACTTTATGAACCCCGCAATTTTATAGACAAGGCAAATTTAATCAGCGGCTTAAAGATGCTGGAAATTGGTTGTGGAAAGAATGATATAACTTCAACTCAACTCCGTCACGTAGGCAACGAAAAGTTTGAAGAAAAATTATGGCATCTCGCGATGGAATTCTACAATCGGAGTTTACGGCTTGCCATTAAAGGATCCGAAAATGTTGGTTTTGCATATGCCAATCGATCGGCGTGTTTTTTAAAGTTAAAAAAATACGATCAATGCCTTGTTGATATCGAGTTAGCCAAAAACTCAAAGTATCCACCACGGTTGATGTCAAAATTGGAAAAACGAGAAGCGGAATGCAGAAAACAGATGAAAAAATTAAGTGATATCGAACCAATTGTGAGGCCAGTGCTGAGTTTTCCACCAAACAAAAACTTTCCATGTATGGCCAACGTGTTGGAAGTGCAAAGCAACGAAGAATACGGTAAACATATTGTGGCAAAGTGTGATATCGAAATGGGTGAAATTGTAATGTTGGAAGAAGGATATGTTTCGGACATCAGTTCAAGTGATCAAATACGTTGCCACACTTGCAAAGAACCAGAAAAAAATTTCCTTCCTTGTTTAAACTGCACTGACGTTATGTTTTGCGATCATCAATGTATGGAATCTAACGAAATGCACAAAATGACATGTGGTGCATCATATTATCGCTTAAAAGGAGCTCAGTCAGTGGTAGAATCAATTGTGACGGCTGTCACCGCTTTTGATACTGTGGATGAATTGATGAATTTCGTTGAAAGAGCTTTGTGTACCCGTGATTTCGATTCACCAGAATGCAAATCAGATGCACAAATAAATTACCGCATGTTTTTGAAATTGTTGGGACTACCAAAAAAGACGGATCCAATGTTGGAAATTTTGAAAGTATATCAATTGGTACTGAGCATTCCAACCATCAAGCGATTTTTTGATTCCAAAGATAAAGAAAAATTCCTTATGCATCTAACGTTTCAGCATTTTCTAATCATAAAGAGAAACGGAATAACGGTTGATTACGATTTGGAAGGTCTTTACAATCCTATTGAAATCATGGGCAATATATTCTCGTTTTTCAACCATTCGTGCTTACCAAATATATCACACACTGAAATTGGTAATGAGCTGGTTGCCTTGACAATTCTTCCAGTATCAAAAGGCGAACAATTGTTCATTAATTATATGGATAAAAAACAACCAACGAGAGAGCGGCAATTACATTTGCGCAATTCATTCGAATTCAATTGTAAATGCAGTAAATGTGTTCCACGTGTTGAAGAAGGAGATTTTTCAAAAATGCAAACAGATCCAGACTACCAATTTATTCGTATGTTTTATCAAACTTATCGTTTGGAGCATAAACACCGTTTAATACTGAAGGAAAAATCAAAAAAATTCCTACAAAAATATATACAATTCAAATGGTCAGAACAAATTGAATATGCTTCAGTTTGCTTTTCCAACTGTATGCTAAAGGATTTCGGTTTACAATTTAGTATTTGAGCAATTTTGTAGGCTTTAATTTCCAAAACGTAGCCAAATCTAAGCTGTAGATTATAGACGTATGATAATTTCATGAGTTCGTTTGAATTAGCTTGTACTAATAAAGATTATTATCTTCTAAAATCAGTACTACATCTGCAATACTATGTAAAAAATCTCAAATTTAATAAAGTAATAGAAAAAAACGACAAATTGCCTTTGACAATGCCTTTGACAAATTTATTTAATTTCCTTTTAACAACATATATGCTATGTTCTACATCTTTTTTTACTTTTCCCTTTTAAATTGTTTGTTTTTGTTTTCATACACATTTCAGTAAAATAATTTAAAATTAGTAAAACGGTCTGAGATCTTAATATACCAACTATATTAATCTAAATCAATGCGATGTTCGCCAAGCATTCCGGTGTGCATTTTTGACTCTTTCATTTTACCAAATGAGTCAACGAGATGTTGCATTGAAATTGGCGGCGGATTCTCAAGCTTTGTGGAATTATTGTCCTCTCGTGACGAAGATGGTGTATCGTTATTGCGAACATATTCCCTTAAACGATAAACGGATGCATTTCTGCACAATTCACGTAAATCGGATCCCGAAAAATTAACGGTAAGTTTTGCCAATCGATTCAAGTCAACATCTTGGGCTGTACTCTCTTGTTCGAGTACAAGCTGTAGAATTTTTCTTCTTTGTTCCACATCTGGTGAACCAATGACAAATTGTGCTGGCATTCGACGCAAAATGGCTCGATCCAAATCTTTGGGGCGATTAGTGGCCCCCATAACAATAATTGTTGCGCCTGGTGTAGTTGCCAGTCCATCCCACAGCATCATAAATTGAGTTTTCATCATTGCTGTAGCTTCATGATCGTGTGAACTTCGTGAGCGCAAAAATGAGTCAATTTCATCGATAAAAATGATGCATGGCTGCAACTTTGTTGCCAGAGAGAATACAGCTGAAGCAAGCTTTTGAGATTCTCCGTACCTAAGGGGAGAATCACAAAAGGAAAGAATAAAATTTAAAATAATCGATAAGTAATCGGAGAATAATCGTAAAACAATCAATAATAATTAATAAGTAATTTTTAAGTGATTTGCCCCTCGTCCGTACCATTTATCGGTGAGCATTGCAATATCCAAATTTATAAAACGCATTCCTGCTTCCTTTGCGGTTGCCTTTGCAATCAATGTTTTTCCACATCCAGGTGGTCCGTGTAAGAGTACACCTATTAAACGTAAACAATTAAGCGATTGATACAATCATTGAAACTGGAAAATAAAATAAATTACCCGATGGAGCCTTCCACAGTTGTGAAGATGAGTACAAATGTCGATGGCGAATTGGTAATACAACATTTTCTCGCAGCTCTTGAATCACTGAATCTAGGCCAGCTATATCGGACCAACTGACATTGATATCTTCGGGTACAACCAAATGTGACGCAATCACCAGCTCGTAATCGGACAAAGTGGATGTATCAATTTTCAGGCTTTTGTCCGTTTCCGTAATGCGTTTGATTAAACATTCTGCTTTGGTACGGGCTTTCTTTTTACTTTGGATTGTTGGATCCATTTGATTCATTAACCATTTTAATGAATAAAATGCTACAGCTGCACCAATCGTAACACGTACAAGAACAGCGATTGCGTCACTTCGTGATAGCTGGTCCATTGTGGTAAAAGTTTTAATTTTGTTCACTTTTAATTTAAAAGTAATTAAAATATTTTCAGAATTGAAAATCTCTTTGTAATATTCTCGTGTTTCGCGTAATGCTCCAATGTTCAGAAGAAAAAGTCATTAGACAATTGACATGTGAACTATAGCATGAGCGACATGTAGCCAACTACAGGGAATCAAACGAACTAAATGACTACTTGTCGCTTTTGCTTGTCATTCGAAATACAACGGAACAGTAGAACATTGCATTTGGATTCATTCGTACATACTGACGATAACTCATTGACGAAATTATTAACATCTTTGTTTTAAATATTGTTTAAAGAGTTTAATGCACATAATTGATCATAAATAATTGCAATTGGTTAGAAAAGAATTTCAAATATTCAATTTTTGCGTTGTAAATGAATCATTTTCATCAATGTTGTCTGCTTTTTATTCGCGCCTTTTCAGCATTGATGAACACAGAGGAAGAAACAGTTCGGAAAAATGTCGGCTGATATTGAAAATGACTTGAATTCGTCGCTCTCTAGCGCCATTCGGAAAAAAGAATACAAACATCTTCTCGACGTCGGCGGCCAAGCGGCAGAAAATGTTGAGGTCAATTCAGTTGTTGATAATCTCATTACACTTAAAGGTCTGCTAACAGAGTCGAACAAACTTGCTGCGCAAGGCGTGATTACCGATCGAATTGGTCAGTCAGCTGAAGTTGTTCTTGATGCTCAGGTAATTTTGATGTAGTTTTTTTTGTAATTACATTATTTCGATTGATTAACTAACACATGTAATGATTAGGTGTGTAAATTGGCAAGCGATTTGATGGGAACAACAGTTTCAAAGATTGAAAACAATGAATTTTCTGACGATGCATTTGTGGCTGGATTGGTAAGCATTTCATTTTGTAGATGATATAGAAATTGCATTGGTATTAATGGTGAATGTAATTATTTTTTTTTCTTCAGACCGAAAGTGTTTTGGATGAGAACAATGTGTGTGATTGGTCTAAATGGGATGAACACATTGTTTGCTCGGCAAAATTCTATTGCTACAAGCCTTCATTTTATGGAGCATTTGATTTTGATGAAGTCGCCACTTCAACGCAAATACAAAAGGAACGAAAAGTACGACGCAAAGCCGAAGTGGGAATTGAAAAACGACCAACAAACGTAACGGAGGCCGCTACCAATCAAAGCGGACATCCAAAAGTTGATATCGTTCTTAATACCATCAAAGATGTAAGTCATTGGTCATAGTATTTTTTTTATTTTAACTTTTTCTTTTGGAAAATCATTGATTTTGACATTTTTTTCACAGATTTACAAAAAGAATGGTAGGAAGCCAATTCCATACTTTCAATTGGTAATTGATCCCACCAACATGATGTACACATTTGACAACACATTCCAACTGTCCTTCCTTTTCCGTGATGGCATGATATCATTTGTGAAAGACAGAGAAGGTTTACCGGCAATAGTGCCACTTGATGAAGCAACCAAGCCACCAAAACCATCTGAAATGACTTCGTTTACATCGAGCTTAGGTCACGATCTTATTGAAAAGTACATACAAAAATACAACATTCGCAAACCAGTGTTGAATATTCCACGTGAAAACTAAACGATTCTATTTACTCGTCAAATGAACAACCATAATAATCATACATATGTTAAGCACTTGTTAAAAATAAAATTTTATTACAACTTTATAAGAAAAAACCTATAAAAACCTTATAAATGTTTAAAAAAACATATTTTTTTGTGAGTTTGACGTTTTGCAACGCTGTCACATTTCAGTTTGTTGTTGTCATCACTATCATTACTGTGTATTTGTCGACGCATAACGATTGGCTATTCGACGAAAATATATATCTTGATTAAATCTGCTTCGAAAAAATCGAGTTAATGTAACTTAAGTTGTAACTGATTGAAAAGTGATAAATTTCACACAATTCCCGTATTGCTTTGATGAAAATAGAATAAAAGTGTGATCACAAAACTAGCGTAAATCTGTTGTGACGTACATGAATTATTCAATTTAAAAACAATTTTTTTTCCTTATAAAGACAGTTATTTTAAGTGATTTCTTTGGTTGTTTGGAATGTTAAAAAATGACATTAAATGTAAAAACTTCTGTTTCAAATAGCAAACGTAATATATGCGTAATTGTACTGGGAGATATTGGTCGAAGTCCACGAATGCAATACCATGTAAAGAGCTTACTTCAACACGATTTTAATGTTGATCTTATTGGGTATGGCGAAACAAATCCGATTGCTGAAATTGGCCAAAATCCAAAGTGTAGTGTTCAACAATTAGTCGCTTTTCCCGAACTAAATTTGCCAAGTCTATTGAAATATCTATTCAAATCAATATGGCAAATGTTGAGCTTGTTCATTGCATTATTCAATATTCGACGGCCGGATTGTATTTTGTGTCAAAATCCACCTGGGATACCAACACTTTTTGTGTGCTATGTATACTGTTTGCTATTCAAACGATGCAAATTCATTATTGATTGGCACAATTATACATATACCATTTTAAGCCTAAGCAATGACACGACTGCAAGTGATGGCTCTTCGACCGTCTGTATAAATCCTCAAAGACGTATTGTAAAATTGGCAAAATGGTTCGAATCATACTTCGGACGAAAGAGTTCTGGGAATTTTTGCGTTACCAAAGCCATGCAGAAAGATCTGCAAACAAATTGGGATATCAAGTAAGTATGAGCATAAATGGTGTTTGTCTTTGATCGCTAAACGAAAATCAATTATCAAACAGAGCCACTGTACTCTACGATCGGCCAGCTGCACAGTTTCAATCCATTTCGCTGGAGCAAAAACACGATCTATTTTTCAAGTTGGCAACAGATTACTACGAATTTCTACCGACCAATATCAACACAGAGGAGTTCCAGGCCACACGTTTTACTTATAAAGACTCAGATGGAACGGTACATTTACGTGATAATCGACCAGCAATTCTCGTTTCTTCCACCAGTTGGACTCCAGACGAAGACTTTTCAATTTTGTTGAAAGCATTAGATCGTTAGTATAATCCTAACTTTTGAGTCTTTTTACTTATTAGTAATCGAACGAATTCTTTTTCAGGCTATGAAAATACTGTCAAAGAGGAACAATCGCACTATCCACATTTATTCTGTATAATAACTGGAAAGGGACCACAAAAATCTTCATACATGGGTCAAATTGCAAAACGTAATTACAAAAACATCACGATTGTAACGCCGTGGCTGGCCATTGAAGATTATCCATTGTGTTTGGCTGCGGCCGATTTGGGAGTATGCTTGCACTACAGCTCCAGTGGTCTGGATCTACCGATGAAAGTGGTAGACATGTTTGGTTGTGCATTGCCTGTGTGCGCTGTTAATTACAATTGGTAAATATGAAAAGTAATCGGAGTGCTACAGAACATAATATCCAATGTTTGTTTACTTCAATATTACAGTATCGGAGAGCTTGTACAACATGGCAAAAATGGTTTTCTGTTTGAAACCTATTTGGAGCTTTCTCAACAAATTTTAACATGGTTCTACGACTATCCACACAACACAACTCTTGCCAACGTGAAAGAAGAGTTTAATCAAAGACTAAAAGATTTCCAAAACTTGGGTTGGGATGATAATTGGAAGGAGCATGCTTTGCCAGCTTTTTTGGAATAGCTTTAATGCGCAATTGGCATTTACAAAATGAGTTAATATGGTCATTGTTTTTTTCATTCGTTTAACTCAATACATTCGCACGCATTTTGCTAGTTATGCCTTATTTTTTTACTGATTACTGATCAATAACAAACTTTCATTTACGCCGTATTTTTTGCTGTTGCAACATCAACAACGAAATAATATGAATGGCATTGAGTGAGCTTATATTCATTACATTCTGTAATTGTGGATATCAAAATAATATTTGTAATTTGTCTTTTGAAATAATAAACGGAATAAAAATATAGTCAACATTTCGTCGTCTTTTTGTGATTACAATTGGGATATATTGAAATAATTTTGGGACATTCTCATACTCAATTTTGTGACATTTTAAATGTCAAATCAACCAATTGACATTTGTACTAGGTGAATGTTTATGACGTGTTGAATTAAACGAAATATTTCTAATCGAAGAAATGAAACGTAGAGCCTAACGTGATGGATTTAATAGTATTATTTGGGATTGCTTCGGCACTGTTAGTTATTTTATTGTGTACCTGGTTATTTACAAGAAAAGCATCCTCAAAAGAAACAAAAAGCGAACGTATGTAGTGATATTTTTGGTAAAAGACAACACATTAAACTTTTCATTCTCTTCCAACCAAAAATAGATGCTGGACCATCTCGACGTATCAATCATGGTGAAGCAGCAGATTCATCAATACCACGCCGTGCACAAATAGCCCGAAATCAACGTAGAAATGTACCACAAGCATCCACATCACAACAACAAGATAGTGAAGACAGTGACGACGAAACCAATCGACCAAATCCATTCGCGGGTGAAAAAATGGGAGCCAAAAAGCGCGCCAAACTGGAAGCCAAGGCTGAAAAGAAACAGCAACGTGAAGCTGAAATGATCGCCAGAGAGGTAACATTCAACATCTTAACAAACAAATCAAATCTTATTGACATGCCCATTTTATCTGATACGTAGGAGAAAAAGAAACGTGATGAACTTATTGCAGCCGATCGCAAAAAGGCCGAAGAAGCTGAAGAGGCTGCAGAAAAGAAAAAAGAAGAACAGGAACGGTTAGCAATGGAAGAAAAAGCACGCAAAGAACATGAAGAATACTTGAAAATGAAGGCCAGCTTTCAAATCGAAGAAGAAGGTTTTGATGAATGCGATGAAGATGAAAAAGAAAATCTGCTAAAAACATTCGTCGATTATATTCAACAACACAAAGTGGTCATACTGGAAGACTTGGCAACCCATTTCAAACTAAAAACCCAAGCCGTTATCGACCGTATCACCGACTTGCAGAACGATGGCATTTTAACGGGAGTCATTGATGATCAAGGCAAATTCATATACATTTCAAAGAAAGAACTAAATGATGTGAGTGAATTTATACGGCAACGAGGACGTGTATCCATCACCGAACTGGTGGAAAGTAGCAATAACTTGATAAATTTGAAACCGATATCTGATGAAGCCACAGCAAGTGCATAAGTAAAAGAGTTATTATAATAATCGACTGTTTTTTTATTTAAAAAAAAGTTTAAACTTAAAAGAAGTTTAGAAATAAAAAAATTATGTTTATTTTAAAATCATGATGTTTTGAATCATTAATCTTCGTACTACTCGTGTACTGTAACAGACCTACAACAAGAACACAAAATTGTCAAGCCCAGCTATTCTAACTAATCGTTATAATATTCGTTTTATATAATTTTTGTATTCAATGGAACTATTCTTGGCGCATGTTTGTGATGTTCATGTTATATGATTCTTTTCTTCGATATCAAACCATCCAGCCAGTGCATGAGGGAATTTGGCTCGAAAATCGGAAAATCTTCACCGAATCAAATTACTTTTGAAATGACCACAATTTTTCCCAATTTAAAAAAATGTAATTTCACAATCCGATCGGGAGGGTAATCCATGAATTAACGCAACTATTTAACTAATTTTCAGCCTATTTATGATCTTTTGACCATTGAACACGATTATTTTGATTGAACATCATGGACTAACACCATCTAACACGGTTATTGGATGCATATCTCTTTGTCAGTTGTGTATCATCAACTGAGCATACCCGTCATCACATTCGGCCGTTGTAGTCCTTGGGCATTTAAGCATGAAGCCACTTATCACACCCGTCTCCATAAGACTAGATCACGGGGAGCTGATGATTCGCATCACTAGCTGCTAATATAGACGAATCGGTTCGAAGATTTGTGGTGCAGACTGCACCGTGCAGTGTGATGAGGAGCTGAAACCTTGGCAGTCTATATCCAAGGGAGACTCTCTTTCGTAGGCTGTGGTTAAATGCTATATGTTTTGTTTACATCATGTTGTCAAACGAAATATTACCAACTATTTTCGTCATAGAATTGATATCACAAATGTTGTGTTTCAAATTTTGGTGTTTTTATTTGTTTGATATATGCACTTATACGTGCTACTGTGAACTATTACATTTAGATCTTAATTGATTGGTTAAACAAAAAATATATAAAGAATTCGATTTTTTCCTAAATTTGGAAGTGATTCAATTTTCTTGAAATAAAAAAAATAAAAATTTGACATCAGAAACCAAATTTAAGGTGTAAGTCAGTAGACAGTGCATTAGTAGACGCAACTTTAGGGGGAAGAAACCTACAAATTGTTCTATCTTGTAGAGGCAGACTTTTTGAATACAATGCATTCTTCAGCCTCTCCATATAAAAAGTGTGGAATATCTTACCATCAATGTTAGTGTAAGTTTTTCTCTTTCAACTTCAGCTTTTAAAATGTGAACTTTGTGGTAATGCACTTGCATATATTTTAGGGAGTACAATGTGCTGTTTTCATTCCAATTGAATCAAAACAATAATATTTTCTTTTTGACAAACGATTATTTTCCGAAGAACGATTCTTAATGAAGTTGTTCGCCAATGGATTTTCATATTTTTATCAATTCACATACAACTTCACTGCAATGAACACAATCATAGACTCAACAGCACTTTGCCATATACCGGTTTCGATTTGAATATTAAAGTCGCTACTTTTTAGACTTTACACTTGGAACATGTATCCATCACCGAACTGGTGGTTCGTAGAAATAATTTAATAAATTTGAAACCAGATAAGGCCACAGCAAGTGCATAAGTACAAGAGTTATTATAACCGATTGTTTTTTTTATTAAAAAAAAGGTTAAACATAAAAAACTTTAGAAATAAAAAAATGTATGTTTATTTCAAAATCATCAATCTTCTTCCATGCTTTCTCCGTCCTCATATTCCTCGTCAGATGTAACGTCTGGTTCTCCTTTTTGTTCTTCGCATTTTTGGCACGAACAATTGAAGAGATAGTTCTCGCGTAACTCTTTTTGTCGTGAATGTCGGCTCCTTGACAAAAGACAATCGTCCAGATATGAAATGCAAATTTCCTCACCTTTAAATAAAATGATACACATGTGTGGTGAAAATTAATGACAAAAAATTATTTTTTTAAAAACCGGATATAAGAAAACTAACCACATTGAATGTCTCGCGTTGCAATTAAATGTAAATTGTGATTTGAATGTGGAAATGTTGCCTGAGCATTTGGAACGCAGCTGTGATTTGCTTTGCTTTCGATGGAGTAAAGAGCTGAACCTTCGTTGTTTAAAAATTGTAAACCAGTTACTATTCGGGAGAAAAGAACCAAATCCTGTGTTACGTTTTGTTCGACGTGATTTAGTATTGATTGTGTATACCTTCTTCTAGTTGAGCGTAGCATGAATCGATTAGCTCATCAGCTGCCAACTTTTCGTCTGTGGGTAAATTTAATTTGGATACATTTTGTACCCAGTCAGCGAATGAAGAAGTTCCAATTCCCTGTCCATTCTCTCCGATGAGTGCAAACAATCGTTTAAAAGTGTCCAGATTTTTAAACTGAAATTTTTTTTACACATTTTTAGTATTGAATCAATCTTCTTTCAAAATTAGAATATCTCATACCATTTCCATTCCGGTAAAATCAAACGATTGGCTGAATAAAGCAAAAAGATTGTTCAAATTATTTTGATGATTTTCGCCAAGCATTTTGTGTGCAATCATCAGGTTTTCATTGATAAATTCATGATGGAAATCTTGTATAGCTTCGAACAGTGCCTGTTTTTGTTCAGTTTGTTTGTACATTGCTATCAGTTTAATACATAATAATATAGTTGTTGTTTCTGGTGGATAATGAATTTTTCTGTTGAAAAATTAAAATAAAGAAGACATAAAAAACTGTTTGCCATCACATTAATTGAATAACTTAGACATGCTTACTTCCATGCATCGTTGAGAACGTTCAAAGGATGACCTGGATTATTGTATTCGGAGCCTAAACATAGCACCCGATGATATCGTTCCATTGCAGTACTAAAGTTGATGCGTAATATGATTTATAAATAACACAAATCTAAAATTTTAATTGGATATATTTTGAAAATTACTTCAAACAGTCTGGTGAACAATAGCGAGTAGGGCAATTCGGGCAAATCGTCTGTAGCGCTTTGAAAGATTTCACCGGACAACATTCACTGTATGGTAGCGATATTGTGGATTCAGGTCCTTTGTGTCCACTCAACCGACTGATGTTTTCTTCAGCCGTCTCCAGCGGCCTATTCAATTGGGACATTCAATTATCGTGATTATTGTTTGATTCATTTAACTCACTTCATACAATATTCGCAAGCCAAGTACTTGCAGGCAGCATTCCAAGAAAATTGGCTTGATACCAAAGGTGTCTCCTGCAAAATAGTATCTCCTTTCTTGAAATTAACCGTCGCAAACAATGCCCGCCCTTTGTCTGGAACTTTTCTTATCTCATATCCGATCATTACTGTAGCTATATTCGGTCAACCGTTTTAAAAACTATAACAAAAAAGAATATATACAAAATATTCTGTTTTATACACGCGGAATAGAAATGAATTCCGTTTGTTTTGATGAGGTTATGAATTGACAGCAATTGTGACATATTTTAAGGAGTGAGATTTCACATTACCTCAACGCCATCTTTTACTACAACTTCAAATCCATTTAATTAAGCGAACAATTCAAATAAATGATATTTTGTCTTACTTTGAAAAATATTTCAAGATCCAGTATTTCGCTGAATATTTTAGATAAGTATAAGCATTGTAAAACAAATGATTCAATTTAGATATTATTTGTTCCAGAATTTACACATTGTGTAATGGTAATTTTTTTTATTTGTATAATACAATCAATATAAAATATTTGTCCTGTGTTCCTTTTCGTTTACATGGGTTTATAACCATAATAATAAATATGTTTCCGATAATTCTGTGATTTCCAAGCAAAATGAGTGAAGCCGAAATCAAATTGATACAAAATTTTAAAAATAAACTAATTCCACAATTATCTTTTAATTAATGATGCGAACAGTTGAATTTTGTTTGATTTGGCTGAATACATTATTCGTGATCAACATGAAATCAAGACAAACAAATTACATGCGAACACTTTCAATTTGAATTCAATTCATTGCTACAATAATAAATAATGATATATATACGCATAAATTAGTACTAAAACGTCCCAATTTCCATTTTTTGATTCGGCGTGCAATAAGAGTCATCCTGAGTTTAACTCTGTAGTTTCGTTAATTTCATTTGAAATCACTACGAAATATTCACAGATATTTTTTTTTACTTTTCTTAAGTTTCAATAGCAAACCTCTCATGTCAAAGAAAGATTCTAATATATTAGGTCAAACTATGTTCAACAGCATTAAAATTTACATGGAAGCTTGTAATACAGTGCAATCGATTCGAACAATTGTGTTAACATAACAATTTATACACAAATCGTCCAAAAAAAAAAAATCAAATAATTTGAGCAATTCAATGATTCCGTCAAGGTTGTTCAGGTGTTTGCTCCACAAGGCATGCTTCTAAACTATTGCAATCGCTCAATATCGATGATATCTCATCGTTCACATTGTTGTTCACTTCATTCGAATGAATCAATGATGAAAGAGTTTGAAGACTATCACTAATCTGTAATGAAAAAAAAAACACAGTTGTTAGCTATAGACATCGCATATATTTAAAATTACAAAAACGAAAATTACCTGAGAAATTTGTTCTAAATTGTTGGCAAGAACATTTTTCGTCAACTGAACCCTTTGTGTTTGCATATCTTTTTGCCACTTTAGCATTTCTGCATACATATTCACATTTGGTATTTCCTGCTTTGTTTAAAAAAAAATCATCAGTAAATAGATGTGGACATAAAAATAATTTTAAAATCTCATACCGTATTTATTTCGCCATTGGCAAATATCCCCATTTGTCGTGCATTTTTAATTTCAGAGATGTGATAGAAAAGGAATCCAGCCATAAGTGCCAAAATAATAACCAACGATAGACCAAAATACGCAATGTGAATTGTACGTGGAATTTTAAGCTTGAAAAATGTGATGGTGGAATTTCCATTGAAACAAAATCCATTCGATTTTGGTGTTGATGTGAACGAATTGGATTCCTTTAAGATATTCACATCAGATATTTGTTCTCGTCCGACTACTAAATCATTAGATGATGGATTGGTATTATTTGAATTACAGCTAGAGCTACTATTGTTTGCATTTGATTGATCATTCGAAACGGCTTCGCCGTTCAAAAGTGCATTCTTCGATTGAATCAATTGTGCCAGTCCTTCATTTCCACTTATTGCCGAACTACTTTCATCATCTATCTCAGATATTCCACTAATTGAGTTTTTTCTGCGTTGATTTACAACTTGTAACGTTGATGACATCGTCACTTTCTCAAAAATCGACGATTTCGACTCGAAAGAGTTTTGTGTTTTACTCTTTTCATGGATCGCCGTGCAAACTCTTAGTTGCGCTGCTGATGCTGTCATATCAATTTCACTCATTGGTAACGCTTCCTTCCATACACTAATCATCAACTGATATGCCGCCTCTCGACTTAAAAAGCTCGAAAAAACGTGTCTCTCATCAACAGTTGCTACAGCAATTGCATTCGGAAATATTTTGACCGTTTTTTCCTTCGATATTCTAGCTACAGACGTCACTGGTATGAGCAATTTTGTAACGTATCCAAACACGTTCGAATAAAAAGCAATATAATTTTTGGTAATGTACATATAACCTTGCAGCAAAATATCACTAACAAATGCACACGAAAAATCTGTAAAAATAGAAGAGATTTTTTTAAATCTATGATTGGTTCATTGGTAAGGGCAAAAAATACGTACAGTTGATCAGTTCTTCATCCATTGCAACTTGTTTGAAACGTCGGTGAAATTTTTTCTGGCGACTACTACTCATTTGCTTTCTTTTTTTGTCGGTGGATGTACCGTCATTTGATTTAGTATTCGTTGACTTGACGGAACTTGAGTTTAAGCTCGAGTTCGATGACAAGCTTACATTTGTTGGCGGCAGAAGATATTCCTGAGTTGATGATGGAACTGTACCAGCTTCTGGTCCCGTCATGTTTGGCATCATATTAGACACAACCGGTTTTAATTGTGAGCAATCAATTTGACTTTTTTTACTGTTTTTAAGAGAAATAATAACACAATTAAATTCCAAACAGTTAAAAATAGATAAGAAATCAAGTACATAAATATTGATTGAACGAACGATAAAGATTAGATTATAAAATCATTCGATATATGATGGTCGATACTTCTGATTAACTTGGGGTCGTTGAATGTCTACCAACACAGTTAATCACAATTTATTTCTATGCATAGATTTTTGAGTTCAAAATTTTCAATGTTTTTCAATTAAAACAACACAAAAAAAAATCGAGTCAAAAGTCAATGTCAGTTGCTACAATTGTTCTGGCACGTAACAGACTTGCCTTAAATCATTTTTAATTGAAGATTGTGTTAGGTTCGCTTGAACATCGCTTAATGATTTCCGTTTCGTTGGTTTACTATCAATGTCACCACTGTTGTTACCATTTGGTTTGTCGTTGTTGACCGCAAAACAGGATGATTCACTGCTTGAAACCAGATTTTGCTGTTTTGGCGACAAGCGTTGTTTTGAGTCCGTTAATGGTGATCGTACGCTTAATGAAACACTATTGGTAGATCTGAAAAAAATGAGAAAACATTTTATTATTTTTCATGATCTTCACTCTATTAATTGAATTATAGACACACACAAAAGATGGAATCATTTCAATACATATATCTTTCAATTTGGTTTGTTGCATGAAAACACCAACAATCAAATTAACAACAACGGTTTATTTACCAGAATCGATTTATTTATGAATCCAGTTAGTTTACTGACATTTATGCCAATGATACTGAATATATTTATAGAAAAATCTAAATTTAAAAGATTGCGAAGTACAAATACAAATTACCCTTATATACAAATCAAAATATGAACCTAAATTAGTTTAATCTAGTTTATGTTTTACAATATTTGAGTATACAAAAAAAATGAACGGCTTACAGTTGCTACTTCAACATTTGATTACGATTTATTTTACGTGGGTGAAATTGTACGTGGCACTCTTGCCTCTCACTATTCAATATAAAAAGACTACCGGCGTCTGCGAGCAAATATGTCGTGATGATATAAACCAGTGAGCGGTTTGATAATACAATTTACATTTATGACGCTGTGTAATTACATTTTTCGAGGAATTTATCGCATAAAATAATTCTCTCTGATAAAAGGATTGCCGTTGGATATATTTTTTTTTCATATTTTGTGTGATTTTCTTCAATTCAATTCATACGAAGTAAAATTAAAATTAAGTCTAAATAAATGGCAGTTAATTCATCTAACTTTTGGAATTCGTTCCCAGAAGTTTATATCTGTTCTGTCTGATTGTTTACACTGAATAAGAATTGGAATAATTTTATTTCAGAAACTCTAAAAACGTTATCGCTTTGTGCCCAACAAAAACATACATTAATTTTTTTAAGAAAACGTGATGATAATATTCACAACAATGTTGATATGATCCATAAGGGTTGCCAATTTCTACTAAAACCTAGTTCAATCTGCTTTATAATAAATGCCATTTCAAATCGAATTTAATGAAAATCGATTTAACAGCAGATTGACAACAATAATAGTATATGTATTGCTTTGTCCATGAACGCAAAATACGTAATCTTCTGGTGTGCTCCGAATTGTAAATAAAGCTGTATTTCAATTTGCCTTTTTGAAGTGCTTCTATACGTGGTTTTGATGCGGTTATCATACCATATGTTTACATTTTCTATTTTTATATACAAAAAGACGTCTCGTTTAGATGCTTCTCTCAACAAGGATAAGGTTTTCAATTATTGGAGTTCAATTACTATTTGTTAAAGGTCAAATGAGTAATACAAATGCAAAGCCATACTTGGCTTGAATTTCAATGCATTCGATTGAATCGATTAGATTTATAAATTACGAATGCAATAGAATGATTTCGATGTTTTAGTGTGTAAGTTATCTTTATATTTTGCGCCATTCATTTATCACTACAGTACAATACGTCTGTAGAAGAATGATAAAGTATTTGAAATACTAAAAAAACATATCGAAAAGCAAGCAAAACAATTGCTCTGCATTTTAGGAATATTCCAAATGTTGTTTTTTTTTTCAATGTTCTCAGAATAATCAGAACTTCAACAATCAATTGCGTCGAAAGGCGAAACTAAAAATGCATCTTTTCACGAATAAAATAAACGCCACGTGATATCGATTATTTTCCGCCACAAATTAGCATTTCAAATTACATCAACGATCTTTTGTTATTGAGAAATGGGATATTTTTTATCGATGCGGGTCCTCTACAGCATTTAAATTGGATATATATATTTAGCATAGATGTGCTTCATTTCATTACTTTGAATGTCTGACATGAGATTATCACTTAAAATAATTCATTGAATGATTGCATCAATTGGAGTAGCAGATTGAGCTAAAATTAATACAGTATTCACGCATTGATGAAATGTTTGTCGATTTCGAAATTTGTAATTGAAAATAATACGAATTATTTATTTTGTCTACGAATACCATTTGTTTAAATAAACGAAATGATTGAATAAATTGAGTGATTGGAATGTCAATACAAGAAGGCATTAGTTTGAATGAAAACTCACCTGGATTTTCGTAAAAAGAATTTCGATTTGGAAGATGATTTTTTCTTGGCTTTTCCATTAACCGTAAGAGTTTTGGAAATACTATCGTCAGCATTTGCGATTTCACATTTTAATTTGGTTTTTGGGCCACCTTTGGCTTTAGATACACCAAATATTGTGCCATCACTGATTTTACTACTGGTACTAGAGCCTTGCAGCTGATGTTGTTGTTTTCTCGATGTGGTCAAATTTTGTAGGAAACAAAACATAACATTGCGTGTCATAGCTCATTAAAGCACCATGCGTGCCACGAAAGACGAGAAAAAAAAATGTATTTGTGCGGCCAATCCGCAATATCACCCCCGTTTATTTATGCATAATTATAATATCACCGAGTCTATGATTTTTTTTGTTTGGATTTTTGCATTCGTTGTAAACAATGAATAAAATGATATCCTCAAATCAAAATGCACGTTATATTATAATTTGTAGAGAACACTTTTTGACCATTTCACCTTAGGCAGTGGTTTGGGTGTGGATAGGCGTTACGGCTTTCTTCCGGCTTCTTTCTTCGAACAACAACACTTCACCCATCCAACCAACACACAAACACATCCAATTTTATTGACTGGGTGCCGTCGCCATGCTCTTATACAAACAGACACAAACTCATACTTTACTTCCCGTTCTGTCTATCCCAATCACTTTTTTTCTCCTCTCTGTTAAAACCTTTCAGGCGACAATGGTGCGTACCAAGTGTTAAATATTTGTAAAGTGGTATTTGTTTTCCGTCTCAGTTTCTGTTTTATGAATAATCAAAAGTATGGATTATGTGTTGGTCATCAATTTTTTTTTACTGAAAATCAAACTGTTTGCGTTCACATAAAATATACACGTTTATTATTGACGTGGAAAATCTATCAACACGAGGATAATAAATCTATTATTATTCACTTCGTTGGATGATTAAAATTGTATTTGATGTAACTTGTTTGCCATTTATATTGAAGAAAATTACAGTCGGATAGAGTAACATTGTTGTAACAGGAAAAATGTAAAATTTATCATTTCGATCCAATCGATTTGTGAATGTTTCTGGCACTGGTGCGGCATTAGATCTGCGCATTCGCAATTGCTCTTATGCATCCGACACATGTTCATTCCTACATGGTATGATATGGATTGTATCATTACTTCGACTGAGAATTCCGTTGGCTAATATTCAAAGTTAGCAAACTTTGCAGGATTCACATGTATTTATTTATAGCTCAGCTTTAATTGGTGTCGTGATAGCTATCAATATAAGTGAACATAATTTACATGTATAGATTCGAAGACGAAAGTTGATTGATGTTTTGTGATTCTGATTAGGTCTTGGAATTTTTAATTATCAAATAACTAGGCAGCGGAAAGTTTATTTTGCATTTTAATTTCAAATGCGGAATTAACAAGTAGCGGAAAATTTTCTATCGCAATAACTATTTATTAAACTTGAATTGAATGCGGTTATACAGGTTTTTTTTCCTCTCTTTAATGATTCTAATAAATGATTCTGGTGAGATTATAGTTAACACATTTTTTTTTCTATTTTGAGAAAATTGCTTAAGCACGAAACAGAATACAATGCACAATTACTACAGAATAGAAAAATACTGAAAAGATCTGCTTCCTTTATTTTGTTTGGCAATTTTTGTTTTCGTGCTTGCACAAGTCTTTATTGACGGTTTGTGTTCATTTGAAACAATAAAATTGAAGTCTTATTGTTTGGTTCAAGCAAACAAGTGAAAATTATCGTTCAGCTGGGAGAAATTTACGTAGTAGCTGGTGTGAGATACTGCCAATTTGTTTGCAAACATTTACTTTAAAAAAAATGATGAATTCAATAAAAGATGTTTGTTTTGGTCACATGTGTCAACTATACTATCAGTTGAGCACGAATGATCGCACACGATATGTTTATTTTCTTTGGAAATAAAAACCGTAGAGTCATGTGGAGTGAGAGAGAAACTTTGAAATTGGACAGAGAGCACTGTATATGATTAAACAAAATGTTTTGGACTTAATTGTTCATTTGCGATATTAATTTTCACAACAACTTATCACCTCAGTTAATTACTGGCCTTTCGACACATTGTTATAGATCGGATACAATCGAAGCTGTTTTTGTGCAGAGTAGTTCGAACGGAGCAATTGTAAAGATTGCAATGAACTTGAGTATATAGCGGCAACCCATGCAGTTGATTTTTATTCCAAAATTGTCACGGCGGAAGTTTTGTACTTAAATTCCGTCTTGTCATACAGATTCAAATAGATTCAAAGACGTCAAGTTTTTTTTAGTTTTTCGGACTTTCTATTAACTTTAATTGTGCAATAGACAGCCTTGAATAGTGGATAAGCGGCGTGAGTGATCAAAAATAGCACAAATAGAAACACCAAGAGGAGTGGTCGTGACCGAAGAGTGGATTTTTGGATTTTTGTATGTCAAGTTCAATTGTTTTGGAATCAGTTTGATTGACGTCCATGCTGAACTTCAAATGTGATGTTTTTTTAAAAACATTCGTATGTTCTATGTTTTATTCCATTCAAAATATTCCATTTATCTAATTCATCATAACAATAAACAAAAATAGTATGCGAGAATAGCGATTGAGAGCATCAACATGAATAAATGAGCTCAACAACCAAAATAAATGTATGATTGAAATGTATGCATATAGCGTGTATTCATTGTCGTACCGTGTACGAACTGCGGCGAAAAAACGACGACTTTTCTTGCCCGAAATTAATGAAAATTGGAGCATTTGCTGCGTTATTTATTTATTTTTGTACGAATTTGAAATAACATATTTCCACTCTATCTATCTATTGCAAAATGAGCATTTGCCATTAATCAAAGAGAATGTCTCTTTTTCACGCACACATCACTAAACGCAGACATATGTTTTACTTATAAATGAATTCAACTCGCATTTTTTCTGTGTGGTTCGTATTGAAATTTCATTGATGGATTGACTCTTTTTGCTTTCGTGAGCATTTTGTTTGATATAACTCAAAAATTGCTTGAATGAATGCATTTCATATGAAATCTAAACTTTTTCACTGTTGAATCATATACATTCGAAAAATAGAATGGACCAAGGTTCATTGCTGTATATTAAACTGCCATTTGTTCACAACAATCGATGGCAAACAAATAAATTTCGCTTTTGTGTCCAATTAATTGAAATGAAACTATTTATTATGAGAGACAACATTGTCACCCGAATGAACAAATATATGATTGACAACACAACACTACTTGTTATTAATTTTGATATCTATTTAATTAATTTAAGCACACATATTCTGCACTTTTCGTCATAAATCAATGATGATTCACTATAAAAAATTTCGAATTTTATCTTACTGTATAAGTGTTCGAATGATTTTTGTCGTTGATTTTTTAGCATAAAGAGCTTGTCTTTATACATAAATCTCGTGCACTCTCTGTTTAAGTGAGCACAAAACAGTCGACGTCGTTGAACGATATACTTCACTTCATTTCAAACTTATTTACTTGTTTTACGTTGATGTGCTTCTTTAATTTCTGTACACACAGTGCTCTGTTGTCGACAACACAACTTGTAATGTTCAAGATCTCGCCGATTGTAGGTTTTTCCTCTTCTTTTTGTTCGCGTTCTCACTTCGGTTGCGTTGTCACTGTCAAATTATGAATTTACACTGCAGACAACTACCACTGCACAACTCCAACACATAGATGGTGCTCATTATATTGTAGCTGATTCTACGATGCATTGGTATTGGTTTTAACATTGTTACATGTGTGCGTGGAGAAAGTCGCATGTATTGTATATACCGCTTATGGTTGTATGGGATATTGTACAACCAGTTTGTCCCAATCACATGCGAATTCGGTTTGTTGTCAGTTCAGTCACCATATAATTGGATGTCTATATTTTGTCACAAAATCCATGAACTTGCTAACAGATAAAAACCACATTAATACCGCGAATTTGAATCGCATTTCTCAGAAACGTTAATGTGCGTATGATATTTATAGATCTTTTTTTGTGTGTGCATGAAAATAGAGAATTCTGTTGAATAAAAAACCAAATGTCATTCATTTCTTCCAATTACAGTCATAATGCGTTTGATAAAAATATCCTGACTTTTGATCTCATTCAGAGTCAAATTGTCTACCTCGAAGAATTCACAAGTAAAATTTTACATAAAGAAAGAAAATTTTACGAGGTTGCACATACAACTCATAGATTTTATAGATATTGAGTGCGATGAGATTAGGTTTCATGTTTCGACCTAGTTTTCGATGACGTTGCAACTTATAATTTGAAAAACGAGACATACTAATTGAAATTTTTTGTTTGTTATGCTCTACATAATTCGCTTCTAAAAATTAAAACATAAAACTAAAACACATATTCTATTGCTTGCGTCATAAATATGCTCATTGCACAAATAATGCACACGTAAAGTTTTTTTTTTTTCTTTCAGTTAAATACCATTAGATTTGAAGTGCAACTATATAGATAAATGTGTATTACTTGCGTTATGAAACTGTACATGAAGCGTATTGAATTTGTCGTATCTCATGAAATGCGTTGAAAATCGTACAAATAAAATCATTGAACCGATAAGAGATGTGTGCTATATCAAATGATGATTATTCAATCAATGACTTTACTATGCAAATCTGCATGTTGCAATTAAAAATTTTGTATTTGCATTTAACACCTGAAAAGTTTTACATTCAGAAAATCAACTTTTCTGTATTTTCAAAAGTTGATCGAATCCATCTTGTTATCAGACAATTTAACGAATAAATAATAATACACAATAGTCATATCTCATTTGATTGAGACATGACTCGTATAGTTAATACAGCCGATGACTGAATACCGGAAAAAATTGGTTGAAATTGATTATTGTCATAGGAATATTTCAAGATCATAAATAAGGTTTCGCAATATATTGATTAAATAGTTTTGTGTGATAGAGAATTGATTACAGTGTCCCTTACTTTTCATTGTTCACATTTTGAGCGAGAATATTATAATATTATATGTTAAGTCATTGCTTTTTACACAAAATAGATGGCATTGTTAATGCTTCAGTAAATTGTTTATTTTCCCATGGCAGAGTGAAAAAAAATTAAGCTTCGAACAAACACAATGGGCGTAAAATAATTTTTGGTGTTGATCGTCGATTACAAAATTATCACAGGCTTTAAGTATGTAATTGTAACACCACACCAAAATGCCAACGCTATCGTACACCAATTGTACTCGTAGTTCGTGATGCCATTGAACGATTCAACTGATAAACTTATTTGGCGCAACGATGAAAATTTTATTTGCAGTTGTGCATAATTTGGTCGTTTTGCTCGTAATAAAGTGCGGCAAAAAGTGAAAGTATAACTCATGCGATTGTATGGAGTATTAATTAACCGTACGAAATAAAAAAAATACGGTAAACTTTAAAACATGTTCTTTCGATGTCAGTCAAATATTGGGCCATTTGCAAACATTTGAAATTGGTTATATTTTCAATTGTAAGCAGTTTCCATTGGATTCGTGTAGAGGTAAGTCGAAAGAAGTCTCAAGTATCGTGTTATATTTCTTGGGACGTTGCAAAAAAACAAGTGACCAAGTGTTGATACTATATTAAAAAAGTATTCATAGTTCGGTTTTTTTCGGAGATTCAAGTGACTGTTGCATAAAAAGTTTGAAAACTTACCGTTTTTGTTTTTGTTTTATTCCGTTTGACTCAGCAATGTCACAATTAGCGGACAGTATCAAGATATGTTCCCCGTCGTAAGTATTTTCTTGATAGTCATCCGCAATGGAACTAAGAAATAGACTTTCTTCACTAAGCATAGACTCATTGTTATTACGATCAAATAAGTGATTTTCGTTGAGAATTCGTTCAGCTTTGAAACTTTTCCGTGATAAATACTCGCTTCGACGCACAACATTTTTACGAACAATATCAAAACTTCGTCGCAAAAATGATTTTCTATTTGATTTTCGTTCAAAATATTTATTCAATGTTTCGGCGGATAATGATGTTGATGAGGCAGAAGAGGACTGCCCACGTTTTGCACTAATACACTGCATTTTGATGGAAGACGATGACAATTTTATTTAAATTCAATTTATTGCATCAAAGAATTTTCCGAATATGTGTTTACTTAAAAAGAAATTAAATCGCAAAGTGTTTTGTTAACAAATGTTCACTGAACATCCAAACATTGATATCGCTTGTTATTTTATCACTTAAAATTGTGTAATTAATTGAAAAAAAATTAAAATAAAAACACAGCAAGCACAATTGACGTTTACTTCTGAATGATTTCAGAAAAGAATTAATTTCAGAATAGAAGACCACTAGTTTAAAGTGTGATGGTATACAATTATCTATTGATAACGCACACCACGGACATAATGAAAACAACGCTTGTGTCTAGTTTCGAAGATCAATGTGTTATTTTGGCTGCTTTTCCTTATACGCCCCAGAACTTTATCTTTATATGATATCTTATCGATCGCATTTGATACGTATTCGACTTTAATTGTATTAAATAAATATCAAAAATTTGAAATGTATTGTATTTATTCAATTTAAAACTACAGTCTACTATTAATCGTGCTCTGGCGGCACATGACATACTTATGTCGCTTACGGTTTTCAGAGCTCTGCTTTTATTGTTTAATCGATTGCGGTTGTGTTTTATATGGTTTTAAATTTCACTTTTATACCAATATGGAACTTTGTATCGTAAATGTAATCAACAAGTAAGATCATTCATTAACCCTCCTATGGACGGAATAAAATAATAACATATGAAATGAACAAAATTATGTATTTTTTCTGAACGTCAAAGGGTTAATGACACACATATGAAAAGATTTACATATGTTGAAAATTATATATCATGCATTGTTTTAAACTCCCTCAATCATTTTTAGATTGTATTTTCTGTTCATATTAAAAGTAAAAACAAAGGAAATGCATTTTCAATAGATTATTTGCAAAACTTTTCTGAGATGCTTTGAGTCACACGGTCGTTTTCTTCAAGGGTATTTTTGTTTTGGCTTTCAGTTTTTGTATTTAGATAAGGTGCTAGCATATAATATTTGTCATGTTTCATTTCCAATAGTTTTGTAAAAAATTAGCAAGTACATAATATTTTGCTAAGTAATTATTGATTAATGCAAAAATTAAAATCTGATTATACTGTTGCTAATTTCATTAAATAGCTATAGCACGTTTCGAGCAACGGAAAGTTTTTTACCTACATAACGTATTAATGTTTGCTTCGAAGAATATTCATTTAACAAAAAATTCAATTTGAAACTTACTTTCGCATTTTATCTTCATGAGATTTGCGTCGATTTTTGTCCATTATTGGCGATGGTGACAATGACGGCGTCCTATATGTAGCGTAAGCGGCGTAAATCGATTGAAAAATACAAAAATAGATCATTGTTAGTTTGAAAATGAAAACGATTTGTACGTCACTCACCATAAATTGATGCAACTGTTGTTTGGCTTCATAGTGAAACGGTTTTCATAAGCACCTTTTTTTAAATTCCAGTTTACTCCAGTTTTACTTTCATTTGTCGATCGTGTCACTCATTTATTATATTTCTAGCTTTTGTTTTGAATTTCATTGGTCTAAGCTGTTTATTTTTATTTTTCTCACCTAACCATAAAATCTCGCATATTTTTTTATTAAAATTTACCGAACAAAACTCTTGAAATTGGTTTCCATATGAATGCAAGCAAACTAATGAAATATTTGTGATTCCATGCTATCGATTTTTTTGTTTAACAATGACCGTCAGGATTTCAATTTATGTTATGGAAAAAGAATTTCCACGAAAGAAATTCTGTATTGACGAAGTTACCTAAAAATAAGACAGCATTATCGGTTTATCGATTTTTCTTGATATAGTATGTAACCAATTTGAACCTTTTTTGCAACTCACTGATTCGGTGGCATACTTGATTAAACACGAAATTTTCCATGAAATCATGGATGTAGCAAATGTTGACAATTCTTTTGATCGATGAACACTGTCCAAAAAATTTTGAATAGCTTAAAATAAAAACGTTTATCGACACCAATTTGGTTATCAAAATGTGCCATTTAGATTCTCTTTGAAGAATAAAATGCTTCATAAAATGCTCCAAATTCAGGTTATTATTATTTTTAATGCAAATTACTCGCGATGTGTAAAAGACGATAAAATGGTTAATTAGTAATAATTTATAAATTTTTTCTCTTATGTTGTTCACTGTAAGTTCAAGTTACGAAATGCACCGTTAAAAGTCTTTGTTGTAAAACTAATGAAATTTTAAACACAGCAACTTTGGTAAAACTAACAAAAAATGGTTAAGAGTGCCGCATTTGAGGTGAAAACTATCAAAAATGAATCCAATTGTAGATGGCATTTGTGGTTGCGCTAAACATGTATTGTGTATGGAACAAAATTCGTATCCACAACAAAACGATATGTGTTCTACTTCATTAACATGTGCAACGATTTTTTTTTTTTTTTTGAAAGTATAGCGGCACACAGACAAACCGTAGGAGGGCTAACGAAAAGTTAGTTAGCTGAAAAATAAGCGAGTCATCGGTCTGTTTTAAATGTATTGAGGTAAACAATTTGTTAATGGTATACTATAGAATGACGCGTGCGCATCTCACCAGCCTAAATAGATGTATAACTTGATTCTGTTTTGATTCATTATTCGTTACAGTCGCTCTCATAAGCATTTACGTTTTCATTGTCTGGCATTAAAACTCATATTATTAATTGCACTTCATATAAACTTGTTAGTTTTAATCACATTTTAAGTAGTTTACAGTAAACATTTTCATTTTTATAACAGAATACAAGAAATTATTATTTTTTTGCATAAGTTTGTGGGGTATTGTCTGAAAATTATCAATGGTTTTTGAATTCAAATCAGACACAAGCAAAGTTTAGTAGAACAAAAGTCAATATTTTGTGTCAGGACTTGGAATAAAAATGCAATTATTTGCCATTTGTTTTGAATGGGTAAAAGCTAAATTTAAAGTTATAAATAATGATGCTGTCTCGCCTTCACTTTCACTCCGGTTTACTTCAGTTGTTTTAAATAGTAAGACGACTGAAATGGTTAAATTTAAATGTAATTGCGAAGTTAGCACGTAATAAATAATACATGTAATTTGTATATAATTAACTGGCAAGAGAAATGAGATCAACGAGTACTCAGCAGTGTATATGTTTCATTGTCACACAATTGCAATATGGGTGCCATGCATCAGAAAACGCGATGAGCTCATAATTTCAACTTTTGACACCGAACACTTTACGGTCCAATGAATCCAATTAGCATCATTTTATTGACACTAATGATAATAATAGCCATCATGTCAATAGTATTTGAAAAGCCAAACCGGCGTGTATTGGATTTGAAGCGGATAAAGGATTGCCGTATGGCATATGTCTGTACTGGCCTTGGAGCTGCGTATCGCAAGATCGTTCGTTATCAAAATCAATCAACGATTTGATATGATTTCATCGTTCTTTATTTAAAATCAATAAACACATGTTATCTATACTATTCGATTGTTGTTATTTTTATTGAGTGTGTGCCTGTGCATGCCGAGTAAATGTTGTTTACATTTGAATTCCGTATTTTCGCCATTTTTTTTAAACGTGGAATTTGATTATGCTCATCCGAATTTAGATGTTAATGAGCTTTGAATTAAACTTCCCAACTTTTCACGAGAAGTAATTACTACCTGATAACCTTGATAAATATAATTGTATCAAAATTACAGCAATTTTCATTGTAAAATTTCGACAATTTAGAAGCTTATTATCAAGATAATGTTGATAATTTTTTTTTTGATTTTTTATTTTTAAAAAAGCTCACATCCATACAAATGGCATTGAAACTGCTAGTGAAAATGACGCAGCAGTTGCTATGAACAATGCAAATTAATTTATTTGTTGAACACTCCTTTATCACAAACATTGGTATTAAGTTTAATTAACTATTCACATAGAAAGTGAAATGCGTTGCCTTCGTGTAATTTAAAATGTCAGCTTCATTAAGAGCATTAAGAGTGCCGTCAAGTTTTAAACGAGCTAATTGTTTCATTTTACGAAAATGTAACTTTGCTACTATGGAAAATTTATTGAAGTCGTCTTCTCATAAGTCATGCGTAGAGTCATTCAAGGGTTTCGATGTTAAAAGTAGCTAGTCTCTCAACTAGTTCCAATTTATTCATTTGTACCAAGCTACTCACAGGCATCACAAGGGAAATATGAAAATAAAAATTGAATAATAATGAATGATAAAAAAAAAGTCACTAATGCCAATCGGATTAATGTAATGAAAGTTCGTGGGATAGGGTTTGCATGTGCGACGGCGGTTATAGCGTACAAACTAGCTAAATAAACGCAAGCCGTTCATGATTGTTAGTGTTCCTGATATTGCACAAAAAATAATAATAATATAAAAACTAATTTGGATCAGCAGACATTACGCAATGACATCGAAAACTCAAGTCGTTGTGCCGGTCGCCAGTTTTATCATATTTATGCACGAGATTCATGAAAATCAAATTAAAATGTGCTAAACAGACAAGTAGTTTGTATGATGATGTGATAGCACGAAAAAAGAAGTGGGATTGGAAAACGAGCCATTGTTGTCGCTTCACATTGTTTTTTTATGTATGTATGCATTAATGTGTATGTGAATATAATGAACCAAATTTGTCAAAGTGTGAATGAAATTGCTGGAATAATTACTTGTCTATGAACACTTTTATTTTCTCTTTCTCTTTTGCTTTTGTTCTCTTTCTCTCTCTCTCTTCATTCAGTGCATTTGACGAAGCCAGTGAAGCTATAATTGACAATCATATTAGCGCCGAAACATATTTGAGTACAACAAAAACCGCGAAACAGTGAAACCATCAAATAAACGCAAACACAGGAAAATAGCTATTTAATTATTCATTATTTCCGATTAATCTTTTCAGTTGAGTGCGCATGCACGCCTGAGATGAAGCTGTAAAACGAATTTTCCGTTCAAATACATTGAAAACGTAAACAAAATCTGAAGTGTTCTTGAAAACAAATACAAACGAATATTAATTTTCGCACACACATTTTTTGAATGTGCAAAGCAATACACATTACGACATCAAGTGATGCTGAGAATTTGTAACATTGTTTCGCACATCAACGGTGGCAATAATATCCGTGAATCGGTGTTCTATCAATCAGACGCTCTCTCACAAGCGTCAGTACAATTTGATCGTTCGTTCAGTGCATATCCAAATGAATTCTGCTGAATTCCATCCATGATATGTACAAAAGCAAACGAAATAAATAACACTCTCGTGTATTTACTTGTATTGAACCATTTATAAATAAATGAACTGGAACGTGTTCAAACAAAACCAAAAATAAAAAAACACACAAATTCGGTCAAATAAATATACGTGCTTGTTGAAACAAATACCTGGATCTAATTGAGTCGCTATAGTAGTTACATTTTAAGAAGAATAGTTGTACGTTTCGTATTAATAATTCGTAGTTTGAAATATTCAAAATTGAAAAATATATAATAATCATATCCTTTTTGGAAGAAAAAAATAGTTATAAGACTGTGAATCCCCAGTTTAGTGATATCTGAAATTAGTTTGTTGGAATATGGTTAGGAGTATGGATTTTGATAGACATCGGTAAGGATTACAGTGTGAATTTTATATATTTATTTGACATCAAAATACGGCCAGATTCTTCTACATACTGAGTTGTTTATTTTATTTCATTAACAAATTGTTTTATTTTTTACTTTAAATTTTCAGTCATGGCATTCCGGAGAAAAAGCGTCATTCATGTTTTGTGAGAACACTTATCATCCTGAATATATTTTTCATAATTGCTATTGCACTTTCAATAGCTGTTATCTATAGATTTGCAGCACTTATTAAGGAATGTAAGTTAAAAAAAATAAATAGCAAACTGTTTGATGAGATGTGTGCAGAAAAATATGTTGTTAGTGAGGAAAAAATATATATTTTGTGTTAAAATTTGTCAGGCAGTAATGGTATTTTATCGAAAGTTGTGTAAATTTGAATAACAATAAAACAAAAAAATCTAAAAGAATACAAGGTCAAAGAATTTCTTGAATGACAACATTTTGTGTATGTGCGATAAAAAATAATGAATAAATTGCTCATTTCGACTTTCATTGAAATTGCACCGAATGCAATCTATTGTTTTATAACAAATAATAACAGAGATTAATGTAGAAAACTTAATGTCTTTGTTTTTCTCTCGTCAAACGTGAAAAACAATTAGATAAATCAACAAGCGTTTGTCATGACACTGGTTGTGTGAGTGCGGCAGCGGATGTTTTACGATACATGGATGCATCAGTTGAACCATGCGTGGACTTCTATGATTTCGCCTGTGGAAAATTTCTGAGCGAAACAACACTAACCGATGAAAAAGTGACGATTGATACCTTCAATCAGGCTCGTGATAAAATGCAGTCACAACTACTTCGACTTATTGATGCGCCCATCGTGCCCGACGATTTACAGTAACTGACGACATAAATTACGACATGTTTAAATCGAATTTTATTGAAATTATTTCTTTGCAGGTCGTTTCGATTTATAAAGTTATTGTATTCATTGTGCATGAATCAAACTCAAATTGAAGAAACTGGTTTAAAATCAATGATTGAAATACATAATTTGCTTGGTGGTTGGCCCGTCGTCGTGGGAGATCAATGGAATCCAAATTCAACATGGAATTGGGAGAAGAGCAGCAATGATTTATTGAAAGCTGGCTTTGGCCATGCTTATTTATTTGTTATTTCAATTGATACAGACATGCGAAACTCATCCCGACGCCGCATTGTGGTACATCAAAATTCAATTCCTTTACTCATTCCTATTGATGCTATCATAAACATTTAAATAGTTTGACGAGCCAACGTTAGGACTGTCTCGCGAGTTCCTACTACAAGGTACCAACGATAGTGTTGTACAAGCGTACTACGATTATATGACAGATTTGGCCGTCATTTTTGGTGCTGATAGAGAAAATGCCAAACAGGAACTTTTGGATGTATTGGAATTCGAGAAAAATCTTGCGAATGTTCGTAATATTCATCACGAACTTCTTATTGAAATCATTTATTTTCAATAATTTTTACTTTTATTTTCGGTAGATTTCAATGCCAATGGAACAAAGACGAAATTCTAGTGAATTATATAATCCATTGACGTTTAAAGAAATTCAAACCAAATATCCATATTTGAACTGGGTGGAATACATCAATAATCTGTTTCCGTCCCATATTAAAGTTAATGACAATGAAACTGTTATTTTGAATTCACTCTCATTTTTCAAAAATTTTGGAACCCTTCTTGAAACGACACCAAATCGAACGATTGCAAACTATCTGTTTTGGCGCCTCACCGAATATTCAGCATATTATTTGAATAGTGAAATTAGAAAGCGACAATTGCTCTATAACACGGTGACAATTGGAAAAAAAGAGCTCAGTGCTCGCTGGAAGGAATGCATTTCATTGACGAATAATAAGCTTTCAACTGCGGTCGGCGCACTTTATATTCGCGAATATTTTCATCCAGTAGCCAAAGAAACGGCTGCAAGCATGGTCGAACAAATCCGTAAGGAATTTAAAGATGTACTCAAGAAAAACGAATGGATGGACGCCAAAACAAAACTAGCGGCAAACAACAAAGTAGATGCAATCGTCACTCACATAGGATACCCCGATGAGCTATATGATGACAAAAAATTGGAAGAATACCATAAAACGATCGAAATTAATTCAACAAATTATCTAGCATCAATTTTGAATATCAACAAATTTTATATGAACTATGAGTTGGATTCACTGCGAAAAGTTGTAAACAAAACGGATTGGATTTCACACTCATCTCCAACATTCATAAATGCTTTCTATTCATTCGAAGAAAACTCAATAGGTGAGACACACTAGTTTCTTTATGTCTGCGTCTACCAAGACATCTACAGAATGATTGTAAAATTTCAGAGCTCCCAGCGGGAATATTGGGTGGCATGTTCTTTGCGTCGGATCGACCATTGTATATGAACTTTGGTGGCATTGGCTTCATTATTGGCCACGAACTGTTAGTATATTTATATGATTGAATGTGCAATTAGAAATAACATACAAACCAATTTCAGAACACACGGTTTCGATGACGAGGGTCGACAGTATGGTAGATATCATGAAATCGATTTTCCAATAATAAATGACGAGAATTGTTCATTGTCATTTTAAAATTATTTTAGATCAACACGGAGACCTATTGAACTGGTGGGACAATGCAACAGAAGTTCATTTTCTGCAGCGCGCACAATGCATGATCGAACAGTATAGCAATTTCACAGAGCCACTCACAAATTTAAGCGTTCGTTGATTCTTAATACTTTTGAAAATGTAAAGGAGCTAAAGTTTTGTACTTATTTCTATTTCAAATATAGATCAATGGCATTAATACACAAGGCGAAAACATAGCGGATAATGGTGGTCTGAAGTTTGCATATAATGCTTATAAAAAGTGGATAAAAAAGAATGGCAGCGAAAGAAGATTACCAGGGCTACAACAATATACACCTGAGCAAATGTTTTGGATAGCAAGTGCACAAACGTGGTGCTCCATTGATCGCACAGAATACATGCGATTGCGAATTTTAAACGGGGTGCATGCACCCGACAAGTACAGAGTCATTGGATCGATTAGTAATTCGGATGAATTTTCACAGGATTTTCAGTGCAAACCGGGCCAACCGATGAATCCAGTTAAAAAATGTACAGTTTGGTGATTAGATATGAAGACTTACCACATTGATACGATATTGAATAAAATTAAATAAGTTATAACACATAACGAAGAGTTTTTAATCAAATTCATTAGTGTCAAGTTCACATTTTTCACGCACGTGAATCGATAGAATTGTTTCGTAAAAGATGAAGATGTGCATAACAATTTCATACGTATATGCATGTTGAATTTCAATAGATATACTTATAGTACACACATAGCATAGCATATAGGTACAATGAACGCTAAAAGTGGAGATGGTCAATATAAATTTAAATCCCAAGAATAGCCTAAATGTATGCAATTTAAAAGAAAATAAAACCTATTTATACGAAGTAAAATCATTTTATTTATCATTCAATTAGTCTAATTTGTCACATTTTTTTGGGCTAAAAACTCTATAAATCGAGTTGAAACCAATGAATCGCTCACTGTCAATCCGTTATTTAATACTTGTATATACACAGCTAAAATCACCAAATTTCACACTTTTCCACCGGATTCATTGGCGTTCCACGTGCACAATTGAAATCGCTTGCAAATTCGGCATTATTTTTTACAGAACCAATAACTCGATAGCGACTTGGTGCATGTGTATCGACTGTCATTGTCATCTTTGTATACCAATCACGACTCGCCGAGCACCATGTCTGGGCGGCTGAAATCCAGTACATTTGCTGTGGTGTATATTGTTGCAATCCCGGCAATCGCGATTCAACATAATTGCTGGCAACCCACTTTTTATACGCAAAATAAGCACTCTTCATGCCACCATTGTCAGCAATATTTTCACCTTGTGACATTTTTCCATTCACCTACAAATATTACATTAAATCTTTGATACAACACATTTTTGTTCCCAAAAAGTCTTACCTTCATTTTCAATTTGGGTTCGGTAAAATTTCCATATTGCTCGATGATGCATTTCGTACGTTTCAAGAATTTTGACTTTGTCTGAGGCATCCACCAATCTTTAAGATTTCCAAAGCTATCAAATTGGCGACCCAAATCATCAAAACCTATAGGTGCAAAAACAAAAGTTGAATGTTTCTCTTTGAACAAATGCATAAATAACCATACCGTGAGTGATTTCATGACCAATAATTTGACCGATCGATCCGTAATTCATATAGTTTGGCCTGTGTTCGGATAAAAATTGGCCTTGAAGTATGCCAGCCGGGAATTGAATGGAATTTTCTAACGCACTGTAGAATGCATTTATCATTGCGGGCGTTGCATGCGCAAGCCAGTCCATTTTATCAACTGGTTCATACAGTTCACGCAGCGCATATTCCGTTTTGAATTTATTCAAGCGCATTGCATTCAATAGATATTCATCAGCGTTCATTTCTAATGTACTGTAGTACTCTTCCAAATATGTGTTATTTGTCAATTCTTTCGGGTAGGCAATGTGTGCGATTAATGCATTGGCTTTGGCAATTGCGGCTTTTTTTGTCGTTTCATCCATCCACTGCACTTTATGTAGCATATCAATAAATGAACTTCTAATATTATCAACAATTTCCAAAGCATGTTGCTTTGATTTTTCATTGAAATATTTGCGCACATATAAAGCACCAACTGCCGGTGAAAGCCTAAAAAATTAATGAAAATAAATTACAATTTGTGACTCTGTCTGGAATGCGAATGATCTTACGTCGATGTGGTATAAGAAATACATTCTTTCCATTGTGATGTGCCAGCCTGACCAGATTTTCCATCACCATTACCCGTTACAGAGCTAAGATATTGAATTTTTCGAATACGAACTTGATCGTTCAGAAAGTTTGACGATACGATATATGATCGCCATGCAAAAAAATTGGCTATCGTTCGCTTTGGAGTATTTTCTAGTATTGCGGCCAGCCGCTCGAAGTACACCGGTGCAACAACAACAACTGTCTCGGTTTGTGACAGTTTCATGTCCTTAGGCATTAATGCATTGAAGTATTCCGTCCATCTGATGTGAGGATATTTCGTTTCCAATTGTGCTATTGTAAATGGATTGTATTGAGCTTCACCATCTCTTCGCTCTTCTTGTGGCAGAGAAATCTATACAAAACATTGAAGCAAATAGACTCAATAGAATGTTTGACTGTCTTGGCTATCAATGATACTTACATTTGCCAATTCACGCTCAAAGTTGAGAACATTTAAAATCTCATAAGGGGCTGTCGTCACGTTGGCTCCAAAAATGATCGATATGTCAACCATGTAATCATAGTAATGTTGAAGCATTGGATCTTTTTCGTTCAACAGAAATTCACGTGCCAAACCGAATTCCGGTTGATCAACCTGAAAAAAATCAGAGTATTATGATATTCACATTCTATACAGTGAGAAATAGAAAGACGCACCCGCAACGATCTAGTGGACGAGTTTTTTAAATGAGCACCAATTGATGTGCTCAGTAAATAGTTAGTTGTTAGACCGACTTCTCGCATTTCATGAATTGATTGAATCCAATCCCAGCTACTTTCATTCCATTGATTGTCAATTGCTGGAAAGCCTCCAATTTTTTGTAAAATTTTCTTAAATGGTTCCAATCCAAGTGCCTCTACAGCTGTCCTATTCATACATGATTTGTGTAAATTTTGCACCAATGCAAAAACATTTGATTCATTGGGATCAGTCTCATCTTCAATGATTGTTCGTAATTGTATATCAATTTGATCTGACAACGTTGAGAATGTATCAACGGTCAACTTATCATCAGGAATCCAAGTGTTCTTTACAAAACTTCCGCACGCGAATTGATAGAAATCATGGCAAGGCTCAACCGATGTATCAATGGCATTTAAAATGTGAGCAGCAGCTGTAATGCAACCGGTAGAATAGCACAATCCCTTATTGCCTTAATGAATCAACAAAAATAAAAATAATCTCTCAGTTAATCGTGAATAATTGGAAAATTGGTAAACAAAAAATTATGCAGTTGTCGAAATGATTTATCTACCAGTCAACCTTTCACACAGATTGCTATGAAAAACGTGTGAATTAAATTGAGTTAGTGTATAATAAGATGCGCCTGGTTGGTAATTCATAGTTGTAAATGTAATTAATTACATGATGTTGTTTGCGTGACTTGAATTCTTACCTGCGCTTTGATCGAATACAATGAAATAAAAGACAAGTGACGTCACAATAATCGCGCCCAATACGACATAAAAAGATAATAACACCTTCTCCAAAGTTGTGCGTCGCTGCCATGCATTTGAATATCTTCTTTGATAAAAGTAAAGGGAATACACAAAAAAACGATTGTTTAATCATTAAAGGTATATGTGTTTTTTTATGAATTTACATAACATGATCGCGGTGATGACGGAGATTTATTGTTATTTCATCCTTTCTTGTAATTTACAAAAAAAACGGTGTACGTACTCAATTTACGGGTGCGTATTATTCATTATGCGACATAGTACTATTCATTACTTTCATTTGAATATTAATTCAGAAAAAATGGTAAATTTTATCACTTCCAGTACCATTTACTATTAATAACAATCTCAAGTTACGTTTCTAATAACTGATGCACTACGTAGAAAAAACTTGTTTATTTCTTTTCTCAATTGAAATCAGTTTGGAGCGTGTTACAAAAAATGTCACTTTACAGTCAATGACGACTTGAGAAATCTTTTGCTTACAAATAAATGATTTGATTGATATAACACGTGAGATGCAACTTTTGCAATTTTATAACTAAAGAAATTTACGCGTAGAAAAAATAAAAATGAGCCATATCAATCGCGAATACAAAGAATACTTGAAATCAATAATAGAGCTTGTATGTATGAATGAAACAGTGGTAATGCATTCCAAATGGAGCACTTCGTTGTAGTCAGTCCATCTTTGAGTTAAAAAAACGCCAAATGATTTACTCATAATAAAGTTAATATATTTTGTATCTCGGCTATTCGGTTTCTTTAAATCACGCAAATTAAAAATAAAACTAATATTGATAATAGTTCAATTATACTAGTACTACGACTCTAAATGTGAAAGGAAATCTAATCTTATTGCGAGATTATGTAGAAATCTCTTTAAGATCTTATTGAGTTTTCATCATTGGGAAAATTAGGAATTTATTTGAAAAAAGTTCCAGAGGTAAAAAGAAGGACTAAAGTGAATACTTTGATGATAAAATAATTTATGGTAAACGATGAATTCAAAAAAAATTGATAAGAATTTGTCAAAGGTCCATTCTGTCGAAAGAAGTTCGAACATGTATATTTGGTCTATTTGTGCAATGAAGAACAATATGTGGACTTTAAGTAATAAAATTATCATATTTTTTTTGCATGTATAGAAAAGATTGTAGCGAAAGATACTGCGAATCTTGCAAAAAAAGACTTGTTAAATTGTTTCACATTTTTATGAATCATTCACATTACAGTTACACTTGGAGCAAAAACTTCTACGATAGATTTTGTTTTTGTGGATTTTGACTCAGAATTATTATTGTTATTATGTCAAACTCGTAAAAGTCTCGTTTTCTAATAAGTTTGCTGCTTTAAAAAATTTAACGCACTTTTCCGAAACGTGAATATTTCAAATGAGACGAACAATGTAGGTCAAGCCCTTATATGTATCGTAAGATATTTTATTGTTTTTCGAAAATTTATCACCATTTTAAATTCTCGAATGAACGTATGTAATTACAGTTTCAGTTTGTTTGGTGTTTTTCTAAAGCGTTAAAAAAACCATTGGTGCATGCTATTGCATCCTCATAATTCATTTCGCTAAATTATGCACAAACATATAAATATTTAATGTGATTCTTTATTGTAATGAATGGAATAATAAGATGACACGATCATCTGACTCGTTTTTAAAATTATAATAAGAATCCTGTTTAAATATTGTTTGAAAAAAATCTCGTTAATAGAAACTAAAGTTAAAATGGGTTAGGGAACTTTCAAAGCAAATGCCCACACATGTATGAGTTTTTAAAAATTGATTTTGATGACTATATATTTCAAGTGCGCACTAAATTATTAATTTCTTTAATTGTTTAAATTAAATTAATTTAATTTCGATTTGTTGCTTATATTTACAAGCGCCAACATCTGATTGCTGTTTATTTTTATTTCATGGTTAATTTAATTAAAAGATCGTGTTAATCCTCGCTGCAAAAGTACTAAATATCGATAGATATGTTTAAAACATTGTAAATTGCTCAATTTTAATAATGCGTTTGATGCAGTCAATTGCACGGATTTCAATTAGTGCCATGAAAAATATATAATTAACCCATAAAAATATTCATGTCATTCTTCGTATGCGTTTCGAGTGTCTCCTGTCTCGATCCATTAAGTTCATCAAATTACATTGGCTAAATGGTTGATGATGTTTCTGTCTCTCGGTAGCGCCTCGGTAATTTTTATCATGACTTTGCCAGTTGTTTCCATTTAACGGAAATACTAAAAAAGCAAGCTCAAATGGATTGCGAAAAAAAAGTGCAAAAGAATGCCCATAAAATGGTATTAAGGTGCCAAAAACCGGATAGTTTCTCTTCAAATGTTGTGTTTTGATCTTGAACAAAACCAGCGTCGACCAGCGTGTACGTCGGTCATTTTATTTTTGGATATTTTTGTGTAAATTATTCTGGATTATTATTTGTGAGTTTTTACATCGAATTTTACACGTTTAACAAACAAAGCACTCATCTACCGTTTCACTTGTCTGCATTTCTTATGAGTCAACGATTCTTTTCTGTGTAAAGGCATGTTTCTATATTTGCATTTTTGGCACTCATCGAATATTATTGCCGACATAGTCTATAACAATCGAAATTATAAATACGATTACAAACGTTCAAGCGATTATTGCATTCACAACGGTTTTTAGATTGCAATTGAGCGCACATTTGTGTAATAGAGTAAATTCGTAATGTTACAATCGAAATTTTACTGACTAATAATCGAACTTTCACCGCATTTGCTTATATATCACACAATAGAGGAAATGCACAAACAATTCATTATTATGGAATTCATGCTTACCCAGATATATTATGAGTTTGGTAAGTCATGGTAACAAAAGTTTTCCAATTTTTTCTAACTATTTCAAACTATAGAAATCTCACTTTGTGTCGAAAAAGAAACCGTTTTTATTTGACTTAAATGAACATTTTTCTATCAATCCAATTTATCATGCATTCACTGAGAAATGCCACTCAAATATACTGTAGCACAATTCACCGGAAGAATATTCACAATGGATAACGGCGTTTATCTCAGTTTTTACATCCGAAATAAAAACTTGGCTCGAATCTTTTTCAATTTGAATCAAATACCACTAAATATAAAATGGTATTTGTTTGTTTATTATTTGAATCGCAAGTGATCGCCCCGAAGTTTCATTACTTAATGTAATCATGAGCGGTGTATTCCATGGTATTTATATGCTTTTTTTTCGCGCGGCGAAACTAAAATAGAAACAAAACAACGGAAAGACGTTTCGTCGAGTACTGTAGACTGTCTTTCTCCTCTGCTTATTTGTACGTTGAATGCGTTTCTCTGTTGTTCGTTGCTGTTACATTGAGTGTGAGTAAGCGAGAGTTTGTATGAATGAATAAAGCGTGAGTTTAATACTGCCAATTCTCCGCAACTATCTCATTCTAACGTCTGATTTAAGTCGAGTAAAGTGTTTCTCACTTCAACATTTAACAACTTTCGATTTCTTTATGGTATTGTTTTTGTTTGATTTTGCACACATTTTGATTAAAACTATTACAACATCTCAAATGAATAAAAATCAATTATGTTCCTTTTGTTCAATAGACATAATTTATGAGATTTTGGAACTTTTTCATTTACTCTCTCTCTCTCTCTCTTACTCTCTATATGTGTCTCATTTTAATTTTTTTTCAGTTCCTTTCATTTGAATGAAATCATTTTGAGAGAAAAATAAAGCAAATTTGCAAATTGCTATGAATAGCGTGAATATTGGAATATACCGTTAAAAATTGCAAAATTACAGAACAAAAATTGTATTCACCAACTATGCCACAAAACGAAAATAATAATTGTTAAGCCTTTACCAACTCTTTCTATAAAGCCAAAGAATTGATTTGAAAGTTGAATGGAAGATATGAAAAAAACCAAAACTTAATTATTGTCTTTCGGAAGTACCAAAGCCGACTTTAAACGGGAAATAAAAAATACTACGTTTATTGATGATGGCACGAGTTCCATGTGTTTATATTTTTTTGCAAACCGATGTGATTAATGGGTTTTATTTTGACCCAGAGACTAATTGGCAATCATACGCTTCTTAGGCTACATATCTTGTAAACGCGCATGCAACATTTTATTTTCCATTCAATTGTTTTAAAATAATAAAAATGTAGAAAAATTATTCGTCGATCTTAATCATATTTCTTACATATTCGTCATTGTATTAGCATTTTATTGCTGTGGTTTCACGTTTAATGCGTTGGCATAAATTTCCTAAATTGAATCAGGGTTTTTTCCATTAAATAAATTACCAAGAGTTTCGTAGAACACTTTAGATTGATTTGTATTCAATCGCTTCATCAAGATAACGTAAATGAAGCGTGAAGTGCATCCATCATAATAAAACTATAATTGATAAAATTTCTGATAAATAAAAATTTCTGCTTTTTAAATTGCAGATAAAATCAAATTAACATTGTCTAACAAAAGATGGGCACAAAACACATAAAAATCTTAATTACTGTGCGCTTCTATTTTGATCATTATTTTATTGAACATAAAAATGTCTATATGCCAGATGAAAAAAAGATCGATTAACAAAAGATTGTCAAAACACTGATAAAGCGCATTTTTGTGTCTGTATTTGTATTTATTCTTTGCATCTCATTGTTTGCATATTTCTGTGAAACGTTCCAGAATTGTTGACATTTTATATTTTATTTGACCGTACAAAGGCACTTCGCGATGAATATATCTGAACGGTGATTTTACACAATACAATTCTTACAGAGTTCAATGAACAACAGCATAGGGTACAGTAGATAACATTTCCAAATGTATTCCAACCTAAATAAGTGAAACCAAAGTTGAGACAATCTCAAGGTGATGAAAAAAATAAGGGAGACAAAGAAAGCGAATTAAATTCAAAGTCACACATTAATCTGTTTCAGACAAAATGGATTACATGGACACCCTACACAGTTTGTTGTTATGAATAACACTAAAACTAATTTGAATTGGCGTTATAAAATATTATTGCCTTTGATTCTTTGATTTCCAATGAAATAATAAAAATCACTATATTTTATGCATTTATTTTTGGATATTGTGTTTGGAATCCAAACTTTGGATCAACAATTGTTTATTTTTATATTATTGAAAAATAAATCGGTGTCAAAAAATTACCAAGTTTTATTCTTTTGAAGGTGCATCCCGGTATTCCGTTTGATTCAAATACTCTCTTTTGAAAAGTCACCTTTGCATTTTGATGACACCAAAGTACAAAAAAAATGACAACGAAAAATCTTAAATCATGTTTACAAGATTACAAATTTTTGTTGGCGCTTTCACAAATCGCTATTTGTCACCTTTGGTTTTTTTGTCTTTTTACATACATGCACTATTCAAGTGAAAATGGTGGTTTCAATTTAAATTCTACAAGCGTTCGCGTCGTGAATATTATTCAATGGCAACGACCGTAAATCAACAACATAAACTAGTCAAAGTGTGCTCGTGAGTCGAACGATTTAAATTTGCAAAAGAGCAAACCACAAACGTGATACGTGTACAATTTCATTAATAACGTTTTATGTCGTTTATTGCATGCAAATGTATGTTTAAGAGTAACTTAATGGTCTCAAAACTGTTACTTTCTCACCATATAAAAGGTGTCGGAAAGTTTTCTTTGATCAAACCAATATTTAATTCACAGAATTTCGTAGTTAGAAAAATTTACCTTCAAAATCCCCTATTCAATTCTGGTTTATTCAAATTAAGTAACAGTCACCATTTTTTTTAGATTCGATTTCGTTATTTTGTTTCACTTACATTGATGAAGAGAATGCGTCACACATGATGCAAGTGTATCTGTCACATCCAAATGAATAAATGGTGTTGTACACAATCCACGAAATTAAAATATTTTTTCAAAGAAAACCAATTGATTAAAATATGAGCACGAGGAGAGAATATTTGATCAAAACGAACCCTTTAGTCTGTTGAATACATCTGAAGCAAATACGAACTGAGATGCAACTGATTCGGAATCTGATTTTCAAAAGCCTTATAAATTCTATTGTTGTTGCTTTCTTGGGCAATATCATTTTCGATTCATGTATGACATTATATTGAATTCAATTCTACGTATTGAAATATATAGTGAAGCAAGTTATTATATGAAAATTAGAGCAGCTTCAATCATTTTCTTTGCACTGATATTGGCAATAAACAAAAAGCGAGGCGTCATTGTCTTTCCTAAACGCATTGATAATTTGTTGCAAATCGAACAAGTAACAACAAATACGAACTAATTAAATATCATCATGTAAACGAGTACAACAATGGAAAATAATTGAAACAAGCATATAGATTAATTATCATTTTGTTTTTATTGCTTTTTTATTCATTCAAACAATTTTTAAAATTGATAAATTATTACCAAACTTCGCATTTTTTAAAAGGGTTCATTTTATTTCCAGCTTCACAAGAAAAATCGTGCGCAAATTCCTGCATATTACTGATAGTTCCGATCACTCGAAATTCGTTCGGTGAATGAACGTCCGTTGTTATGAGCATTTTGTCGAACTCTGGTCTTGTCACCTATGACATTTATAACGAAAAAAAATAGATGCTAAATGGTGTAATCATTCTATTAAACGAATTTAATCATTTACCGCACACCATGTTTGAGCACTCGAAATCCAGAATAATTGCTCTTGAGTATAATTTAATCCAGGAAGCAATTGCTCGGCACCATTTCTTTTGACATAGTTCCGGTAAGCAGCATACGCCTCCTTCACTCCTCCATTATCAGCAATATTTTCACCCTGCGTATTTATTCCGTTCAACTAAACAAACAATTGAAACGTAATAATTGGAACTCAAGCAGTAGAACGTAAGTGGTTTCTTACCCTTAAATTTGAATCGAAGTCTACATAATTGGAATACTGTTGGAAAACAATATAAATTCAGCATAAATTCAAATAATGAATTAAATAATTTAAAAAATTACCTGTTCGACCATGCATTGTGCCTTTCTGCCAAATTTTGCTTCCGTTTCATCTTCCCACCAGTCGATCAAATTACCATCTAAATTTATTCAAATTTTAATAACTTAAAAATCCAGCATAAAAAGAATTCAAATATGCATACCCAAATCAAATTGTCGTCCCTGATCATCGAAACCTAGTATGTGATTGTATTAATTGCATAACAGTTTATTTGAATGGTTAATTACAAAGCAAACAGATAACTTGGTTTTGCACTCCAAGCAATTTGAAGCAAACATAACGTTTTAAAATTAATTTTTACTGTGACACGCAACACTCAAACTTAGTAGGAATGATGTTTACTCATACATTCAGAGACTTTGAATCAAAGAATCGCTATTCATTAACGCAAACAATTGACACAATGTGCACTTGCTTCAGTATTTTAAACGCTATTTTTGCTCCATTTTGCTCCATTGAACCAATATCTTTAATGAAACTTATCAGGAAAGTTCCTAGATAAATGTGTAACTATTCAAATCAATGCGTCAATTTACCGTGTGTGATTTCATGACCTAAAACATAGAAAATAAATTGTATGCTTAAATATCTTGAATTTTTTGATGATCATAATTTATGATTCATAAATGAAGCATAATCTACCTATAATTTGTCCAATCGATCCGAAATTCAAGTACGAAGGCCTAGAAAAAATTCGTCACAATTTTATCGAGGTAATATCATATTTGGGGAAAAATTCACTTACCGATCAGCCGAAAAGAAGCGATCTTGTAATATCGCGGCCGGTAGTTCTATAGAAGAAAAAATACAACAATAAGACTATCCGCTCAAAGCCATTATAGTAAAACGTACGTATGGAGTTCTCCAATGGATTGTATGCAGCGTTAACTGTTGCTGGCATTGTGTGAGTTTGCCAATCGGTTTTATTGACCGGGGTGCGTAGACCTTTTATCAAGTGATTATCTTTGAATATACGAATTCGAAGTACATTTTGCAATAAAGTATTTGATTCTAATTCCAAGCCATCGTAATATTCTTCTAATTTATTATTATTGGTTAGTTCATCTGGATATGCGATATGGCTTGTCATAGACTTCGCTTTCTCAATGGCAGCTGCTCTTGTTTCGTCGTCCATCCATGACACATCACGTAAAATCTTAATAAACTCCTCGCGAATGCTGTTTACTAGCTCAACGGCCGCTTTTTTCGATTCTTCATCAAAGTATCTTCGAACATACAAAGCTCCGACACTTATAGGTAAACTGAAATCGAAAGATGCTGTTATTTATTTTTCTCATAATAATAAATGCACTTCTCTTACTAATGTGATGTTAGTGTTACGCATGTATTGTATCGCGGATCAAGTTTTCGAAGTCCAATAGTTGTTGCGAGAAATTGTAATTTTCTTCGATGTAAAGCTGAATTCAATAAAGCAGAACCGAAAAACACCGATCGCCAAGCAAAATAATTGGCAATCGTTCTTTTTGGTGTGGCTTGTAGAATTGGACCAAGTTGCATATAGTAGTTTGGTACATCAACAATCAACACTTCATCTTCATCAATACGAACACTTTCGGGAAGAAGTCCATTTATACATTCCAACCAATTTAAATACGGATATGTGGCCTGCAACTGCCGAATTGTAAATGGATTGTAAAGTGCCGATAAATTACGACGTTCACCCTCCGGCACAGCAATCTGCAAGTGAGAAAAAGTGTGAGCAAATGATGAAAATGTTTCATGTTTTGGATGCATCAATACAAAACCTTGGCCAATTCAATTTCAAATTTTAGAGAATCAAGAAGTTCTTCTTCAGCAGCACTTTTGTTCGCGCCAAAAATTACAGCAGCATCAACCATAAATTCATAGTAGGCTTTGACATTTGTGTCTTCCAAACCTTTTTGTAAAAATTCCATTCGTAATCCAAAATCGGCTTGATCAAGCTGCGATAAGAGAATTCTCATAGTTCAACACTATTTTTCATGACTTTTTTTTCTTTTAAATAAATCAACGGCATATTTACATCCAATACACGTCTCGAAGAGTTTCGCTGATCCGTCAAAATATTCAATGAAAAAAGAATGTTGTCATCTAAACCGTCACTGCTCATATTTTGATATGCTTCCATCCAATCCCATTTTTCCGAGTCCCAATCACCTTTAACAACTGGCCAACCACCGTATTTATCGAGAATCTCTACCATTGGTGCAATGCCTGAATGAACATGAAGTGGCGTGATGTAATGCATATTTGTTGATGGCATAAATCACTTAACTAACCTTGAATTTCTAATGTCTCTTCGTCCATACATGCGGTGTTGAATATTTTGGCCAATGTGAATGGTTTTGATTCATTTGTGTCCAATTTTTCATTCAAAATCAATCGTAGTTGTCCCAGAACCTTATCTTGCACATGAACAAATGACATCATTGCAATTTTATCATCCGGTATCAAAGTGTTTCGCAAGAATTTGCCACACGCAAATTCATAAAAATTATCGCAAGGATTAACGTTTTCATCGATCAAATCCAATACAAGGGCAGATGCTTTAACACAGCCTTTGGTCATGCAAATATTCGTTCCATTTCCTTTCACATCCCATTCGGTTCCATTTTGTTGAGAAGCTGGTGATGACACAATTTCTAAAACTTCTGTTCTGGGCAAACTGTTTGACGGAACACACATTAAACTCACAACAAAATTTGCTGCAATTATTGCAATTAAACCAATATTCCGCGAGTTTGCTTTTGCCACCATTTTGCTAGAGAAAATACAAAATAATAAATTCGAGCTTAAGACAGATACTTGCAAGTTTGTCTATATACGTAGCTAAAATCTAACTAGTTAACATGAAAAACAACATGACTACAGAATGAGACAATCTTTTTTGTTGTTGATTAGAGCTATTTATTGGTTTTGGCGACAGTTATGATTATTATATATTTCAGGTCAAATCACATTTACGTCACGGATACATACAGTCTTTTTTTAGAATCGATTGAGCTGAACAAACAGTAATAGATAATGAATGTTCATTCAAGGAAACCAATGTAATATGTATGCGATAAGAGAAGTCCACGCTAGGAAACGATTCTACTTGCATGAACTTCAGTCTAGCAAGTATGCAAAATGTGTGATTTAACTTTTAACCAAACTTTTTTCAATAAGATATGTTATTGGAGTTTACTTTTAAATCACTTTTTTTAACTTATTAATTTTTGATTCATTCGAAACAACAAAAATATCCTGAAAACTTGAAGTTATTTATTGTTTCTCTCACTTTTTACATTTACGCCGCTCTTTTAGAATCACTTTTCTTGACTTAACTTCCGTATTTTTGTGTGCTTTAATTACATTTGTTTTAACAATTATGTACGAATTTTATTGAAAGACACAAACTTCAGTTCAAATTAATTTGTTTCACTTTATTTTACAAAATTGAACTCACAACAGAGCGAACGACGAGCACAGAATCCAAAAAGTAACTGATATGATTGTTTTCGTAGCAAAGTAGTTGAAGCATTACATCAATACTTTTTTAAGACTTGTGTTTTACGTCGTTGAGCTACGTGTCGGTTTTTTCGTTTAAATGTTTTTAATGCCAAATCGTAAATCGTCGTATATTAAATACATATATGATTGCATCAACAATTGATCTTTGTGATCTCTTTTGTCTGTCCTTTATTTGATTATGTTTAACAATTTCAGAACACATTCATGATATATTTAGTAACTGCGATTTCAAAGATCACAATGAAAAAAGGGAAATATAAGAATTGCATATTTGTGCCAAGCTGAATTTTATTGATAACACGTGGTTGCGTTTCTTAAGAATAGGCCATGTCTCATGTATATACATGTGCACAGTATATGACTAATGTGTAGACCATGACGAATAACGTCATAGCTACACCATGATAATTGTTTGATATGGTAATCGAAACATTTGAACTTTTATAAATAATAGAACTTGGCTCGAGCTAAATACGCAACTGCTGCTATTGACAGCAGCTTCTCCCATCAACATCGTTACTTCATTCATTTTATGAAATTTAATTTTAATTCTTAATGATACTGAACAATACGTGACGATTTATAATTCTTATAAATAGATACATAATATACTAATTTTAAGGAATAGATAGATCCCCAACGGTTTTTTTTTCGTGATCTCATAAAATTAAATGAAAATAATTTAAATAAAAAAATCGTTAAGGAAATACATTCCAAGTCTGACATGAAATGTATTAAAGACTGTAATATTGAGACACTTTTCAATAAGAATATAAGGAAATTAAAAATTGAGATTGTTAATTAAGATTGATAGAATGAGCAGATGTGAGTCAATGTTGGTTTTCATTAAAACCGAAAAGAAAATATAATTTCAGAATCTGTATAAATAGGCGGTGCATCTGAAACATTTTGAGAGTAATTATCGTGGCAAAATCGAGATTGTTTACTAAAAAAGTGTACCTACCTAAGAAACTTAATAGCTAAAAACAATGAATTCGATAATTTTGATACTTTTGATCGTTAGTATGCCGTATTTGGTAAGCAAAAATGAAAACCTTGTTGACATATTAACGCGTCAATTTACCAAAAATGTGTAAACGCCAATCGTTTACCGCGATGTGTTTGTCTCCATCCGTTTCACACACTCAACCCAAGTAAACGATTGATGTAAATCGAAAATACACATTGGCCAAAGGTGCGATTATCGACGATGCCGGTAATTGTTATTATTATTATTATTATTTATTCAGTTTTAGAGTCTACTTTGATAAGCCGACTATGTAGTTACACTTTTAGTTTGAATTGCTTGGAAAAGAGTGGTCTATGATCCTCACTAAAAACCAAGATCTTTTCGTAAAGAAAATTATTCTTACAATTAGATTAATATGTAATAGAAAGTAAATAGATAGATAGCTTAGTTAAGTTAAATCCAATTTGATGCAAATTAGACAAAAACAACATAAATACAATAAAGGGAATTTATAGAATTAATAAATAAATCTTTGTAAAAGACTAGTCAAAGGTAATTGGTAAATGAATTTAGTCAATTAATCAAGTTACGAATAATATTGTCTAAAGTTAATGAATTTAAATCTCTAAATTTAGTCAGTCATATATTAGTCATGCGTTCCATGAGTTAAATAATTGAATCACAGTTAAAAATTTGATATGGCAATGATAAGATCAATCTCCATTGAACCCACGTAGAGTTAATAGGTCCGAAAATTAGCCGATGCATCGGAACACCCACCAATTGCCAAGTAGAGCTCCCTGTTTTCGTCCTTCATTGGATTTCACTAGAAAACGATGCCAAACATAACATATCCTAAGTTTTTTCGTAAGTTACATAAAGATACAAATTATCACCTGGATTGGTATTTTCGTTTTTAGTCGATAAAAAGAAAATACCAAAGAAAAATTCTCGATTTATCTCCCTAGTGAGTATATGACCTCAAAAGTTGAATCATGTATTTTGCAACGTTGTCTCGAAACGATGCGCGATCCAACGTAACATCCACAAAAAGCGCTGAAAGATTGTATAATCGACAAGTATTTCTGAACGATGAGTTATTTGTACAGTCCAACCGACAGTGTTCAAGCTTTATAAAGTCTGGACTTCTTGTGAAATAATTGATTTTACAAAATGCTAGTTGATTTCGTAAACTTGGTGAGCACACTTTCCCATGAATGATATCGTGGATAAGGAAGATACATGCATTTATTCTTCTTCTTTGCAGTGTTGTCATATCCATTTCAGTACATCGATCTATGTATGGCCGAAGTTCGTACTTGTTGAGTGGGTTCTTAGCACTATTGTTTGGATGGATATACTTGACAAACTGCTTTTGAATACTTTCAATAGCATTAATATATTTTATGTGAGACGGACTCCACACTTGATTTGCGAATTCAAGGTGGGATCTGACGAAAGCATAGAATAGCATTTTAGCGACGTCAGTATCAAAAACCTTATATACCTTGTTTGAAACATACTCTATGTGCTCAGCAAAATTCAACTTAGTATCAAGCATGATTCCAAGATCACGAATGCAGTTTGTGCGCTTGATTTGATCTCCTCTTATAAAATAATCCGCATGTATATTACCTTTTTAATTGAAAACGTTATAATTTGACATTTCATTGAGTGAAAAGAAAGGTCGCGAACGCGTTTTCCTCACACCATGCTATGAATTTATCCATTTCTTTCTGAAGAAATACTGTGTCATTGGGTTTCTCGATCATTTGTGCTATCTTTTTGTCGTCGGCGAAGTTCAAAGCTCGTGCATTCATAGCTAATTCACTGTCCGAATCATCGAAAAAGATGAGAAACAGTATGGGGCCAAGAACAGTACCCTGTCCAACCGATGATGGAACGCTAAAGCTATCCGAGATTGAGTCACCAATTTTTACATATTGACTTCGATTTGCGAAATATGAAATGAACCACTTTAACACAGAATTGCTCACTGGGTTGTGTAGTAAAATGAAAAGCTTGAAATTAATACGAATTCGAATATTTCCTAAATGGTCGATATGTGAATAGATTTGCGGAAGAGAGTCGGAACTTTTCACCAACGAAGTAGAAAAACTTAATGGCTCAAAAGAGGATTTCAGTCAATGGGGCATTGAAGCTAGTTGAAGAAGGTTTTTTGTATGAAAGTTACGTTGGATTTATGTATCAAGGTATATATCAGACAAATGGTTTCGAAATGGGCTTGTATAAGAAACGTCAAATCGTTTTTTATCGCTTTAAAAACCTCATTTCAGGAATGAAAGATGATCGTCCTGTGACAATTAAATTCGTTTCAAATGCAAAAAAAACGGAATCCGAACGAGAATTTGAGATGTTCAAATATTTGGATGCATACAACAATTCGAAAGTAGAACGATTTGGTATTCCGGCCATTTATTATCATGATCATTGGGAAAATAATACAGTAACTGCGTTCACCAGAGTTGACAGAAACATGTGGGACGTGAATGATGAGGGGGATTTCTCTGTTGGACCCTTGAATGCCATGCTTTTGTTCAAAAAATTTGTAAGTTTCCCCGAAAACTCGATTGTACCAGCACTCAATTCAAAACTTATATTTAGGTCATTCAATCCAAATATATGCATAGTCGTGGAGTTAGACAGGACCATATCTCTCAATTCAATGTAATGGTTCACGAAAATCCGAGCTTTCTAATGGGTATTTGTTACAACATTCAATTCTCTACCAATTTTTTAATGCCAAAGATTGACTATTTCTAGATTTTGATTTCAGTGCAAAATTGACGGACGATAAGTGTCTTGTTTTAATGATAATATTGGAAAAATGACTCGAGGCAAAAAGCCCATGTTTGCAATGGATGAATGGACCAATTTTCTTCGAGCAATGTAATAAAACGCTTGAAATTCCAGCAGAAATACCACAATCAAGTTGTTGCGGTGCCATTCACATTGACTAAGGGGCTTAATTCAAAATTTAAACGACTGAATTCTAAAATAATATCTAAATTAACTGAATTTTTCAACAAACGAATGAATTCCAGTGAATTCGATGACGTTGAACAATATATTAGTGCGCAAATTAAAAGGGAGAAGGGAAACGATTCAGCAGTATTTTCATGGTAGTATTAGGTGGTAGAAAAATGAGAGCAATCGAAGCAATCGGTGGGCGCTGGTATCGAAGATTTTTTGTTGAAGATTCAACGAATACGACATCTATTAAAAGACATAAAGATTTTTGTTACTAAAGAACACACTGACTCTGATTTTGTGTGTCCGTTTGTATTGCAAATTCTGCACTCAGTTGTCAACCGTAGCTGCTTGTGCAAAATGTATAACACATACGCATAAACAGAATCGAAGTCAGAGTGTTTCTTAGTATTAGTTTGTAATACAGCGATAGCCATATAGTTCGCTAGAGCTGTGTCATCGTAGCTGCTTGTGCAAAATTTACAACACACACGCATACACAGAATCGGAGTCAGTGTTCTCAGTACTAATACGTTTGCAATACAGCTATATAGTTCGCTAGAGCTGTGTCAACACAGCAGTAGTAACGAAAATCTTTATTGTCTTTAATAGGTGGCGTTTTGTTGAATTTTCAACAAATATCTCCATACAAAAAGTGCTTCACCAGCGCCCACCGGAAGCAATTGAGGAGAACCCATTGAATATCAAAACAGAAATAATTGATCCGAAATTGATTGATTTCAAAAAATTCGCCTATAAAAAATATATAATGGAAAATGAATTTGCAATATTATTCACACTATTTCGTAAACGGGAACACAAACCATTATAAAATGAATAAAACCTAATTCTTAAATCAGCATTCAATTAGTATTGAAAAAAACTTTGATTTCATCATACCGAAATTATGCCCAAACTGTCACACTGCTAGCGCCACGATGGAATTCAGTGTAATCTACACTAAGTTGCCGCCACTAAGTGCGGATTTCCTTAAATTCTACATTTGTCAAGACGCATTCTTTGGTGACAACAATTATTTTCATTGTTTCTAAACAGATTTTTATTTGTTCATTT